CATCCGTTCGCTTGTTGAACTCCGACTGGAATCCTGCAGACGTTTCGCCAAAATCTCACTTGGCATCTTGGGAGATTTTGGCGAAACGTCTGCGTCATATATATAAATAAATATATATATATATATATATATATATATATATATATATATATATATATATATATATATATATATATATATATATATATATATATATATATATATATATATTTATATAAATATATATATATATATATATATATATATATATATATATATATATATATATATATATATATATATATATATATATATATATATATATATATATATATATATATATATATATATATATATATATATATATATATATATATATATATATATATATATATATATATATATATATATATATATATATATATATATATATATATATTTATTTATTTATTTATATATATGACGCAGACGTTTCGCCAAAATCTCCCAAGATGCCAAGTGAGATTTTGGCGAAACGTCTGCAGGATTCCAGTCGTTCAACAAGCGAACGGATGATATCCCGGAATATAGTGTCATCATATATATATATATATATATATATATATATATATATATATATATATATATATATATATATATATATATATATATATATATATATATATATGTGTGTGTGTGTGTGTGTGTGTTGCTTGTTTTGCTTTTTCAATTGCGTTTGGTTTATTTTCTGGATCGGATAACATTATTGCTCTGTCTGCGAGACCAATTATGACGGATTTTTTGGGCTAGGGCACACTACAAACTGATAGAATCAAAAAATTCTGGCAATTTATGTTTCGTCGTTCGGTTTTGGTGAAGAAGATAGGTATTACTTAGATATTACTTAGTCCCTCAACATCTTTCTTTTGTTTAATAATGTAATTTTTTAATAATATAACACATCCCTAAAAACTTGCGTTTAAAGAGGTTTTTTTCATTACTAAGCACTGCGGCTGGATCATACAAAACTGTATGGCCGGTATCGTTCACATGCGTGCTCTGACTAGTTACATTAGGTTCCATGACTTTTGTCAAGTGTTAACCTTTTTTCTAACTTTTGTAAAGTGTGACCGATGTAAACCAAACCACAAGCGCACTTCATGCAGTAAACAATATTCGACTTTTGTAGGGACGGTGTAGGATCTTTAAGATTAGAGTAAAAAGATTTGAGTTATAATTAGTTTGCAATCATTTATCATTAAAGTATTAGGGGATAGCAACAATTTAAAATATAATTTCATCATATTTGTTTATATGTTATTGATTTATTCTCGGCTTAGAGCTTATCTCGCAAGGTACCCAACACCTGCCACCACCGGAATAAAATTTACTCCCCTGACGAAATTACTCAGTTTACTTTATAGTATATTTCAAATATCGCAAGCATTTGAACATGATAAACTTAACTTAAAACCCTACAGTGTCATATATAATTAAAATTGGTTTCTACGCAGATGATGCCGTTGCGCTTTTTATCAGTTTTAATAATCTCAACACTTACACGAAATTGCATTATTTACGCTCAATTAAATAATCCGGACTCCTTTAAAAACAACTTCCCAAGTACGAAACTCAGATTTTAAGCGGATTTAAAGGCTATTAGGCTCATCAAAAGGGAAATGTGAAAGGTTAAATTTGTCACGGTAGAAAAACCTTAATTTGAACTGACCTTTCAGTCACTTGTTGATTCGCATTCGAAAATAACGTCCGACGAGTATTTTTATATTTTATTTTTAACGCTTTGGAAATAATTTTATACGGAAGTGAACGCGTCAGTGCTTCCGGCACAATGACGCAAATTTTTCGTCTCGTATTCTTGAAATACCATTTATGGGAGATAAGTAACTTAAGTTTCGCTTCTTGTTTAACTATATACTACTGCTACAAGGGCAACAGTTGTATCTGGAATTTTGGACTTTGAATTTCTTCCAAGCTAAAAAACAGTCTCGTTTTTGTATTTATTTATTTATGTTTTATTTTGGGAATTTAATTATTTGGTTATGGAAATGGACATTAACATACAGGATATTAAGCAATATTAAATAAGGAAGAAGTACTATAAAAATAAATTCAAAATAGGAGTTCGAAGTAGCCTCGCTTTATCGATTCAACTCAGCCGGTTCAATGTTCAATTAAAAATGGTCACGAAATTTTGACGTCAAAACAAATTCCAAGCAATTATATTAATAGGTTTTTAAAGCTGTGCTATAGCATTCCCCATCTAATCCATGAAGGCTAATAACTTGTTCGAGAACATAACCAATTGAAATTCGCGCAGCACGTTCTAATTTAAATAGAATACAGCAGCATGGTGCCTACGTCAACCACTTATATAAATTAGTTTATATACTTAAATGTGAATTTTCTATTTTATATAGTAGTTCCTTATTTCACGATAGTATATTTTAGTTTGTGTTCCTACATACCGGGACACATTGACGTTGATTTTTTTGACGTTTTGTTTTGCTTTACATAGTTCAGATCGTAATAATTATATCTAATTTTAATGCTGCTCAAGATAAGTTTATAATTACGATTCCCCTGTAGCTCTCAAATAGCATTTATTGCAGATTGTTACTTCTACATCACATTTGAGGTGATTATTTCTTATTTTTTATTTTATTTTCTTCATAAATATTGTTCATTTGGACCAATCTGTTGGTAGAGCGGTTTTTCTTTATCATCTGCTTGTTTACTTAAATTATTGCGTTTTTCTGCAATTATTAAATTAACATTCAAGATAAACATTCAAATAAACAGTCCAAATAAATAGCAACAATCAGGAGAAAATTTATATAAAACTGTCATTCCAGTAATTTTCAGAAAGTGAATTTTTGAAAGCTGGAGCGCATGATAATGGTCAAAGATTTTGAACTGGTTTTATGGCAGGCACTGTGATCTATTAAAGCGCAGCACTGCTCGATAAAGGGCAGTTTTGTAAAAAGGAAATATGGATATGAAGGTATGGATTATTTGCCAAACCGAACGATTTTGGTTATTTCGTAGACATTACTATATCACTCAGCCTCTGAATCCAAAGTGACGCAGTAAGAGTTCAATATTAACCCGTGAAATCAAAATCCTTTCAAGAAAAAGTAGTTTGAGCCTTACAAACAAACATTATTTGCTAAATATTCAATTTAATTATGTATTATGTTACAGAAAAATGAATAATTAATTATAACTCTTAACTCAAACTAGAACTAGTTTAATTCTAACACCATAGTGTTAAAATTATTAAGGAGTTTTAAATAAACAATTTTTGAGTTACAGTTCCGTACAGAGAATTTATAACTCTCTGAGCAATTTGTTAGTTGAATTTGAGTTTCGTTTCAAGGAAAGCACTTGCACCAGTAAATGTCAGCGAAAATATTGCAGCACTCTTAATCGATCCAACTTGAAAATAAGCCGCGAATTTTCCACCTTTAATTTGCGTTCTCAGTTTTCTTGTACAAGCGTGGGATTAAAACCATTACGAACCCACCTAGCAACCAAACATTATGAAAGCAACGTCCAAAATGAGAGTCCCATTTGAGAATCTAATTCCCAAACTGTTTGCCCCGACTACGGCGTTTACCGCTTTTCATTTGATTTACGTTTTACTTAAACATAAGCCGCCAGAGGGCGGGAACAATGTGTAAACAAATCTCGAGGGAATAAATCCTCCCGTTCGCATTGTGCCAAGACCCTCGCGATGACGTCAGTTTAATCTTCGATTATTTTTACGCTTGTTGAACTGAGCTTAATTAAATGTTGATCATCTGTCCCGTCTTTTGTCTGCGAATAACATTACAGAGCACAGAATAGTCATTAATAAACACAACACGAAGAAAATAATTATACACTTCCATTCTATTTGTGATGGACGTCGTTTTTTAATTTTAAGTACTTGTTATAAGCTGCAATGCAAGATAATAAAACAGAAACAGTCATTCATGAAGTTCAATACTTATTATCTCGTGTAGTCAAATAATTTCTATGCATATTTCATCAACTTGCATATCCAGAATTGCAACGATAACAAAGTTTAAAACTTGTTTGATGGCCAAACTATTATTGCTGACAGTATAACGAAATATAGTTGAAATTATGACATTACTAAATAAGTTCTATTGATATTTTAGTCTTTTAATAATGTTGTAATTGGAGAAAATGGGTTTTTGTTTCATATCTCATACATTATCACGTTATTTGTGGTCGAATAGTTTCTAAAAGAATGAAGCAACTTGCACATTTTGGATTAGTAACTACGTTATGGTTAGTAACGTTTGATGTGTCGCCTTAATTTAAATTCTATAAGGAAGTCGATTTTGCCTATGTTTTTTGATAATACTGAATGATTTAAGCTACGTTCTCAAGAAAACTATAAAACCTAGAGGTAGCTCGACCAAGTCATTAAAATGCCTAAATTTAGAATTTGTTTTATAGTATGTAGCATTCTGCACATTGCTGAGGGAGGCTAACCAATTATTATTACTGACTCACTAAAAAATTCTGTAAACTTTTCTGAAACATTTGTTTTCTTTCGCGGTCAATGAAAATAATGGAAATGACGTTTTATATTGCAGAATGTCCTCCGGCCGCTGACGGTATGGAGAGATTCGCATGTCCCACCCCCGACAGGCAGGGTCGGTACCACTGCATTGACGACCACGTTCTTTGCGATGGTTTCATAGACTGCCCTTCGGCCGAGGACGAAGATCGACAAGCCTGCATGTTTTATAAAACGGTAAGTTTAAATCCACTACCGCAAAATTCGGCCAAGTTTTACTTTGGCTATTTTAAACAGTGATCATTAACTACGATAAGAAAGGATCCTCTCTTCATATTCTTATAAAAATTTTCTGTAAGATAACAACCTTGAAAATTTAATATTTCATTTTTTTTTATTAATGCTCTACAAACTGCGCAAAAAAAGTAAATAAATTTATTGATGACGAAAAAGCAATACAAGGTTATATATATTACATACCAACTGTCTTCAAATACAAATATCATCATGAATATCATTGAACTAGAGACCTTGATATATGTTGGTAATTTATTGCAAAATCTATAGCTTAAGGCATTTTTGTTAATGTAAATTCTATGCAATATTTTCACGTATTATTTATAGTTATGTGTTTAAATTAATTTACTCTGGTCAATTGTAATTCTGCATTGTGAACAATAATTGGTTTTATCACAATTTGGCCTTTAATTGACCACCCGACAAATATTTATTTTTTTGCAATAATAGAACGTGTATTTTCTCAAAGACAAATTCTTTGCTAAATTGTATGAGGAAATGATTTAAAATTTATATACCTATTATATGGATTCTCTATAGTGGAAAAAAAGTTAAACTATTTCGGAATGGCGGCATTGTTTTCATGTCAGTTTAATGTTTAGGTTGTATGGTTAAGTTTGGCATTGCTTTCAAAAATAGTTCGCTTTATATCGTTGGCGATTTAGTGCCTTCCTGCACTCATCCGAGTGTTCAACGTTAAAAGAAAAGCTTACCGGTATCAAAATCAAACACAAAGCAAATTGCTTTATTGATGAACAACAATGTGTAACAATAATTCCAGTGATGAGTTTTTGATGTATTTTTTTTCTTTTATATCTACCTAACACACTTTAAGAGAACTGCAGCAATATATTTGCAACTTACCAAGAGACCAGCTTTACAAAAACAAGCAAGGTGGTTAATTGGCCTTTTATTTTTACTTACTTTACATACATAATTTTTTTCCGTTTACCGCACTTGTTGCATAATATATTATTTTGCGTCATGTTCCATAAACTACACACCACAAAAACTGATAACAGAGCCAGAAAAAAGCTTTATCTTCGCTTGTACCGGTGAAAAGAAGTGGCCAATGGTTCAAAGGTAACATATAAACGTTACTTTCAAACGGACGTGTTTGTTTGCTATCAGCAGCACCACCATATGAAAGTAAATTCTCAAATAATCCAGTAAAAACAGGTAATCAGTAATCAGCCCACTATAAGGCTGCGTATTGAAAAGCAAATAATTTGCTTAATATTTTGATTTTTTTTTTTGCTGACGATTGAGGATAAACTCAACTCGCACTATCCTTCCTTTCATAATAGACTATTTCAAAAGACATAAGTGTAACCTGGTAACAGTTTCCAAAAAATGCAGGATACCCGTTCATTCAACTGGAAATTTATCTCGATAGGCTGCGATCGTGGTTAAGCTAGGCTATAGTAATCGCGACGTGCCAATGAACATGACGAAAAATGGAGTCGTTTTGAGAAAAAGCGCCTTATCGATTTCACCGGGAGCGTCGTCGGTCGCGTTCCGTTTTTGTTATGATTCCAGTGTCGTTGTGGAAAAGTTTTACGTAAGCGTGTCTTATCCTATCGATCACGATCTTTCGTTCATATCGTGTCTATTTCTCTCAATTTAGGGAACTTCTAATAATTAAACATTGTATAGTTAGTTATAGTTTTCCTAACAGAGCTTAAGGTTAACGATGACTTTTTTTATGAGAAACGAGACCCTTCAACCCAACATGACTACGAACTATGTTGCGGTAGTGTCCAGTAATTACCTTAGACAAGGAATGTTTGTAATTACTAATAATTGTGTTTCAAAATTAACTTAGTTAAAACGGCAGGCGAGGAGTCTGCTGATAATAAAGGTTTTTGCAATAAAATGCGTCCACAAAATGCTAATTTTTCAATATTATAACCCGTTATAGAAAAATAAGCCTTGCATATAATAAAGTATTCATTTTACCATCATTATAGATATCAGTACAAAAATAGACACTACTAACTACCAATGAATTGTAATGCTAAGCGAATCAAACCTTAAACCCGATAAACAGAAAATGGGTCTTTTAGATACAATAAATAACTTAAACGAAAATGTTTTGCATTTTCAATTCTTTCACGGCAAAAGACTTTATTATAATGCAGCAATAGCTTTTTAAAAAAATACTACATGTACTTCCAAGCAAATCATAGTTTAAACTACTTTAATGAAATTTTATTAGGGCTGTTCCTTGAGCTAACCCAGCCAAAACTTGCGTGTGTTAACATATAAGCTGCAGTTGTTGTTTCCATATAGTAAATTATGCAACAAGTGCGGTAAACTCACGAGTTTATTTAAAACGAGTGGAGCGAGTGTTTAATAAACGAGTGACTTAAAAAGTTTAAAACTGTTAGTTTTAGAATACATTCACTGATATGGCCGTCAAAATATCTCCGAAATCGTCCCAAACCCGGAAATGTCCAAAGTGTCTTGGATCCGTGGTAAAATAAAACTGACGTGGTAAAGTGACGCTTTCTGCACGCTAGTTCGGTGTGTAATTAGGTATTTTACAGACGGGAGTAGAAAAATTTATTTTTTCTACTCCCTTATTTACTTTACCACGTGAGTTTCTTGTCCCACGGATCCGAGACCCTTGGGATATTTCCGGGATACTACCGCACGCGTTTAGGAGCAATCGGATGTTGTCGGAGATTTTACAGTAGGACTTGAATTTTGACGTTTGTCAATTTTGACGGTCATGTCAGTGAATGTATTCATGTTGTTTTGTAAAATGGTGCCCAAAAACTGACGCTCGTAGAAAAAGTATAGTATGCAATACCTTTGGTAAACTTTTTTATTCACTCGTTTATTAAACGCTCGCTCCGCTCGTACCAAATGCAGTTTACCGCACTCGATGTTTAATATACTATTATTAGTGTTTATACTGGATTACTAAAATTTATTGGCAGAAAAAAAGCAAATAATCAAAATTCTAATATGTATAGTAAAAGAAAACTAGTTCATTATCAATATCCATATCAAAAATAAAGAACTTTGAAAATCAGCCTGGCTATATTTAAATTACAAAAGAGTAGTATTTTGAAATGCCAAAACAGAAATTATTATCCAGAAAATATTGTATAAATAAAAATTATTTATAAAAATACAATATTATGGAGGATGTTTTTTTTAGAACTGTCAAAATTTGACATTTTTTCCGAATATGTATTCAGATTTTATCATTAAAAGTAACTAATTTTTTCCCGTTTTGTTCCCTGTTTCTTTCGGTCAATTTAGAACTATTTTTAGGTCGCTCATAGTTTAAATAACTTTTTTCGAAGATGAAAATAGGAACACAGCAGGTAAATAATAAAACCGCATACGTAAAATTACATGCATACTTTCGCAAAACGTTTTTTTTTTCACCTGCTCGCTTGTTCCGGCTGAAAGATTTTCCATTCGCAACATCATGCCAGTTCTATTTACATATTTTTGCTACTTGAAGTCACTCCAGAGCTTTACAAAGTCAAATCCGTATGGAAATGTCGCACCGAATATGTAGTTTGGATGAGATCGGATACGTTATCCGGATATAAAATATATATATATAGGTATTATGTACGTATGCAACGTATTTTACCCCAGAAATGTCACGTAGGTCTTCGTTAATATAAGTACCAATTTTAGCCTCTTCAAAAAAATGAGTGGATTAAATTTTGTATATCAAACACGTAAATAATTGGACACCCGCTTTACGTGTGGAAGTGTCGATTAAAATAAAAGAGCAATTTTGAAGATCATGAACAGCCAGGATATTTAGAAAAATAAATTTTTAACCTTGTATTATGTCGCCTAGTGCATTATTTAATTTAACAAATTTTTGAATAAATAATTTACAAAAATAGTTTATGATTATGGAAGATGTTAAAATTATTTTAGCTGACGTTAAGGTGTCTAAGGCTTGAATATTAAAAGATTGTGCAAAAAGTTTACAATGGTACCAAAATATTTTGGCTCTAAAACTCTAATTTAGGTTTTCTTATTTTATCTCTTTATTGTAAATAAAATTAATACAAAAAATATCTCACCTTAAAATAATAAATTTAAAACAAGCTTTATTAGTGTTTGGTAGCATATCTTTAAAAAATTAAATCCCCTGTTGATTTTAAAAATTTTTTGGTTTTCCGTAATCCATTAAATTTTTAAAAGGCCACCATTTTTCGGTTTCTATTCGTTTTAAGAGCTTTAATCAAACTACCACAGAGAGTATAGGAACATATTTTAGACCGAATATTTGGTTTAGAAGATGTATTATAGTTGTGGAGCAGTGGTATTGGAATCTCAGTATAGTGTTTTCGAATGTGGGAAATAATATTTCAAGATTGAAACTAAAAAATCGAGTTTCCATCGTGCTTATTTTACTTAATCACGCATTTCAGAAAAATTGAGTGCGGTCAACCATGAAATTGCCCACTAAGAAGAACACTACTGCGCTCTGTTAGCGCTTGGGCTGCTAAAAATGTTATTAATTATGGAAACAAATTCTTTAATTTCACGCAGAAAAGTTCTCTGTACACACGTGCCTGTGACCAATATGTGTTATGTGGTTTCAACCAAACATGCTCTTGCTCATTCTGCTTTGGCAGATCTCAAGGTTTTGACCTTCCGTGTGTGTGTTTTGTGCTAGAGTGGTACGTTAAACGGACGTTTAGTGTCACTACGAACCCTCTTTCTGTTGATTCGATTTTTCAGGTCTGGTTCATGGTTGCTGCACGATTCAAAATTGCCCCAGACTTAAAAACAATTATAATATCCTCTTTGAAAACGCAACGCGTTTAACATATTTGCGTGTCAAGTCAGAATCATTCGGAGAAAAAAATGGAAAACAATGTAATGTAATTAATATTGCAAAAATCGGCGCTAGATATAATATATCCGATATACTATTTAAGATAACGTTTTTGCGATTTTTTATTGATAGAAGCCGTAACGTTACAAATTTTACAAAAAAAAACAACTGTTTTCGATTTTCCGTAAAAGTCTAACAATCAATAAACTGTTTTGAAATAGTGTTTTACTATTTTCCATTTTTAAAAAAATGTAACCAGTTTCAGTAACAGTAAACAGTAAACATATTCACAAAACAAACAAATTTTTGTTGCGCACACTTAATTTGTCAGCTTCTCAACTGCACCAACGTTGGTGCAGACAATGGAGGTTCAAGGTTCTTTTACTTTCACAACTAACGTTTTATTGCCTCCTCTCAATTGGCCAAAAAACTAAATAATAATAAATCAGATCTACCCGACAGCCCCACAAAACTAATGTTTTTCCGAATTTGCGGGGAATCGACATCACGCTGTCAGTTTTAGCATCGTTTTAAGGTTTAGAACGACGCGAATAAATATTTTTGCCTCCCACGCTTACCAAATATGGCAACCGGGGGGGTGGTTGAGGCAGCGGTGGCGACTTCGCGTCTATGAATGTGGGTGTTTCTATTCACTTAGTTGGGAATTTATATCCCTCTCGAATCATCTCAGCGATGTTTTCGCTTCTTTGCAGTGGGACAACATTATGGAGAAATGATGGACAGCGTTTTTTTTTCTTAAGAGCTGCCACAGCGTTTGCGCGTTCTTGTTGCGCCGGTTAGTAAAATCGATAAAAAGTTTTTGAAGCTCGTCGGATGACTCTCCACGTGAAACGCTTGTAAACCGATTGTTTATTTAAAAGCCCAACACTTCAATTGAAATTAAAATAAATGTTGTTTATTTTTCTGATAACAAAAATTTATGGAAATTATCAAAATGGAAATAATTCTGTATAGTGTTTAAATACTGCTCGTCAAAATATAGAATTATGAAAAGGAAAATATTAAATTCAATTATTATTCTAATTTTGAAAAAATCTCGGTGAAGGTGTGAAAAAATAAGCGATTTGTGCAAATCAATTAGATTTCAGATGACAGGAAAAATCACATCATATTCCAAAACGCAAGGCTAACTGTGCGAATAATATATTTGAAAATTAACACAGTAACCCAAGAAGTTATTTAGTTTCAATCTATTTGCGCCATAGTTTTTAGAATACTCATTGGTATTGGTATTGGTATTGGTATTAAGGGGGAGCCCCCGCGGGCGTCCCATCATATAGGCCACCAGATTGACCCGCTGTGCCCCCGGACCGCGCTAGAAGGCGTCCAGAATGCCGCTCCTCCTATAGAAGGTCAGCAACTCCTTTAGCCCAATACCGTGCACTGAGTCCGGATCGATCAGGGCCGTTCCAAATCTTGCCCATGTCAAATCAGGGTATTCGGTGAGCAGATGATACGTGGCCTCCTCCCCTTCCATGCACTACCTCCACTCCGGGTCGTCTCCAACGCCTAGCCAGCAAATATGCCTCCTAAGCCTACACTCCCTTCTGGTCAGTCCAAGCAGCTCCCTGGTTCGAGGGAGGGTGGGCCCATCCATCATAAGCCTCGCCTACCTGATTCCCGGAGCAAACCCTCCAGCCCACCACGGCTTCGAGAGCTCCCGCCTCACGTACGGGGCGATCCCCAAGCGGGATTGTGGTCCCATATACCTGTACCAGTACCCCTTTGCACTCCTTTATCAACAAGGAGCGCGTGCGCACTGACATAAGCGCCATAAGTGCAGAAGAATACCTCCTGCTTCCATAGTTGAGCCGAAGCACCTCTCTGGCCGCTATCAATATAGTGAAAATTTCCGCCTGAAACATGGTGCAGTACTGACCCAGAGAGACCGACAAGCTCAATCCCGTTGTCTCGCAGTACGCTCCAGCTGCGGTCAAATCTCCCATTCTGGACCCGTCCATGTACCAGGGTCCATACCAGGAGCCAACTCTGCCCTTTTTCCACTCTTCCCTTGATAGGAAGAGAAAGGTCCATTTGTCAAAGAAGGTTATCTCAGGAATCATGACGTCATTCGGCATGCCCATGACACCGCGATCTCCGGGCCAGCCCTCTAAAATGTCGTACGGGCCCCGCTTGAAGGTTCCCTCTCTCCAGAGCCCGCAGCTCGCTAGCATTGCAGCCGTCTTGGCCGCTTCCATCCGCACCCAATCCGCCAAAGAGGACAGACCCACCAGAGCCTCTAGAGCCCTAGTGGGTGCCGTCCGCATGGCGTCCGTTATGCATAGGCATACCAATCTCTGCAGTTTATCAAAAACTCGATTAGCTCCTCCTCTTTTGGCCCTGGGCCACCATGCCACTGCCCCATGCGTGAGCATAGGTACCACCGTAGATGCAATGCATGATCATTGGTCCCAGGCACCAAGTGCAACCACCGCTCTCCGGCACGCCCACAAAGCTCCAAAGGCCGACCTGGTCCTTGATCTTATGTGTTCCTGGAAGTTCAACTTGGAGTTCAATCATACCCCCAAGTACTTAACGCTTCCGCTTGCACAGAGAGGCACCCCATGCATCGAAATGTTGAGGTTACGCTCCATCTTTCTTTTCCTGGTGAAGATATCCATCTCCACCTTGCCAGGATTGACAATTAATTTGCTGTCCTGGCACCATTGTGAGAATCTTGCCAATGCCCCGTTCAGGAGCTCCTGCATCCTTCCCACGTCCGTCCACTGTGTCATTATCACAATGTCATCTGCATATGCCTGAGCATAGACCCCGCATTCTTCCCTCAGAATATGCAATATCTCGTTCACCACTAGGCACCACAGAAAGGAGGCAATACCTCTCCCTGTGGACAGCCCCGTGATGAGCCGATGGAGACCTGCTCCCCACCCAGTCTTGCCTCAACCCTCCGATTCGTTAGCATGGAGAGGATCCATTTTACAATGACCGTCCCCACTCCAGTACGCTCCACCGCCCTGCAAATCGAGTACAGGGCCATATAATTTAAGGCCCTTTCGATGTCCGTGAACACTCATATTATATTATATGATCTAATCAACCACAACTGCTTTTGCTGCTGGAGGTTGTCGTAGACCATGAATATTTAAAAATAATGCTTGTATAATCATTGTAATTCTACTACGTTCTGTATTGATTTATTGTACTATACTTTTTATATGTCTGATTTTTCCCATTCAGAATTTTATGTTGAGTGGTTTGAATAAGCAAATAATATATATGTACAATAATACAATTATATACAATTATTTTTAAAAATATCCCATTGGACAAATATGACGTATATTAAGTATCTTATTAATTTATGCTTCATTCAAAACTAAATCCGTTTCACAACATCAAATAGATCAATTGCCTTGCTGTTACGGAAAGCTAAAAATCTCATATTTCAAACGAACGTTAAAAAGTTTAGCCGTAATTTTTTAATTAAACTATTTTTAAGGGCAATTATAAATCGTCCAATATTGTGTTATTTTTATTTATTTATAAAGGATTGTTTGATGAAAACATTTCTTTATTTCCCTAAATCAATCCAATAATACATAACAAAAATATTCCTAAACTAGCTCTAGCTGTGGCCACGAGAATACTAAAGCCTTATGCGTTCATAGCTCGCAAAAGCTGGTTATTCGTATTCGTATTTCATTTTATATTTTGTAAATTAATTCAATTTTTTCTAACCCCAGAATTTGTATTCTTGTAATATTAAGTTCATTATACAATTTATCAATATTAGGTAATTTGGTTAATCTTTTATATAATTAAATAAGGGTTTCAAAATTCTGTTCTGAAGCACCGAAGCAGTGTTAGCAAAATTAGTTTTACCACAAGCAATCTACAATGACAATACATATCTGAAATGTCATCGGTATATTATAGGACAGAGTTGCAGTCAAATGTTACATGAAAATAATTGTGCTGTTAATAAGTAACTAAAAGTCGCTTGTATATCAATAAATATCAAAACCTTCAAGACTAAACCCAAAAATATTACGTTTCTTTTTTTTGTTTTAGACAAAGGCACATTTAGACGTACTGGCCGATGCGCTACTGCGATGGGCACGAGGACGTTAGGTTGCAACGTTCTAGGCGATTTTTGGGCGTCCGAAGTCAGGTCCGGACTCCCCACAAATGGTCCTTAATCCGCCCATTGTCGTCTAGCATACTTTCAGAGAGCAAAAAGACTTCGCTAGCAGCAGCTACGGATAAATAACATTCCTTTACATCCACATTCCTCAACCTTTAACATTCACGATTGTATTTTGTGTTTAATGGAATATATTCGACAAAACAAAATTAAGGAAGAGACGAGCGTGTTCCGCTTCTTTTTAATTACTATTATTTAAAAAAAAGTCAAGATTTGGCAAAAAAAAGCAGATCCGGGGTTTCTCTGTAGCTCTGCCGCTGGCCGCATAGTTGTTTTCCCATGAATAGCGCAGAAAAAAAAACCAAAAGTCCAAAATTTTCAATAATCTCTTGCTGAAATGAGATTCGACAGAAGTGCTCTGTAGTGTAGAGTTTTGATTTGTGTTTAGAACAACTTCAGAAATGAATTGATTCTTTTTATTTCCGGTCAGTGTCCTAAACTCAATGAAATTGTTAAATAATAGGTTGTCTAGTATTTGTTACAAGTTTATTATTGTTAAATTGTTAATATTTTATAACGATGTTAATTTGCCTCGACTTAAATTTTCGAGACGTGCATATATTTTTCTAGAAAACGAAACCGATAATAACTTCAACTGCATGATTATAATTGCACTTAGTAGTTAGTGGATTAATATTTACTTCGAATATAAGTGTTGCATTGTCTAATATTATCCATTGGAAAGGCTTTCGGTGTAGCATATTATTACGCACTTCTTAAAAGTTGAAGTTATTAGTAACCACCGAATGGTTCATTTTGGGCAGAAAACATGGAGGCTGGGCCATTGTTTCGGATTTATAGCGCGACATTTGTTCCAAGTAAGCTCAGTTTATAAAATCGGGCGATGACCTAACCAGTCATCCTGAGCCACCGATTTTACTAATTGACAATTTTCGTCAAAAACGGCAAACCGATTCTAAACAGTGGTTTAGTTTTTTACCCAACATGATTGAAGAGAACGGACATTTTTCAATGGAATGCGACAAAGTCTAGGCAAAAAAATTAGCAAAAGACCGAAACATATACTTAAAAGTCTGAATATTTACGTTCCAAGTCAACTTAGCAATGAAAAGTCGTTGTTTTAGTTTTAGAAAACGCAGAAAAACACATCGGCCTACGGTATGACCGCTTACAATGTTAGTCGGAATGATTTTACACCGGTGACTCACCGATATATTCTATCGCCTTTTTTCCGATATACAAAAATATTACGAGACAGACCTGCACAAAAAGATAAATAACAATCAAAAGGTTAGCCAACCTTTATTAATTCATAATATATTTGTATATTGGTAGTAAAATATGAGTTAGGGACAATTTTTAATTTAACCTACGCAACCTAGACACATTAAGTCTACAAAGGTGCTATGGTAGTACAAGCTGAGGAAAACTTAACAATTCTAACGAGGTGCAAATAACAAAAGAAATTTTACAAATTCACTAGAAAGCAATGAAGAATCAAATCTTCAGACTTCAAATATGCTTTCGAAAGAACTTTATTTACATTTTTCTTTTATTCGCTCATATTCTAGCCCAATTTTATAGCTCAATTTATTTGTACTAGCTTACTACATGGCAAAATTTTTTAGTTCAATGCAATGCACCGGTGTAGAACCATACGGCTGATACCAATCAATAACTGAAACACGAAGAAATGAAGTTGTTAAAACTTAGAGATAGCCTTATACTAAATATTTTTTATTTAGTTAATCTCAGGGTCAAAGGCATTTCCACATTTTTCCAGCATCGCCCATTACCCACACTGTCCCCGTGAAAGGAACCCAATTCAAAATTGAGTGTACGCCACTGCAATTGTGAATTTGGTATCTTTTGTTGCCCCCAAAAGTTGTTCCTAACTTAGGCGGTTAGTTAGAAGAGCACTGGAGCACATCTGCACCATTTTTGCTGTCCTACTTTTTTATGTATAAGCACTTTAAAAGTGATTTGACATCGTAACCAAATTTCTTAATGTGATATACTAATTAAATAATTGTTGATAATCCCGTCGGGAATCTTTGTTTTCAACATACATATAAATGTAATTTTTTCCATACGACCTTTCCAGGAAGACTCCTTAAATATGGGTGGAACAGTATAACTAGTCTAGTCAATTCTAGTCTCGTAGGAACTTATAAAATCTTAGGAGGTTCGACGTCAGACAGGTTCCTTTCGAGGAAAAGGATGATTTCAAATTAGCTGCCCGTAGTTACAGCTGTTATTGAAACATAAAGTAATAAATCAAATATCATTTGTAACAGTCGCAATAAAATTTAACGTAATGTTGCGTAGTTTACGAATTGCCCGCTTCTTCGCCATTGGATATCCTACAGAGGCACAATCACTTGCATAAAAAACCCGAAGCTGCCAATTCGTGAACCACGAATGTTTATTTCGTATTGATATATTTATTTCAGTATTGTAACGTTAGTTGTTAAGTTCAGGCAAACGGTGTTTAAGGAGTCGTGCCGCACATAACCTGCACTTGAAATAAAGATGTATTATATTCTATAAAGTCAAAATATATTTATTTTTTACTTACATATTTAATTTTTAGAAAATATACTGTTCGAATGGATGTTTATATAATATAAAATGCACTGATTTATGTAAATTCTAAGGTTATTTCGTCATGAGTAAATGTCACAAATTGCACACCTACGCACAACGTAACCCGGTCGGTAACACCAATCGTCCCCCCACCCACTGATTTGGGATGTTTGTTGTTCGATTTGTCCTCGTTATCTCAATACATTTGTAGAAGAGTCACCACATCTCCCGAGTCCCCTCCTACCCTCTACCCTCGTCTGAGCCCACCCTTGTAAAACAGTTAACATACTGATCTGGTTAACTTAACTAGCTTTAAGTGTTATAGCGGATCGGCGGCCTAAATATTTTTATAAAGTTTGTTGACTGATCATGACTTCGACTGTTAACAATTTCCCGTAAAAAAAAAATGGCGCGTCATAATAGATTTTTGCTCTTTAGTGTGAACTCGGTCAGTATGTTAAACCAAACACCTAACTATGTGTAAATGAGTATATTTTACTATTAGTGTATACATACAGAAAGAAAAAAAAACATGATGATGTACAATATAAGGATACGATGATATTCTAGATAATCAGAGATGTGCTATGAAGATAGAATCGAAAGCGGGATTAAGGAGAACTCTGTATCTCGTAAAATAAATTTGAGTGACTACTATCTATCCTGATACCTATAACAATTATGTAAAAGTAAATGAATATAAATGTACAATAAATGCCTCAGCCAATAAAATGGTCTTAAAACTATTGTCGTAGTATTTTTTTTTCCTTTCTATACCCGCATTACAAATCGCGAATCTACAGAGTTAGTCACGGAAACTTATGATTAAGTTGCTACTTAAACACAAATTTCATAGTTAGACCTTTTGATGAATGCAACGCACGTTTTTAAATGAAAACATGAATATGATGACTTGAATGAATGTAGAGATTATAAGATATCATTCCAAATGCCGCTTTCAACCAATAAGATCTAGCGGCATTGAAGAATCCACATGGCCGCTCACAGATCATCAAATCGATAGTTTTCCGTTTGGTTGCTGCAGTATTTTGTCAAAATATTCCCAGATCTCATTAAAGGTGAGTTAAATTTGTGGAAGTCGCTGCTTAGAAACAAAATGCAGGAAAGTAGAGGTTAGTGTGTGAAATCTAGGGGTATGCGCAGAAGATCATTTCTTCGTTTAAGAAAATGTTGTCTGAGAAGGGTCGGTGTTGCAGTATTAACGGTCCCTACATTATTTAATAGTTATATGTTATTTTCCGAACATCACAGCTCCGTTGAAGGTTTCTCAAAACGTTATATCGATTTAAATGTAGTAAGTTGGACGTCTGCTGCTAGATGGCACTGCGCAGAGGTCCTGGTTCATGACAGAAAATATATATTTAACGACAAAATCTTAATTTAAATGATAAATAAACATATTCACAAGATATTCACCTGTACTTGATTTGTTAATTCTAGGTATATTTCAAATTTATCATTGTGTCTAACATTAAGCATTAATAATTTTTGAATTCGCTACTTTAAAACGATTTGACGTATTAGATACAGCAAAAATTCTTTTATAGATATTCCCACTGGCAATTCTACAAAAACAAAACTTAGAAATCTTGATCTAAGTTAAGGCGTAGGAGTCTTTTCCAGTCGTATTTTCCGTTGTTGTACATTCTACAGCAATCCACTCGTTATTATACTGCCTCTCAATCTCAGAAAGCACATTTTTTACCAAAAGGTAGTTCAAAGCAGGTCGAAACAGATTGGTCGAAAGATGAAAGTTTACCATTCATTTAAAATCGTACGTTTACAGCTATTTTTATGAACCATATAGAAAAAAAATGTTCAAGGTACTTACCTTGAGGATTGTTATCCATGCTATTCTTATCCAAAAAGTACAAGTAATATTTTTGTGAAATAATTTTGACAGCGTTATAGAGCGGCACCTTTCAATTTCCCCAGGTGATCGAATTTTTTTTAACCTCAATTATGTATAGGATAGCCGTACCCTTGTGCGCACATACCACGGCAAAGATTATACATAATAGTATATCTGCAACAAGTGCAGTAAACGTCATTTAACTCACAAGTTTATTTGAAACGAGCGGAGCGAGTTTTTAATAAACTAGTGAGTTAAAAAGTTTACCGAACGTGTTGCATACTATACTTTTTCTACGACTGTTAGTTTTTGGGTACATTTTCGCAAAACAATACGAATACATTCACTGACATGACCGTCCCGAATGAAGATAATAGCTTATGACCGTCAGAATTGACAAACGTCAAAATTCAAAGCGTGAGAAATATCTCCGAAAACATTCGATTGCTCCCAAACCCGCGCGGTAAAATCCCGGAAATGTCCGAAGTGACTCGGATTCATGGGAAACGAATCTGAAGTGGTAAAGTAACGTTTCCCGCACGCTAGATCGGTGGGTAATTAGGTATTTTACAGACGGGAGTAGAAAAAATCTTTTACCACGGCAATCGTCGATAGTTACTAAGATTTGAGAAATTATAGATATAATTCATTTATGTAAGTATAATACTGAAATTTATAAACTATGGATAATTTTACTTAATTGGAGCCCTAGAAAATTAAAATGCGCAGAGATAAGTTTTAATATTATTCATTTTATTTCATATTTACTATTCTAATACTGGAAATATAAATACACATTGCAAAATAAAGTTCTGTAATAAGATACAATCAGTCTTTTACACGATTTGAGTCTCAGAGCAATAAAAGAAAACGAAATAAACAAAAATATCTGAGTCTAAGAACATACAAAAAACGCGAGCATCATTTGTGCGATTGATTTTTGTTGGATATTCAATCTAGTGTGATCGAGCACGGTCTTCCCGGTACAATCGCAAACCTAGCTAAGTGGAAAGAAAATTAAAACAAGAACTACACTACAGAGAAAACGTCATTGTCTTCAAAAACACAGGTTAATTTGAAGTCAAGAAAATGTTTTTCAGTTCAACGCGTATTCGAAGAAATGTTCCAACTAGTTTGTCGATGTTCCTAAAATGATGTCATCCCGGATCAACTCCCCAAAACTCCCACAAGAGAGTAAAACATTTTTCAGGACCTCTCCTAATGAAGTTGTGCAAGAATGACACATAAACGCTATAAATTAACCGCAACTGGTGTGTCTTACTCTTTTCAATATCTCGAATTTGGGAGAAGATTATTTAAGGTCTTGAAAGGTCGCATACAAAAACCATTAAAGTGACTATGTTCACTCCCTGGTTTGAATACCCAGAATTCACTCTTTCCCACAGAGATCGTAACTAAATTGCTTAAAACATATCTCATCACTTCAAATAAAAACGTGAATGTGAAATTATTATATTTAGTTATACGAGGTTATTCACTTTTGGGATGTGTTTGGATGGTTCCTTTATAAAATTACTTTCATACAATAAAGGTTGTCCCAAAAGTGTTAAAACTCTCTAAGTTGTATTTTTTTATGAAGGCATTTTTGGATTCTCCAAAATAATTTGAGTTCTGACAAAATGTAAACTAATTTGAATTTCTCAACTACATAAGCAGATTTTTAAATGTTTTATCCCAATTATAAAGACTCCTAATCTAATAACAACTTTAAATGAGTGTCAAGTGTCATAGCTAACTTTTTGAGGTTTTTGGTGCCTTTTGCTGTTTTCTAAGTAAAATTTGTTTCATCTAGTTGCCTATGGTATTTAGAAATGTCAGATAATGTTGGTTTAGTCTGTCAGCTCTGTCTGCTTTTCATTGAAATTATTGATAGTGTTTAGTCCTAATGAATGTTTACTCGAAAAAGGCCGTATTGATATAATTTTTATGTAAGAAAAATATCAAACTACAGGTGATATACTTTGGATAAGAAATTACTTTTCAAGCTTCGTAAATATTCTTTAAATATATATTTATAGTAATTACCTAATTACCCGTTGTCATAAAAGTCATAGAACACTTGTTTCAGTCGTACGATGCAAAAAAAATATAATATACAGGGAGTTCCATTAAAAAAAATACAACTTTGATATTTTTGGACCATCTGGGACAACAGAATTTTCCTTAAATATTTCCATAGATTTTTTTCTAAATGTAATAATGATGAATATTTGAATATCTAACTGAAGTTTACTTTTATGTAGGCACAAAATAACAACTATTCATTCAACTCGATTAAGTGATCAAATTCCAAAGGTCATTGGCACTGGAATGGAAAGTACTAACAAATTGGCCAAAGCTTGCGATCTTATGTAATGAAAGAATAACGAGACAGTACTCAACTCCCCGCACTGTCCCCTAGCTTTTCATAATCGTGTTCCTTACCACAGATCCGTTATCCAAAAAATATAAATCAGCTAATCGACGCTCGCGTTTCTCCTAGACAGGGACAACGATACGAAAACGAGATGAAAACGTCGCACTACTTCCTGGAGTTGACGATAATCTTTTTGTTTCGGACGAAAACCCTTTTTTTAAGATCGGTCGGTCGCTTTCTTTTTCGCAAACATTTCTTCGCAGCATCCGCACCAGTTTGACTAGAACCGTCTTGGAGCACGACCAAGTTCTTGTCGTCGATTTTCACCACTTTCGGAATCGGTATCGGAATCGGTATGGGTATGGGCAACGGTAGTATCACGGGATAAGGTACGAATACGGTTTGCGGCGGCAAAAGGTTTCCCAAAATACTCTTTATCGGATCTTCCGATTTCGGTGGGATCGGCGAACTAGAAAGGGACACTTTCAACTGCGGCGATTCGCAATTTACTTCGGCTGAAAGCGATTTTGATGACGATTCCTCGAGAACGTCCAACGGTGGCGTGTGTCTGACCCTGAGATCTTGAGGCGCGTCGTTGGTCAAAACCGCAGAAGTGACCGTCGAGGAGTAACGTTTCCTCGATTTTTTGCATTTCGCCGTGCGATGGTGGTTCTTTTTTGGTTCGTTTGGCATTAATTTGGCAGGATGCGCAACCGAGATCAGAGGTAGTGTCGACGGATGTTTGTACGAGTCCGATGAGGTTCCTTTGGAAAAGAGAAGAAAGTGCTTAGTTCTGAGCTAAAAGGAGCCCCTGAAATCATCATTATGATATAAAATTGAGCGAATACTTAATAAACGATTGATTGAAGAAGTACTACGTACTATATTTTTTCTTCGACCATTACCAAAACACATTTTTGTAAAAAAGTATCGGGTGGTGTGTGATTTAATGCTTTATTGCAATACTTTTGGTTATGATTAATTAGGGTTTTAGGTTTTCTTTAGCTAATTATTCGTTTTCTTCCTTAGCACAGTGCGGAACTGTCCAAGTTCCTGCAAACACTTCTAAGGTGCCAAACATCGGGGGTTGTCGCTAGTTTCAGCAGTACGTACAGTCTTCTCAATTATAATCAAATTAATTTTAATTCGTACACGACGTACAACGTGCCGAGTACCATATTATAACTTTTACGGCAAAACCGAAACTTTGCGTACTATTACTTCACTATCATACGTCAACGGGAGTGCGGGTTGAGTGTTTCAAAAAATTTATAGATTTACTTCTTGCTACCTTGCCCAGGGAACGTTGCAATTGATTCAACAAGAGTAACTCTCAAGTAGGACGCAAAAAATACAACTCTCGAATAATGTTCGATCTTAGGAAACCCATATTTAAATCTCGAAAAAATAACCGGATGTTTTCTAGAATACCTTAAAATTGGTATAATTAAACAGTTTTAACAGTTAATAATTATATAGGTTTAACGTTCATTGAGATCTACAATTTGGGGAGCAAGATTCTTATTGCGAAGCGAACTTCAAGTACAAGCATTTGTATTAAATGCTTTTGTATAAATTATAAACGTTTTTGCGTGAGTTACTATTTAACGTAGGTCAAATAATTTAGGAAAGTGTTTGATACAAACAAACAAATGTAGTGCCAAATATCATTAACGTCATATAGTAAATATAAATAAATAATTTTATTTACACATCTTCTTGTTGTTGATAATGAATGAAACTTGCTGACGTTTCGCCAATAATCCTGTTGGTTTCTTCAGTTCTTCTTCATATAAGTTCGATAAATAATTAATAAAGTATTTTAGAAAATTTCAGAAATTTCTGTTATGGCACCTTCTATCCGTTTACTAGTTCAGTATATTTTTGATCTAGATTTTGGACAATGATCACTATGCTCCCTTTTTTTCAAGTCTTGGAATAATCCTCTGTTTTTAAATACATCTCTCTCCATTGTATCAAATTTCTCTCTATCTCCCTCATCCCTATCTCTGTTTTTATACTCTCTCCCTCTACCTATACTAACTAGTTAAATCTTTCTGTTGAGCTCAAATATTCCCTACTACAGGTTTAAAGAGAGAGAAAGAAAAATATGCTAAAAAAATAGACGCTCACCTCATCACCCCAATAACCAAGAAATGCGGGATTGGAGCGGTCTTCTATTGTTTTTCGATGAATTAAATTTGATCAAATTAATATTGCATATCACACCAAAGCTCATTTTGCGATCGTTTGGATGCTCTCTTTAGAGACGATAGAGATTGCTTCAGTAACTTTATTTTTACTTAAAAAAAAATTATTAACATGATGCTGCTGCGGTATTTTGTTAGTATTTTTATCACCCAAAAATTCTCGATTGATCGGGCTACCTGGTGATATAGGCAGATCGATTCTGTCAGGAGGCGACTTGCAATTCCTAAACCAAAGATCCGGTGTGATGAGGGTTCCGGTGGACGACTGTTCGCGGTCAAGGAGATGTGGGTGAAGTTCCAAATGCGCCCTGGTTTCCCTGCAGAATATATGCATTTTGTACTGGTTCAAGCATTTATCGGAACAAAATTGAAGTTGGGAAGCACCGTCCTGCGAAAAAAATGGTTAAAATCCAATTGCTCTAAAACCATTCACTTATAGAGGCTCACCTGAAAGTCGACATACGAAATGGTCCGACGTACGTGTTTGCACCAGTCGCAGGTCTTGTTTCTTTTGAAATTCGCCCTCCTCGATTGCGAGAAACAAAGTTCAGAGCAAAAGATGGCGGTGGCGGATGTTAAACCGGTAGCTTCGTCGACCGATTTGCCGCACCAACCGCAACCTTCTGAAAAATAAACGGAAACTGGAAAAACAGATTACAAATCGAAAACAAGTCTGAAATAACAATGGCGGAAATTTTCTTGTAGAAGAACAGTACAAGGTAATACTAATAATAAAGCCTTCTTCCAAGGTGTCACTCAACCAAAAAGAAATAAAGAAAAGAAAAAGATAATTGAATTGGTTAATGTTACCAACCAACAAGGGAATGATTTAATAAAATAAACATTAGCCAAGGACAACCAAATCATGATAATTGATAGGAAACATAACAACCATCCAAATATGTCACATTGACCGCTTTGAAGTCGTTAAGTCATACGTATACCTGGGAACACTATTGACAAATACAGGCAAATCGGAAGAAGAAGCGAAGTAAGTGCAATATGGCAAAGGTAGCTGTTCGAAGACTGATCAAGATCTGGAAAGACCGGCAGACTTCAAAAACCGGCTAGTCAACTGTCTGGTACCCCAATATTGACGTTTGGCTGCGAATCGTGGACTCTCAGACAGACGGAACGTAAGAAGATGGATACTACCGAGATGTATTATTATAGACGTATTCTGCGTATGCCATGGACTGAACGCCGTACACAGGTCTCCATTATAAATGAAGTTAGTATTACCAACAGGCTTTCCGGTCAAATCCGACTAAAATAACTAAAATATTTTGGACATATAATGTCCGATTCGATGGATAGACCAGATCACGACTAGCTGTAGCAAGCCAATGAAAGTCAGGACTGACTACTGTCAAAACTAAAATATCGCAAAAATTTTAGTACTCAGTGCCAAATAACGAGGTCAGGACAATAAATATTAAAAAATCGAATAAATTTAAAAAACAAAACTTCAGAACTCCATTGAAGAATTGGTGCTTAGTTTTCCAATAGACAGATGTCGATTCTTTTGAATAAATGTGGTATTGGTTAGTTTTGTAAGGACTTGTGATATATTTCGAATTAGCATCTAAAACGCCTAATCCGTGCTGACTAAAATATTAGTGTTACGAAGACTCCCGACATTTTTGGATATAAAATCGTATGAAAAAGTAAGTGTTAATAAACTGAAATGGCTGGAGTACCAAAAAAAGTAGACAATAGAATGCAAATCATAATCTAAAAAAAATATTTACAGACTAAATAGCAAAAAATGGCTGAAAATCGTTAACAAAAACAGACAAAATATAACCATCGGATAATTTGAAAACGAGTAAAGAAATAAAAATAATAAAATAATATTAATTCACGTACCAAAGAAACTATTAAATAACACATTTAGAACTTTGCGAATAAGAAAATAAAATAACAACGGAATAATAACGGTAAGTGGTGTATAAGTAAGGTAAGTCTTATCACAAGTCTATCTATTAGAATCATATGACACTTCTTTTAGTTCCAGCCTAATCCTAACAGTTAGCAATACTATTTCTGTTTTCCTGTTCATTTTCTTCTCTTTCATTTCATCTCTTTTATCAAAGCGACATCATTTATAATATCTTTGTTGTTTCTATAACAAATATTTAAAAAAAATTACCGCAACTAGTGTAGTTAAAGTTGCAACATTCTTTTTTTTTGTTTAATAAGTATTTAAAATATAGCAAATTCAGCTAGTATATATTTTATAATTATTTTTGTACTAAATGACTACAAATATATTTCAGAACCATACTGAAATAAGCGAACCTGCAACGACCGTAAATTGTAATGCCAAAAACAAAACTGCCGCTTTATTATTATATTTATTCGTTGTTGTTACAATCCCCTAAAAACGCTGAGCTTTTAAATTCAGCTCGTTCCGGTAACTCGAGATCTTTTATTTTAATGAGTAACACAATATTGATTAATGTTTTGGGATGTAATTGAAACATTTATTGGTAATCACACCCCGTCTAACGAACGACAAGCAAAATATTATTTTGCCTTCTAATTATGTGAAAGTGAAAAGGGTTTCACGAAATAAAACTAATTTAAATTTATAGGGAAAAATGAAAAAAAAATGCGTTTATAACAAATGTTGCTTACAAGAACAACTAATGTACTATTTAAATATCACTGTGAATATTCGTATGTTTTAAATTAACCACTGCTTTCAATTCTACGAAGCGAAGCGTTTCCCTCTTCGAAGCACCCCATATATTATACGCGTCACAAACCAATAAGCAGATTCTCAGAAAATGATCCACTCTTTAATATTTTCCAAGAAACGTTACTGTGTAAATACGTGCTAGTCATATTTACAGTATGGGTGTGTGTAAATCATTCCCGGCGGCACACCTGCCATTAAGCCTACATTGAAAAATACTTACTCTGTTTAACAGATTGTACATTTCATTTATTATAACAGGGGTAATTTTGTAACTAATAAATGACACTTTGAATGTGTTGTTGTTCTTATCTCGAGTGTGGATCGCAAAGAAGTTTTCTTACCGGTAAATTTCAATGATTCCACTTCTGAATCGTTGCTCGCGGAATTTGACCTGCACTTTCGTCTACCTTTAGAGTCGTCCCTGGGGTTATCGTACCCATACCATCCCAAAAATTCGTTCATCGCAGTTTTCGCGAACTCCTAGAAAAGAATACTAGTCAAAATTTTGTCACTCCATTTCACACTACAGACAACAAGAAATCAAGAATTGTTGAAATAAATCAACTTGCTGAAAAAAATTACGTGATGTTTACATTTTTTATGTTTTATTCGATAATCGGATTTTATGTTTTCCATTGGTGTTGCTTATTGAACAATACGGTGGACGACGTCGAAATTATTTAAAGTCATGAATTTCAAGTGTGGGGTATTTAACCTAGCGTTAATTGATTTTCGAAATTGCAATAGCAACTAAAAATAACAAAAAACACGGAAATGAATCTCTAAATTGCGAATTGAAACATGAAAATAATATGAAAAATGACGGATGTGTTAATCACAAGCAACAATTTTCTGAAAAGAAAAAATTAGGCACAGAAACGAAATTAAACAAAGATAGTTGTGTACACCGTGTGCCAAATAAAATGATCCACGATACGTTCTGGAAACCCATAGGAACACACTATATTTTTATTCAGATATCAATTTTAGGACAAAAAAGAATTTAAGTCCGTAATTTATCTTATATTTAAATGTTTGAGACATTCGAGGTTTAAGATAACACCCGTATAAATTCTTGTTGAATTTAAAGCTGCCCACATTATTGTTGGCAATATTAGTTATTTTTTAAATAGCAATAGATATTCGAATAAAACCTACTGCTAAGAATACAGTGTGCCCATTAATACGTGGAAATTTTGAAAAAAGTTGTCTCTATGCTACACACTTGCACTTACAAATTAAATAATTAAAGTTTATAGGCTAACTAAACAAGGGAAGAAATTTGAATAAATAAATCCATAAAACAAAAAGTGAACTAAAAACTAAATTCCATTGATAAAGTTTAGTAAAAAACGTTCCTCTTAAAATGCTCGTTTCATCTGGCATCAAAACAACAAAGAAATATCGAAATATTTAAAAATGTACTTGGCTATGACAGCACAATCTTTTTTTTTTGACACATTAAGTTTAAACACACTCTGACATTTATGTTTGCTTTTGACACCCTGTATAAGTTGAGGCGCATCTGTCTAACTGATGGAGTAGTGCATCGTCTTCTAGGTTTGTGGTTAAATTTTGGTTGCAATACCTGGATACTTTTCGGATACCCTGTATCGACAAAATTGTAGTATTTTAGATCTTTAGGAGAATGCAGGAAACTTTTGTACCAAACTTTTTTTCGTATCTCGTATGGGTTTCCAGATCGTATAGTGGATCGTTTTATTTGGCACACGGTGTACATACAACCCTCAAAAAATACATTTTAATAACAATAACACATATTTGTAGAATAATAATAAGGTTTTTAATAAGTCCCTTTATAATCGCTGATTGATAATATTAGTAAAATAAAGTGCTCAGCTATGGATCGCCCGTGCCTTATTTCAAAAAATATGGGTTAACCATATATTTTCAAGAACAACTTTATTAGTAAAACAATGACGAAAAATGTCAGCTTGTCAGCACAAAGAATTAATGATTGTCTAATTAAATTTGAAAGACAATTTAATGTTTTATTGCAAAAAAATCGATAATTAGGGCTTTCGTTTTTTTTTTCTTGCCTTGGCATGGTTAGTTTTGCGCAAAAACAGATATAATCTCTTTATTTTCAAATGAGTTGTAGATGTAACTCTTGCGGTGACCAGAATATTGGCCAGGGAACGTTGTAATTTGTTTAGAAATCTGATAACTCTTAAATGAGACGTAAAAATTATAATTTTTGAATAATGTCAATTTTTAGAAAATACATTTTTTAATTTCGATAAATAACCGAGTGTTTTCCAGAAATTATTTCAGGTTAAGCTATTATATATGAAAATGGAGACAAATCTCAAATTTTAGATCGAACCTATTGTTATCAATATTCTACAAGATATTCGAACGGGTAATAGAAAAAAGATTATTTCTTCCCTTTCCTTTAAATCATTATTAAGAATTATTGTCTTTATTTCAGCTAATTTTAAAATCGTGCCATTTTCTAAACGAACTTTTAAGTAAATTAAAAGCTGTCTATGAATTATGAACGTTTTTACTTGTAGTAAAGGTAATTTGTAAAGACTTACTTAAATGTCTATCAAAAATGATTTGTTAATATACTATTTTCCTCATTGAGTTGTATTACGCCGTCTTGCATCCTCAATTATTCCACAGCAATTAATTTGTTTTTCATCATAAATTCCAAAGCTAACATTGGTTTCGGGTACCCTACCAAAGCTGCTTTTGTCAGAATACCATAAATCAAAAAATTCTGATGATATGAACTAGTTCACTTTTGATTTAGGGTACCTTCTCGTAAAAAGGTCAGTGGCGGTTCGGACTTTTGGGGGTGTCTTTAGTTTGGGTGGTGGTGGGAGGGTAAAGAGTAAATCTCGTAACAGAGAACATGGAATAATAATACCATTTAACATTTACAAAGTCCGCTAATGAAAAATGCAGAGTAGGACCGCGAGTAAACTAATCCGTTGCCGTGTCTATACGATATACTGTGGAATATAGGTGGTAACCCGATACCGGAGTTAAAGGATGCACGGCATGGCGTCGTAAACGGAGTCTTTATCCTTTATCGAGTGTTCGTTTACAAATATTTCCAGCGGTAATTAAGCGCTATGTGCGATCCAACACCGGCGTACCACCGACGCTCCCTTTTAATTTTGCGTTAGTTTTGTTAAAATGATGAAAGTATTGCCGAACTTTCTATGCAACGAAATCGATGCCCTGTATAGGGACCGGATTCCCGGTTTTCTGCGCGAATGGAAATTATTATTTATAAAATAATATAGTAAATGAAATTTCCATAATGGTTCTCTTTTATGTTTCTTTTCTACATTCTTTTCTAAAATACCGAATTATGCACTGAACTACGGAGAGGAAATAGGAGGTCTCCGGAAGACATTTAAAACATTGATGGAATTTTGAAGTTTGTCAGTTGTAAGCAAATTTTAATTTCATTTTTTCAATCGTAATTTAGTATAGTACACATTTATAAAACTTATTCAGCGAATCATTTATTAAACATCCGCTCTGGTGCCTAAGCAAACTCGTGACTAAAATGTGGTTTACAAAACTTGTTGCATAATATACTGTTAGCAGCGATAGTCGTATACCTTAATTTAAATTTTAAAAAAATCCATTTTTTGTTGTTAAGTTCTAATAGGCACTCAACTTCAATCGTCGCATAGAGAAACGCAATTTTAGTGCAACCTTCGTTTTTTTGTTGAATTGAAGAATAAATATATTTCGTGAAAATTTTGAACCCTGCGCTTTTATTACAAATTACTGTTGTGTTTATCGAAACAAAATAAGTTTTCCATTCTTTTCTAGCATATTCCTGTTTGGTGGATATCACAAGCTTTCACAGGAATATTTGTATTGATTATCTGCACATTTTCGGATGCCTCGAATAAAAAGAGATCAAAAAATATGTATATTTAAGCGACAATACAAAATTAACAGAATCCAACAAAATGATACAAATGATGCTTTACATAAGTTTTGTATAAATTTTTAGTGGTATTTAAAGCCAAGTAGACAGATATACCTAAATAGGTAAAAAATTTATACGAATTTTGTAACGATACCTATAATATTTTATACAATTTTTTTAAAGATACGATATATTTTTCATCAAAAGTAGGTAAATTAATTAAATTATTTTGATGGGTAAACAAGAATCATTGAACTCACCGATTTTTTTTGTGTATATGCAAGACCGTATTCCAATATTTCTATAAGATTTTCCGTGTGGATTTCGCTTGATGTAAAAATTTTTATTCCACGATTACCAACTACCAACAGTCAGATAAATTTACATTCGCTTTATTGGATAACGTCGAATGTTAGCAATCAAAATTTTCTACGAATTGTCCTTTGTTTAAAGTTGAATCACCGTCCAACAATGCCATAGCAATAGGTTAATTGAGAGATAAGAGCTATTTCTAAGTAATTTTAAAAAGTATTCCATTATTCCTCCAGTTGATGCCAATTGTAAAGAAAGGAGCCACAGAATTCGTTCATAATTTTTATTTCATTTTTAAACTCATTTTCAGACTACAAAAAAATAAACTCTTTCGTGGGTTAAGGAAGTCTCTAGAAATTCTGCAACAATAACAAAATTATCGACAAAAGTGGGGACAATATGGTGAAGAGTAATTTTTTAAATTAAAATTTTTGAATAATTCAATCAAATTCCTACACCGTTGTGAAGAAGTAAAAAATTATGCAGGTATCTACTTTAAAATATAAATACATTGATACTGCATTTCTCTAGAAATAGTACTTTACTATTTCACATTTTGCCACAGCCTGTATGTTGTTAAACTTGAGGAATTAGACCAAAAAAAAAAATTAAACAGGTAAAACTTTTGGTTTATTATTGACACTACAAAAACCATAAATATTCAAGAACCAAATTATGAAAAGATACCAAAATTAAAATTTGAATATGTTTGCGATTTTTGAGGAGTTTAAAATAGCGAGATGAAGTGTATAAAATATCCTGTACTTACAACGTCTGCTGATAGATATCGTTTGCACGCCATCTGTTACTTGATACAGTGTATCATTTTACCTACTCAGGTTACACATCCAAGTTAGGATGCCGCGTTCGCTTTTACTTTTTATTACAAGCCGCAAGTTCGATTACAACAATTTAAGGATCAACAAAGTCCGTTTCGGTTTAAACAACGTAATGTGAACCCTAGCGAAATAACAAAAAGCTTTCGCATTGCTCCATTAAATAATTAACAATTTGACAAAGCATAATCAGTAAAATAATGGGTAGGTATACTCACTTTTATATCGTCGCCTAAGTCTTCATTTTTAACGGCAACTTTTGTAATTGATACCTCATTTAACGCACTTTTTTCCATCGCGATAATTTTTAAAAAAGCGAAATAAACAGTTTCGATTGATTGATTCGCGTTTTTCGCGGTGATTAGACGAAGAAAATCATTTTTCATTCGGAAATGCCAAACTATTATTCAATAGGTTTTCGGAAAACTACGCACAACGTATTAAATAAAATAGTAGCGCTTGTGGGGAACATTACTGGCTCGGCTGTGCATGAACGTTGTGATTATTTTGGTACGCGAAGTGGGGCATTCCCGCCAGTGGTTTTAAATATTTATCACGCATGTTTGAAGTTCGCGCCTGCTCTCGTTAATTATTGTGATATACGAAGGGCTTAGTTTTGGCGGAGAAATACGTGGTCATTGTCATATATTTTTTGTAATGTGGTTTGGGACGTCGTCTCTCAGAATTAGTAAATGAATATAAAATTTTTAAATCCTACATTTGAATGGGTTGTTATTAACCTCATATCTTCTCGCGAATTGCATTTTTTTTATATACATACGTGGTTAAAATAAACAAAAAATGTTTACCTACTTTAACAAATTCAAGCCTACTTAATTGATTAACTTGTGATGCTCGGAAGCATCGATCAAATGAATGGTATAAAATTGTGATCGAAGACAGAATCACATAATATTTAACTAGTAACGCAGGTGTTCTGTGGTCGATGTCGAATGGTTAAAACGATTAAACATTAACCATCCATCTAACCTCAACTCAATGTGGACCGGGTAGTAGTGGCAGTAAGAATAATGTAATTATAAAAGCTGAAAATGTTATTTTGTGCAGAATTAACAACTGTAAAAGTAATATACAATGTTTTAAAATCAATTACTATTAAAGATGTAAGAGGTTAACAAGACAAGGCGTCATGAGTAATATACATATTTTAGTTTGCTATTGTACGGCCCATGAAGGAAGGTTTAAAAATTACAGTTGAAGAAATGAAGTGTATCGAAACGTCCGCTTATATTCCATGCAATATGTTTTCAATGTATCATATTGATAAAAATGAAGAATGCTTGTTTAAAATCAATTTAAAAACACTTACTGAAATTTTAAACATATTTGGAGACGATGGAAATTCGAGTCTTAAACTCAGCTATAAATCACCTGGATCTCCTTTATGCTTAGTGCAAGTCTTTTTTCAATTTGTTTGTTTGTTTTTTGATTTTGTTTATTAGTTAATATATGCTTTTAGTTTATATCATGGTGAGGAAAATATCACTGTTGGTTGTGAGATACGAACAATGAACTGTGATGATTTTGAAAATCCAAGTTTAGCCGAGGAATGTGATTTAAATAAAATTGTCATTAATGCTAATATCTTGCTGGAATTGCTTCAAAGGCTAGATAACTCGGCAGAGGAAGTTAAAATTACCTTCAATCCACAGCCTCCAAATTTTATTTTAAAAACTAGCAGTTTGTCAGTAAGTTCAGTTAGTAATTCAATACAAAAATTTTAATATTGTTCCTATCTATGTTTAGAATTTGAAGCAACGTATTTTTTTAGGGTGAATCTGAAGTCAATATTTCAAAACACTCAGAATCTGTTACTCTATTCCAGTGTAAGGAAAAGATAGAATCAGTGTATGCCTTTTCTAATATCAGGCACATTTTAAAAGTGATGCACTATGCTAGTAAGGTTGCAATTTCAACTGGAGAGTCTGGTCTTCTAGGGCTTCAACTTGTTATAAATTCAGATGATAATCAGATGTATGTTGAGTACTATGTAACAGCACTTTATATTAATGACCAGTAAAATTGCAAATTAGTAAACTTTCTAAGTAAATTTTTTCAGAGAACTATCTTCCAGCTAAATGCCTATATGTAACCAAATAAAAAATATTCATTTTGCATATCTTCTAGAATCTCATTTATTTCAAATAAATTAATAACATGTTTAAAAATAAAACAACAATAAATTAAGTACTTTTGTAACATCTATCTTTTTTTGTAATTTTTCCAGTAACTGTCGCTTTGCATTTCTGTTAATCTAGATAGAGTTCTATCGAAGGCAAAAATCTCCTCCTCCCCAGTAAAAACATTTGCTGTCAAATCATTCTCAGTTATCTTTAAGTCATCCATCAGCATTCGGTGCTCATCACTGATTCCAGATTCTAAGCTTCTATCAGCAGTAAATATCTGTTTAATGGGAACATCAGCTGACATAAGAATTTTAATTCTATGGTCATACAGGGCATCAATTAAAGTTATAAACCTTCTACCCTCGGATCTCATACGTAGCAAATTTATTTGAGGAACGTCCCTAATGATAATTGTATGAAAAAATTGAGCAAGGTGAAGATAGTCATTAGCACCTAAAGGTCGTTCACATAATTCTGCAAATGAACTGTCTAGTACTCCTCCACAAACCTTTCGGAAAGGAACATCTCGTCCCATAATATTGAATGTTCTACTCCTTATTATGTCATTTTCCTTTGAAATTAGCACTTTAAAAATCTTTTCTAAAGGATCAAGTTTATAATCCCCCTTCACAAAAAAATTAGTTCTGGATCCTTGGACTTTTTGTCTGTAATCTATGCCTGAATCTAAATTTATCACATTGCAATGATTCTGAAGCACTTTTATGAAAGGAATAAAGTTTGACCTCTGTAATCCATTTTTATATAAATCTTCGGGGGCCCGGTTGCTAGTTGCAACAACTACAGCCCCATTATTAAACAGTTCTGTAAATAACCTTTTTAATATCATAGCATCTGCAACATCAGTAACTTGAAATTCATCAAAGCAAATCAACCAGGCATTTTGAATTAATAATGCTGCAACAGGAGGGATGGGGTCAAATGGTTTTGCTTTCCTATCAGAAAAGTCCTGAACAACATCTTGCTTTAAAAGATGCATTTTTTTATGGACTTCTATCATAAATTCATTAAAGTGCACCCTCAGTTTTTTATCTAAGTTGCAACTTTCATAAAACATGTCCATCAACATTGTTTTACCACCACCTACTGCTCCATAAATGTACAAGCCTTTGGGAGCCGCTTTCCTATTGCTGGAAAAAAACCTGTTAAAAAATGTATTTTCCTGGGGAGTGTAGTACTGTACGTCTTCATAGACCCTTTGTAATTGTTCAGCAACCCTGGTCTGTACCTCATCTTTTTCCAGTTGTTTTGACACCACTTTGTCATCGAGACTAGTAAGGGGTCCTCCCAGTTTTTTGTGTTGCACTTTCAAAGAGTAGTGCGCTTTGAATTGAAATTTTGGGTCAACTTTTTTTTGCTTTATAGTTTTTAAACGTGTGTTGAGAATAAAATGTTGGGAATGCTTTATAGTCCATGTTCGTAACATTACATTGAAGCTTAAAGTTTAATAGACAAGTTGGTAATGTTACATAATAATTTTGTATATTTATGGTTTAACTAACCCCCACACGTCATTTTGATAACAGGTAGACCCATAGTTAAAATTTTGTAAATTTCGGTGTTCGTAGCAAAGCCTCTTTGTTCGGTAAGACACTGTTCTACAAAATGTGGTCAAAATTTCCTTTTGAACTATTGCAGTGAACCATTGATTCTAGTGGAGTTTCCTACCATTTTTTATTAGAATTTAAGAAGAAGAAATGTGTTCTGTGGTTCTATGTTTGTGTTCATGTATCTCTCCAATAATTAGTTCTATGATTTTGTGCTGTTTAAAGGTTTAACCGAGCATCTAACATAGTGGATTCAATTTTTATCTTATTGTAAGTTATTTTTACATTTTATTTTCAGAAATATGGTTGAAAAAGACTAAAACTGCTCGTGGGTGGTATCTCCAGATTAGTGGCAGTTAGGGAGTAAATCGTTGAGATCAAAGAGGGGAGATCAAACAAAACCTATCAGAAAATGGGCTTGTTCATTTGAAGAAGAAATATTTTTCTTAGATTTGCGTGACGCTTTACGAAATATATTCGAATTTCTTTTGATAACTTGACACAAAAATTGTTTTTTTTTTGTTTGATCTGCTTTTAGAATACTTCATCAGGATGGCTAGTCCATCACCTCAAAACAGTCCTATGCCGCCGCCCCAGGCGCCGAGCCCTATGGGACCCCCGACATCCCACAGTCCAGCTCCGCCATCTCCCGCTCCTCAAAGTCCCTATCAAACTCCTCCACAACAACCTCCAACTGGTTCTTCAAGCATTCCTTATTCAGGAGGTGGTTCCAATGCTCCAATAAATCATCAACCATATCCTGGGGGTTATCCCATGCATGGACCTTCAAATGCACCTGAACATCAGGCTGGCCATCCTGGAGGACATCTAATGAGTCCACAGCCTGGAGGATCCCAAAATGCCCCACCCGGTGGTTACCCTCAAGGGCATCCAGGTGAGCATTCTGACATTTTTTTTGAAGGAGTTCACCACTTTACAAAATACTGTCACAAATTCGCCGCAATCATGCGAAGTCATTAAATCTGCAAAATACCGTTGCAATAATTTAATGATGCGTAGCCACTTTTGACAATTTTGGTATTTTAGTTGTGAATAGATGATCGGTGATAGTAGTTTACTTTAATATTATAACAGGTAAATGTATCAATATGTAGAAGTGATCTTACAGATCCATAAAAACAAAACCAAATTTAAAAACGCACTAAAAAATTATTAGTGGGTAAAACAATATACTGCTTGGAGTTCTTTCAGAACATTGTACAAGTGAACAAAATTTTATATTTTATATTTTACGTTATTACGTATTGTATGTATTAGTAGGCCTTTTGATGAAACATATATAAATTTTCTCATAAACAAAACAATGCTGGAATCATTTGGGATTTTGGAAGTCTTTAAGTTTCATTAAGTTTAATAAGTTTTAAGTTTGCTGAAAATTTTTGAGTAAAAAAATTCAAAAACTGCATTTTTTTTTTCTTTCCAAAAAGGAAATGATGTTACAATTCAACTTTTTATGTTTTAAGATCTTTTATTCATATTTTAGGTTAGAATTAGAATGTTAAGATATTGTTCCATGTGTCTATTAGGTAATGAACTTTTTCAGCTAAAAAGAACTACCAAAATTAAAATAGAAGCAAATTTTAAAAAATTATATAAAAGAACTTGACACATTTTCTTTATATATTTTTGTGCCTGAATTGTTCTGCTTTGTTTATTAGATTTTTAGAATACTAAAAGTTTTATTTTTCAGTCTTAATTTGTCATTTGCATCAACCTGTATTCATTTTTGTTATACATGTTTTTTATAGTACCAACTGTGCATAATGTTTTCATTTTCCCCGCATAATATTGGAATAAATCTTTTAATTATAATAACAATAATTTCAATTGGCGTAGCTTCTTCCGCACTCCTACTTCCACCTCATAAGCCTAATTTGGGATTCTTCGTAGTTGTAAAATGAAATCATGAAAATTATTTACTTGCATTATAATCATGCGCACTATTATCACAATTTTTACCGTAGTGATTAATCCATCCATTTATTTGGTTTTGACTAATCTTGAAACTCTTGTTGTTGATAGGTGGCCCAGCGTATATACATCCACCTCAAAGTCACAGTCAAGGTCCTCCTGGTAGTCCGCACATGCAAAATGGACCTCCTTCCCATCCTCAACATCCACCTCAACCCCATCCTCCTCATCCAGGCAGTCAACATCCACTCCCACCTCAAAGCCATCATCCATCTCAGGGAGCTCCTATACCTACACAAGGTCATCCGACTGCTCCATTGCATCCACAACAGCATTCAGGAATATCACATCCTGGAGCTCCTCCACATAGTATGCCACCACAAGGAGCTTACCAAGGACATCCCATGCATTCCAGACCAGTAAGTGTGTAGCCATTTTTTAATTTTTATTTTACTTTTCACTAATTTGTATATATAAAAGTTAGCAAGTTGCATGTTTGAATTCAAAATTTTTTATGTCATGTTTGAAATAAAGTTTTTATTTTAAAGAATCCTGTTTCTCCTGGGACCCAAGGTGTTCCTCCCAGAGCAGGTCCATCAGCAGAAAATATAACTGCCTTGCAAAAAGCTATTGATACCATGGAAGAGAAGGTCATTTGTTTTTTAGATTAACTTTGTCTCCAGTAATAATTATTCTTTTTAGGGCATGCAAGATGACCAAAGATATTCCCAACTCTTAGCTCTTAGAGCCCGTACAGCTCAAGCTCAGGCCAACTCAGCTTTGACTCCCATTCAGATGAATATATTGAGAAACCAGATCATGGCCTACAGGTGTTTAGCTAGGAATCAACCTGTTCCTCATTCAGTCATGATGGCATTGCAGGTATCTATTTGTCTAAATCAAAATTGCAATCATATTGACACCATTCTCTTTAGGGCAAAAAACCAGATGGTAGCCCTTTATATACGCCATATCCACAATCAGGAAGTACACCAACAGGTGAATTATCCAACGATCCTAATGCCGATCAGGCAGCCGCTCCAGCTGCAGGTGGAGTAAAACCGGGACTAGCAGGAGCAACTGGGGGATCTCAGGAAACACAAAGAACTGGAAACAATCAGCTTGTTCCCCAACAGCAGGGTAAACAAAATCGAGTGACTACGATGCCTAAGCCGTGTGGGATTGATCCCATTATTTTACTGCAAGAGAGGGAGAATCGGGTTGCTGCTAGGATTGCAGCAAGGATCGAGGTCGTTAGCAATTTACCCTCTGACATGTGCGAGAAGTTAAGATTGAGGGCTCAAATTGAGCTCCGTGCGTTGAGATGCCTCAACTTTCAAAGGCAACTCAGGAGTGAGATTCTGAGTTGTATCAGAAGAGACACAACGCTGGAAACTGCTGTTAATATTAAGGCTTATAAAAGAACCAAACGCCAGGGTAATTATAATTTTCATCAATTCACCTTTTTCATACCTTTCCAAATTATAGGTCTTCGCGAGGCTAGAGCGACAGAGAAACTTGAGAAACAGCAAAAACTGGAGGCTGAGCGCAAACGCAGACAGAAAAATCAAGAATTTCTTAACTGTGTGCTACAGCACACAAAAGATTTCAAAGAGTTTCACAAAACAGCTCAAGGGAAGCTTTCTAAAATTAATAAAGCAATCATTAATTATCACGCTAATGCGGAACGGGAACAGAAAAAGGAGCAAGAACGCATAGAGAAAGAGCGTATGAGAAGATTGATGGCAGAAGACGAAGAAGGTTATAGAAAATTGATTGATCAAAAGAAAGACAAACGTCTGGCATTCCTTTTGTCACAGACTGATGAATACATTGCTAGTTTGACTGAGATGGTGAAGCAGCATAAAGAAGAACAGACACGCAAGAAGAAAGAGGAAGAGAGAAGGAAGAAAAGGCAACAAAGAATGCAGGAGCCTGATCGAAAGGTTTGCATTTTTTTAATAGACTTTATATTTCTTTATCATGGTCTCAAGAGCAAAACAGGTTATCAGTTTTTGTTTGCGCTAAATGCTATTGACCAATTTTTGAGGTTACTTTTTGATAGGTTGTGGTAATGGAGGCGGCCACTGGGAAAAAATTAAAAGGGGAGCAGGCACCTACTTTCAGGCAGGCCCAAGAATGGCTGCAACAGCATCCTGGTTGGGAAATGGTGGATACCGATGATGAAGGTCAATGTTGTGTGTGCACTTTTGACTGTATTGTTATTTTAATGGTGAGGTTCTTCCACAGATGATGAAAAAAGTGATGAACAGAAAGAGGTGGAAGAAGACGAAGCAAAAGCTATTATTAAGAAAGCTAAGTCAGAAGATGATGAGTATCAGAGAAATGCTCTTGAAGAACAAACTTATTACAGTATTGCCCATACAGTTCATGAAATGATTACAGAGCAGGCATCTATTTTGGTCAATGGACAGCTGAAAGAATATCAAATTAAAGGTTAGAAAACAACACGCACCTAAATTCATAATTTCTGGTACTTACGTTTCAGGATTGGAGTGGCTTGTGTCCCTTTACAATAACAATTTGAATGGTATTTTGGCCGATGAGATGGGCTTGGGCAAAACCATCCAGACTATTGCCTTAATTACGTATTTAATGGAAAAAAAGAAGGTGAATGGCCCATTCTTGATTATTGTTCCATTGTCGACTATATCAAACTGGATGCTGGAGTTTGAGAAATGGGCACCATCTGTGGTAATTATATCATACAAGGGTTCGCCAGGTGCCAGAAGAACCCTTCAAAGTCAAATGCGGTCTGCTAAGTTTAATGTTGTGCTCACCACTTACGAGTATATTATCAAGGATAAGAGTGTGCTTTCAAAAATACCCTTCAAGTACATGATCATAGACGAGGGACACAGAATGAAGAACCATCATTGCAAGTTGACCCAAGTGTTGAATACTCATTATTTGGCGCCACACAGGCTTTTGTTGACGGGCACGCCTCTTCAAAATAAACTGCCTGAACTATGGGCACTGCTGAACTTTTTGTTACCTTCAATTTTCAAGAGTTGTTCAACATTTGAGCAATGGTTCAATGCCCCATTCGCCACTACCGGAGAAAAGGTGATGGTAAAAAAACGACTGAACTGCAAATGTTAAATTTTCATTGTTTTAGGTTGAACTGAATGAGGAAGAGACTATTTTGATTATACGTCGTCTGCATAAAGTACTTAGGCCGTTCCTGTTAAGGCGATTGAAGAAAGAGGTGGAGTCTCAGCTACCCGACAAAGTCGAGTATATAATCAAGTGTGATATGTCAGGATTGCAGAAGGTGTTATACCAGTAAGCAATATGCTTTGCCAAATTGTTATTAGTAATGCTAACTTATACTTTTTTTAGGCACATGCAGAGCAAGGGTGTACTGTTGACTGACGGGTCTGAAAGAGGAAGCAGCGGTAGGGGCAAAGGTGAGTTTAAATGAAGTTTGAGAGGAAATTGAAGTTGCCCAATATTTTAGGTGGAGCTAAGGCCCTAATGAACACAATAGTTCAATTAAGGAAACTGTGTAATCACCCCTTCATGTATCAAAATATTGAGGAGAAGTACTGCGAACATGTGGGCATGCCTGGTGGTATTATGACTGGGCCCGATACTTTCAGGTATCAATTGAATAATATCTAAATTTATTAACAAAAATGCGATAAACCATCGGCGTACCATTTTTTAAATTATACTTGGCCATCATTTTATATGAATTTATTTATTTTTAAATAATCTTTAAAAAAAAAATACCGGGACCATACTATTTCTGGCTCGAAATATCGGGATTATGGGGTGTAACTAGCGCCCTCTGCATATTGTGTGAAAAACCATCTCGAAAAACCTCCAAATCAATATATCAAAAATTGTTGGAGCCATAGATAAGGGAAAGATATATCAATTTCGAAAACTAAATTTTAACACCAGTATCTCTCTAATGCGCGACATTTTGTACAAATTGTGTTTTGTTTTATCTCCATTCATAAAAGACAAATTAAAATGTCATCTACTCAAAAAAAATCATTTCACCTTATAAAACCTAATGTTATTATAGAGCTTCCGGTAAATTTGAACTACTGGACCGTATTTTGCCTAAACTGAAGGCCACAAATCACCGTGTGTTGCTTTTCTGTCAAATGACTCAACTTATGACCATCATGGAGGACTATTTGAGTTGGCGCGGCTTTAAATACTTGCGGTTGGATGGTATGGTGAAGGCCGAAGACCGTGGAGATCTTCTAAAGAAATTTAATGACAAAGGAAGCGAATACTTTTTATTCTTGCTCTCCACGAGGGCCGGAGGTCTCGGACTGAATCTGCAAAGTGCCGACACCGTTGTTATATTCGATTCTGATTGGAACCCCCATCAGGATTTGCAGGCGCAAGATCGCGCACATCGTATCGGGCAACAGAACGAGGTTAGGGTGCTGCGTTTGATGACTGTCAATTCGGTGGAGGAGAGAATTTTGGCGGCGGCTCGGTACAAGCTTACTATGGACGAAAAAGTTATTCAAGCGGGCATGTTCGATCAAAAATCAACTGGATCTGAGAGGCAGCAGTTTTTGCATGCCATTTTGCACAGTGACGGAACTGAGGATGAGGTGATGAACTTCCGGATTGAATTAGGAATTAGGAATGTTCGAATCTGTTGTAGGAGGAGAACGAAGTTCCAGATGATGAAACGGTCAACCAGATGGTGGCTAGGAATGAAGACGAATTCCAGCTGTTTCAGAAAATGGACGCTGAAAGAAAGATTGAGGACGCCAAGATAGGAATACTCAATAGGTTGATCCAGGAGGAGGAATTGCCGGATTGGTTGGTCAAGGTCAGTCCCCAGATCGCGGTCCGTCAAGTTCTTATTAAAAGGAAATGTGCTTGTAGGATGACGATGAGGTAGAGACCTGGAACTTTGACGAGACTGACGTTATACTGGGCAGAGGTACCAGGCAAAGAAAAGAAGTGGACTATGCGGACAGTTTGACTGAGAAGGAGTGGCTGAAGGCGATTGATGAAGACGGAGATTATGACGATGAGGATGAAGAAGAGGAAAAAGTGAAAAAGAAGCGTGGTAGGAAGAAGAAAAAGCGGGATGATTCGGATGAAGATGAAGCGCCAGCAAAGAGGAAACGCAAAACTCCATCGAGTACTAGTGAGGCGAGGATCAAGAAGAAAATGAAGAAACTGATGAGTATCGTCGTTAACTATACAGACAGGTAATGATTGTTCTTCTGTTTTTACGAAATTAGAATATATTTTATATTTTTAGAGATGAACGTTTATTGAGTGAGCAGTTCATGAAACTACCAGGTCGAAAGGAATATCCCGATTATTACTCAATAATTAAAAAGCCCATTGATATTAACAAGATTATGAACTATATTGAAGACGGGAAGGTGAGAATTTTGTAGTTTGAGTCTATTTACTTAATATTATCTTCATTCTAGTATTCCGACATCGACGACCTCGAACGGGACTTCATCTTGCTTTGTCAGAACGCACAAATCTTTAACGAAGAAGCGTCGATTATCTATGAAGACAGCATCGTCCTGCAATCGGTATTTTCGAACGCTCGTCAAAAGATCGAAGCGAACGAGTCTGAATCAGAAAAGGAGGAGTCAGAGTCTGAACCACCACCGAAAAGGAAGAAGGAGAAGGAACCAAAAGAAAAGAGGAAAAGAGGCAGACCAAAGCGGGTGGTCAAGAAGTATGTGTCGGAGGACGAGGACGATGATTAAAGGTACAGGGTACATTTGTGTAGTATTTCTTGGATTTATTGATAATGATATATTTTTTCTTTACCATGTGTTAAGTTACTGCGAATCTCAGTAAAAATTTCTTCTGTTTTGTCCCATTCCTAGATCATAAGCTTGTAGGATATAGAAATATGTGTCTGAATAAGGACAGGTGAATTAAGAAGTGTACTTTATTATATTTTACCAAGATTTAGATTATTGATTTCAATTTTTATGATTCTGCATTTGCGTCATTGATAAAGCCTTAGAAACAGTTCCTAGCCATTCTTGTGACCTTAGGAATTTTATAAATTCTACTTAACTTTGATTGGATTCACTTTTTCCAGCCAGTTTTTTTTCTTGTTTAGAATTAAAGCATAATTTGTAATGGCGTTGAATGTTAGATGTATACGGTTTTTACTTGACGCGAATATATGTATCGCGATTGAAATATGATATAGGGCGTAATGCAAAATTTTTGATTTGTCCAGGATTACCAGTTTTGTTTATGTAATGCAGTTTAATATATACAAGTTATATAATCTGCAGGAATATAAACTCTCAGATAGTATTTCGTTTGAGTTTTATTAAAGCCTCTGCCCTCTTGTAGCTGATTATTATTAAATTAGCTGCATCTACTGTTATTTATTTTTAACATTATTTATTTGATTTTGGTTTTCCATCTAAATAAGAATAAAAAAATATATCGACAAGTAAGATGAAAGAATACAGTGTTTAATAATCTATTGGAAAACATTCGCAATTAATTTCTAAAAATTAGAAAATTTTATCTATGTTCGAGGTAAGCAAATTTGTCTGATATTTCCAGGCTTTGAGGAACTTATTTACAGTTGTAGATGAATTATTAGTGTTTTTATAAGTCACTGATAATTTAACAATCATCATCGTCATCAAATTTTTGTTATAAATTGTAAACGTTAACAGATCGCCGGTCAAATGGGCCAATAACATACTCCTTGTGTTTACTACATTTAATATAGAAGCACACATTTTACATTAACCATTTCCTGTGATTAAAAGTGAATTGCTTAATTAAAAATCGTACACAAATATTAATAAAAAAAACAGTTCAGTCACTTAATACAATAAAGCACCAAGGTGTATTGCACCAAAATAAAGTCAAAAACGGCTTTGACTTTTGGAAAGTCTTGAAATATAGGAAAGCTAAAGTTACAAATTGGCTTAATATATTTATTGTTGAGCAGCAGACTTAAAACCTACTAACACTTACAATAATGGCACTGATATATAAATTAAACAAAACCTCAATATCCTCACAGTTTTATTAGAATACAGTTGATTAACAGTACCGTAATCAACGAATTCTGATCGTCGCGTCATCAATCGTTGCAGTCTGATTTTTAAATTTAATTTAATTTAAAGTTTATTTTGGATATTGTCTGTAACTATTTTATTACTAAATGTTGATATTATGAGTAGGACATTTTATTTTCGAAATGTTTTTCGGTTTTTAGCTTTAATTTTGCTGAACACAATGTGTTAAAATTAAAAAATATAGGTCGGCCACAATTTTCAAGCTTATATAATACATTATAAGATAGCGCCGGTAATGCCCGAAACATTTTAAAACAATTTCTATAAATTGTAAGACACCTTCTAATGTCATTAGCAATGTCAATCTGGTCAGTTTCATTGAAGACGCAACGGCCACGTTCCTTTATTGTTTTAATGACGAAAAACGGGTAGGCATCGGTAAAATAAAAAGTATATCAATCATTCATCATTTTCTATTTGAAACTATAGCAATGAAATTTTGAAAATTGTAAAAGTGCCAATAAGTGGTTTCCGGGTTTTGTTTTATTTGATGGTAGTACCGTGCGTTCAATTTATCTTAATAACATTTTAATTGGCTGTAACTTTTTTGTTTTTAGAGATATCAAGGTAGACAAAAAAACAAAATGTAGGGTTAATAGTCAAGTTTGTTTTCCAATGACGTACAAATCAAAACACTATCAATTTTCTGTAATATAAGCCTACATCAAATTTTTTTAAATGGAAGATCCTGTGTTTAATAGAATATCTTATTCCAATTACAATGATGTAAAACTTTACATTTTAGTCCTTTCGTTTTTGAAAAATCGGCAAAAATAGGAAATTTTGTTATAATTTCAAAGACTGCCCTGACTGGCAAATAAAAATATGTTCATGTTTGATACGTTAGTATACACCGTTGATGGTTGAATTACTGTCCAAATCATTATTGTTAAAATGGTTTTTCGCGAATTTAACATCCGTGAATGGAGTGATGCTACAAATATACTTTCTGAATAATAAACCGCAGCTCGTGGTCATTCTATTAATCCAGAGCGAAGAGCTCCTTCAAAATAGATATTTCCAAGGCTGGCAAAGAAATTTGAAGACAACGGTAACGTACTAAACGCTAAAAAGGTATGCATTTTAATTTCGTAAAACGCAAAAACTAAGTGGAGAACAATGTCAAAGGAGTACGCAAACATTTTATGGATTGATGAAAGTACATTCACTACAAGAAAGGATTGTAATAGACAAAATACGGAATAATGGTCTTTAAATAATCGTAGAGAAATACATGAAATAAAAACCCAGGGTACCAATCAATTAATGTATGGTGTGGTATCATAGATGGGCATATTTTGAGTCTGATATTTATAGATCAAAAGCTAACTGGAGATCATTATTTGCAACTCTTAGAGGACCAAATCGAACAATATATAGATTTATCCTTAAATATATCAGCGCTGATTATATGGCAGCAAGACGGTGCCTTGCGATTTTGTGCAAGTTAAAAATTTTCTTAACATGGAATATCCCAGGGGTTGGATAGGGAACGGCAGAACTATGGATTAGCCAATAGCACCGACTTAACTTTAATGGATTTTTTCTTATGGGGACACAAAAAATCACGTGCACAGAACTCCTTGTCATAATGTCGTGGAAATTCGTCAAAGGATTTCAGAGGCAATCAATCAGTTAAGACACAATCTGGAAACGTTACTAATTGAAAGACATCCATACAATTAGAGTGTATGAGAATGTGTTCGGGAAAATGTTGGTAACATTATTTATTATTTTGAATAGTTAAAGAATTTTTAACTTTAGTGTGTCTTGTCATTTTTAGTGTTTTTGTTCTACTTTAATTTGTAAATAATTATTGTTGTTGTAGTCAGTCACGCCAGTCTTTGAAATTATAAAAAAATTTCCTATTTTTGCCGATTTGTCAAAAACGAGGGGATTAAAATATATATAATTGTAAACGGAATAAGATATTCTATTAAACACCTATATAATATACAGGATGTTCCATTTAAAAAAATATGATGTAGGCTTATGCGTCAGGAAATTCATATTGTTTTGTTTCATACGTCAATTGGAAAAAAACTTGGCTACTAACCCTAGATTTTGTTTTTTTGTTTATCTTGTTGTCTCTAAAAACAAAAAAATTACAGCCAATTAAAATGTTATCAAGATAAATTGAACCCACAAAACATATTTTCTCAAACGGCAAACCCATTATTGACTTTTTATTGCCACCGTGTTAAACACCATCTAGCTACCCTCAAATATTACACACATAGTTTTTAGTAATTGAGCTCAAGAGGAAAATAGAGCTTACAGCTGCAAAATCTGCTTTACATGCTAAATTTTATCACATAATCCATCCCCAAATTGCCTATTCAAATTTTCACAACCTGTTAATCTTTTTGGCTTTAAATTTTGTGAGTTTAGTTTTAGTTTTTGGTGATTTTATCACCCATTGCGAAATTTTTGTAAAAAGCGCAGGGTATAAATAATAAAATACAAACCTCTCACCGAAACATTTCCCTATTTTCCCCCGTTGGAAGAAAGATACAAGGTTGGCGGAAACATTATACAGTCATTTAAAGGAGGCTAAAACTCCACATTTAATATTGAAAAAATGCGTAAAAGTTCTTCCCAATTAATTCTGAAAAAGATCATTGGCAGTGAACGTTCCAGTGCACCAAGATAAAACTTACCTTCAGTCATCGTCGTCTTCCTCATCGTCCGACACATATTTTCTTACGTTTCTTTTTCGTTTGTTACTTTGTTGTTTTTTGCCTTTTCCTAATTTGATTTTCATCTTCACCGTAGAGTCTGTGTCCGATCTGCTAGCAGACTCTTCTTTTTCTTCGTCCGCTACAAGAGTTGCCTGTTTGACAAACGGATCTGTAACATCATGGGATTTTTTTTTTCACATTTGGGATGCAGTTATAGTGACTATATTGAAAAAAGTTTTCCCAAATCCGCACTCGAAACCTATGGTATACGACATTTGAGATACGAGTTTTTTTTTGGTAACGAAAGTGTACCCCTGTTTGGGTATTTTAGGGAAGGAAGTAGAAAAAATTGACTGTAAATGACTTTTTTTTGTGTAAAATATACCCTTTTTAAAGACAAGTTTAAAATGACTTCGGGCAATAGTAATTTTAATCGCCAACATAATGTAATGGATTATTGCAAAAGCAACAGTAATATTAATCAACAAGTAAAATCAAAATTTACCTTTTGATTTTACAATAATGCAATATCGATATTATATAAATATCATTGACGTCAGTTTAAACTTATCGTTCAAGGTAGAAACATTTTTTTATTATATTACAACAATAGTATAATAATATAAATCTTATTTATTTATAACGTTTAAAAATAGTTTTCGATAATGGTTTTCATTTCATTACATTCATTTGTATCCCATAAAAATAGTAGTCTCTAGCTTGATTATTGCGCTTTTAGTAAGTTTTCGTTAGAGACAATAGGATTTTTGATATTAGTTGCTGTAAATATTAGGTGGTAAATATCTATAGTGAAAAATTAGTTAAATATTTTACCTTCGGGATCATTGTCAGTCTCAATTCTCTGTCGCGCATTGCAAAACACTGATTGCAGCACTATACTGTCTTCATGTATCAGAGAAGCTTCTTCGTTGTATATTTGCGCATTTTGACAAAGTAGCATAAAATCACGTTCTAGATCGGTAAAATCTGAATACTACAAATGGAAAAAAGAAGTTAATAAACTACACACTTTTTTTACCGTTGTCGATAAATTACCTTGCCATCTTCTATCCTGTTAAGAATTTTTGTAATGTCTATAGGTTTTTTAATAATTTCATAATAGTCGGGATAGTCCTTACGTGGTGGCAGTTTCATGAACGGTTCGCTGAGAAGACGCCCATCGCTATAACCAACAAATTGTAATCAAATATTTTGCAAATCCGCTGAAAATTTTTAGTATTCTTAACATTTTGTTGAAATATTTCTTGGATGATTGGTTATTCAAATTTAGGATACTGTCAACACTTAGGGATGATGGATTCATCTAGACTTTTACTACTAGGAAGGCATCCCACAAGAATTTTGAACCAATCAAATCAAACCTACCTGTCGGTGTATTTCGTGACAATTCCCATGAGTTTCCGCATGTGTTTTTTCATTTTATTATCGGTACCTCCATTTTGAGCGCCCCTGCACTTTCTTTTGCTGCTGGTGGGTGTGTCACTGTCTGAGTCGTCGCCGCGCTTCTTACGCTTCCTGCTCTTCTTCTTCTTCAACTTTTCCTCCTCGTCGTCTTCCTCTTCGTAATCTCCCGTTTCGTCAATTGCCTTCAAGGGAACAATAAAAGTAATATAAGCAATTTCGCCCGCATCATTTTTACCTTCATCCACTCTTTTTCAGTCAAACTGTCGGTGTAATCCACTTCTTTCCTCTGCCGGGTACCTCTACCCAAGATACTTTCCGTTTCTTCATAATTCCAGGGATCTACCTCGTCATCTTCCTGGAAACACTCACTAGAATGGATTGCCGCTACAAAAATAAAATCTCATACCTTAACGAGCCAATCGGGCAATTCTTTCTCTTCTACAAGTCTAGGTTTGCGAGCGGATCCTAGTTTAGCTTCCTCCCTCCTTCTCTCCAGATCCATTTTCTGGAACAATTCAAATTCTTCCACTGAACGAGCTACCATCTGGTTGACGGTTTCATCATCTGGTACTTCATTTTCTTCCTAAATATATCACACATATATATTCGCCCTTTCCCGAATTATTAGTATCACCTCTTCATCGTCTCCATCCTGATGCAAAATGCTTTGCAAAAACTGCTGGCGTTCGGACCCAGTCGATTTTTGGTCAAACATTCCGGCTTGAATCACTTTTTCGTCCATGTTTAACTTATATCTGGCAGCTGCCAAAATTCTCTCTTCAACCGAATTTACCGTCATCAAACGAAGTACGCGTACTTCATTCTGCTGACCGATACGATGAGCGCGATCTTGAGCTTGTAGATCCTGGAAGAAAACAGTCAATCAACCTTAACTACTCCGTTTCAGGGACAGGTTTCACCTGGTGTGGATTCCAATCAGAATCAAAAATAATTACAGTATCGGCACTCTGGAGATTTAACCCCAAACCTCCAGCCCTAGTGGACAAGAGAAATAAGAAATATTCGCTATTTTTCGCATTGAACTTCTTTAGCAAATCTCCTCGGTCTTCAGCTTTCGTGGTTCCATCCAAACGAAGATAGCCAAACCCCCTGTAGGTCAAGTAATCTTCCATGATGGACATCAACTGCGTCATCTGACAGAACAGCAACACTCTATGATTTGTGGCTTTCAATTTGGGTAGAATTCGATCCAGCAGCTCAAATTTTCCAGATGCTCTATAGATGTCTGGACTAAAACAATCGAATCTCAAAAGACCATGCAAGAATATTATGCCAAAGCCTTACCCAGATATAACACCTCCAGCAATACCTACATGATCGCAGTACTTCTCTTCAATATGCTGGAACATAAATGGATGATTGCATAACTTGCGCAACTGTACTATAGTGTTCATCAAAGCCTTTGCACCACCTTTACCCTTGTTACCTCTTTCAGATCCATCTGTGAGTAAAACTCCTTTGCTTTGCATATGCCTGAGAAAAAATATTAAAATTCTTTAGTCTTCGAAGATTTCACATGTTTGTAAAGTTCACCTATATAAAACCCTTTGCAATCCCGACATGTCACATTTTATGATATACTCGACCTTATCTGGCAGCTGGGACTCAACCTCCTTTTTCAAACGTCTTAACAGGAAGGGCCTCAATACTTTGTGTAAACGACGAATAATAAGGATTGTTTCCTCTTCATTTAATTCCACCTGGAACACACATTATTTAAGATCCATAAACTGTCAGCTTCAGCATAAGGAAAATAAAATTTTACTTCATATGCAGTATTTTTACTCACATACCTTTTCTCCCGTAGTCGCGAATGGTGCATTGAACCATTGCTCAAATGTGGAACAACTTTTAAATATTGAAGGTAGCAGGAAGTTGAGCAACGCCCACAACTCTGGCAGTTTATTTTGTAATGGAGTTCCTGTAAGTAGTAACCTATGGGGAGCCATATAGTGCGTGTTCAACACTTGAGTTAGTTTGCAATGATGGTTTTTCATTCTGTGTCCTTCGTCGATGATCATATATTTCCATTGAAGCTAGAAAATTGATAGTTAGCTGTTTTAGAAATGAGAATCAATATGAATACCTTAGCCAAGACACCTTTATCTTTTATCACATATTCATAAGTAGTCAATAAGACGTTGAATTTAGTCGACCTCATTTGGCTTTGGATCTGTCGTCTACCTGCAGGTGACCCTTTGTAGGAGACTACAACCACCGAAGGTGCCCATTTCTCAAATTCCAACATCCAATTCGAAAGAGTTCTACAAAACTATGGTGCGTAACTTATTAATACTTCTCCCTTTGTACTTACGATAATGGAACAATGATCAAAAACGGCCCGTTTACTTTCTTCTTCTCCATGAGATAGGTCAAAAGAGCAATGGTTTGGATTGTTTTACCCAGACCCATTTCATCTGCTAAAATTCCATTAAGGTTATTGTTGTACAAGGAAACTAACCATTCCAAGCCTTTGGTTTGATACTCCTTTAGCTGTCCATTTATCATAATGGAAGCTTGCTCAGTGACAATTTCATGAACTGTATGGGCGATGCTATAATATGTCTGCTCTTCAGTCGAGTTCTTGTGGTATTCATCATCTTCCACTTTAGCCTTTTTAATTAAAGCCTTAGCTTTGTCCTCTTCAGTTTTCGGCTCGTCTCCATCTTCATTTTTGTCATCGTCATTGTCATCGTCGTCTTCATCTTCAGTATCTGCTAGGTCCCAGCCCGGGTTTTGTTGCAACCATTCCTGAAGCTGACTTAAGAGTGGCGCCTCTTCTCCGGCCAGTCTTTTACCGGTAGCTACTTCCACCACAGTAACAGGTCGGTCAGATTCCTGAGAACAGTCGTCATCCCCCTCGGCCTGACCGTCAGCAATTAGCCTCTTCCGTTTCTTCTTTTTACGCTTCTCCTCCTCTTGCTGTTTTCTCTTCTGCTCTAGTTTGTGCTGCTTCACCATTTCAGTCAAGTTTCCGATATATTCATCAGTTTGAGATAAGAGGAAAGCTAGCCGTTTATCTTTTTTCTGATCAATCAGTTTACGGTAACCCTCTTCATCTTCTGCCATTAACCTTCTCATACGTTCCTTTTCGATTCTTTCCTGTTCCTTTTTCTGCTCCCTTTCTGCGTTCGCGTGGTAATTCATGATTGCTTTATTCAGTCTACCTAATCTGGCCTGATTATTCCGGTGGAATTCTTTAAAATCTTTCCCGTGTTGCAAGACGGAAGCCAAGAATTCCTGATGCTTCTGCCTTCGTTTACGTTCCGCTTCTAACTTTTGCTGCTTTTCCAGTTTTTCGGTCGCTCTGGCTTCACGTAAGCCTTGGCGTTTGGTTCTCTTGTAAGCCTAAGCAATAACGATGAATCAAACAGAACAACAATTAGAGCACGACTAACCTTAATATTGACCGCCGTTTCTAACGTAGTATCTCTCCTGGTACAAGAAATAATCTCGCTTCTAAGCTGCCTCTGAAAATTTAAGCATCTCAACGCTCTTAGCTCTATTTGCGCCTGTATTCTGAGCTCCTCAGACATGTTGACTGGTAGATTGGTGAGCTGTTCCATTCTAGCTGCGATGCGAGCTGCAACCCTTTAACGATTAAATTTAGTATTGTAAGCTCAGTGTCTTGTCTTTAATGTAATACCTGTTCTCCCGTTCTTGGAGTAACAATATGGGGTCTAAACCTACCGGCTTTGGCACTCCTGTAATGCGGTTTTGTTTAGATGTGTGTTGGGGTTGGTGACCTGGCTGCTGACTATGAGTCCCGGCCCTTGGTACATTTTGTTGTTGAGGTGGGGTAGGGGCTGGTTTATAAGCCTAAAATGGCACCCAGAAAAAATATGGATATTGTTTCCAAAGCCAAAATTATCGAAATTACCTGTGGGGTCATAGGGCCTTGGGAGCCTATATGGCTTTGCGGTCCTGGAGGGTGTTGGAACGGTCCAGCTTGGGACATTGGCGGAGGACGCATGGGTTGGGGTTGAACAGGAACACTTTCCGTAGGTGGTTCCGGTGCATCCGAACCCTGTTATTGGGTGATCAAAGAAATGCATTTTTGGGGTGAAGAAGATCGATTTGCAAAGGAATGCAATTGAACTACGAACATTAAATAAAGTATGGGTTCTATTTACCTAACATTTGATGTAGTGAATAGGCACGAATTTGTGGGTAGATGATTTTTTATTTTTAATTGAAAGATTACAAAATTTGTTTCAGGGAGATGGATATCACAAGAAATAACTTAACCATTACATCGATTAATGGTAATACTTACAAGCGTTTTCAACATCGATAAATAAAAAAACTCTATACCAACGAGGAAAGATTATCAATAGTTACTAAAAACCACAACGAAAAAATTGCCACCGATGTCGACATAAATAATAATAGTTACCTTAAAATTTAACAATTTTCCATATTGATAATTTCACGGTCACATCGAAAAAAGCCATAAATATTCATGTATTTAGCGCAACCACTTTAAATGACTTAATTGTTAATAGCAACGCATTTTGTGCAATATAAATCTACTTTAAAATTCTTCGCTTATATGTGTTTTTATTTAATATGAAAATCCGGCATAATAATAAAAAAATATTTGTGTCCAACCTTGCATAGGTACTTACCACCTGGCCAGGTGGAGGGGTTGGTGATTGTGGTGTGCCGTCTGGTTTCTTCCCCTGTAGAGCCATCAAGATTTGATGCGGAATCGGCTGATTTCTGGCTAAGTATCTATACGCCATAATTTGATTCCTGCACAAAATCCAGCAAGTCATATCAAAATCCCATTATCCTAATTTCACCACTTTACCTTAGCTGAGACATTTGCGTTTGCGTAAAGGTGGACGCGGCTCCGTTAGATCTAGCTCTCAGAGCTAGAAGCTGCGAATACCTGGGATCCTCTTGCATTCCCTTTTCCTCCATTGAATCGATGGCCCGTTGTATGGCACATAGGTTCTCCTGACCTGGAGGAGGTTGTTGGTTCGGAATACCTCCCGGTGCCGGAGGCATTCCTTGAGAAGGATGCCCTTGAGGCGGGGGATGGGATTGCGGCGGCGGATGATTTTGCGGTGGGGGAGGCGGCGGGTGACCTTGAGGTCCTGGTGATACAGGAGCACTCTGCAAGAAATTCGGAAGAATTTTCATTTAGTATTTGGTTTTATTAACCTAACGATTTTTGAAATATTATTATTTGAAGCTGATGTAATTTGCCGGAAGAAATAACATCTTTCATCTCTTAAAACTCTTCTGCTTAGAAGATCTGGTAGTCTAGTTATAAGTGGCACCATTACATTTTTATATCTTAGCTTCAAACCACGATATTTTAAAATTGTCTTGAAATTAAGCTCTATTTTATTGTTTTTGTGGTTTGTAGTGGACAGCTATTGAAGGGTCAAATCACAATCTACTACTTTGCGGTTATTCTTTCTTCGTTAATTTTCCCGTTAATTTCGATCTTTGGATTTGATCTTTCGGAAATTCTTATATATTTAAAACAAGAATGAAAACCAGTGGAGTGCCATTTTTAAATATCGCCACGTATCTTAACGTTTTGTATTTTCGCAGACTAACATTTTTGGACTATAATCTCACGTTTATTACTATATAAACATGTTTAATAGCACCCTGCCCTTTTAGTGTAGGTAGATGTTATGTATTAATCTAGTTAAAATTGTATGAAGTGCATGCAACACGGCTAGAAACATTAATGTTCTAACTTGTGTAACATTATTTTGGGTTCCCTATTCTAAAAGACATTTGACTTTGATTTTTTTTCTCTCTTAGGGAGAGGCGAGATGTTTATCTAGTCTAGTAAAATGCCTTTCTTACATGTTCAATCATTCAACGGAACTCACAAATGTTAAACGAGATTAAACAATTTACGTGAACTCATAAGATTAACGTCTAATAGAACACGAGAACATTTCGAAATCGTGTGATGTGCAAGGGAGACGACATATACTAAAAATTATCTTATGTATATTTCTGATTAACTAAGGACGATTTAATTAATAAAAAGCGATAGATAAAAACGCTACGCTATGTACACGGGGAGGCAGGAAAAAGTAGACGTAACGCCATGGAATTTAGTGGAAAATGCCACAAGGTTACGCTTATAACTTCGAGTAAACTACAAAACAGGTTGTGCACGCTTTCCAACATCACGCTATATAGACTACGAATGTCAATCTAATTATTTAGATAAATTAAGTAAACTCAGAAATGTGGAACCGCTCGCAATTTAAATTGACGCACTCAGATGAGCCGGATGATGGCAGATGTTAAGGCTTACTTCGACTACGTCTTACCATTGGTGAGGGAAGCTGGTCAGGTAAGTACACGAGGATGGCGAATAATTTCTAGGTGCCTGAAAATCGCACACAGACACTGCTTATCTCAAATATTCACCCGCAAGGTTGTTAATTCATTAAATGTTATTATTCCCGTGTGCTGACTAACATGGTATATGCAACTAGCGTGACGTAACTCGAAGGTTTTCCTGATAACGTGGTTTCGAATGCCGTAGATAATACCGCGTGCGACAAAGATACTTGTCGAGCGCCGTGGAAAGGTATTTGACATGATAAAAAAAATCTTAAGATCGACCAAGAAAAATTACATTTTTCTTGAAAAATTTGCTCCAATTAAGTCTCAAACCCGGATACAATGCAAAAGGAATAGAGGGAAGCATAAACAATCGATTTAAAAATAATGCCAAAGGCGATACCTTCTTCGTTCCGAAATCGTTGCCACGTACAAGAACTTAAATTAAAAACTCGTTTTTGAAACTATTTTTGTCTCGAACATGGGAATATAAAAATGATTTTTTTAAAACTTTATTAATGGGCATGGGGTTTTTACATTATAGAAAATTTAACCCAACTTTTGAATATGTGAAAATTATACCATTCCATTTAACATTTAGAAGTAAAATCGAAAAATCTATGAAGCCTATGAACCTTTTAAAAGCCAGAACAGAGAAATTTAATGTCACCTGATTTTTGTTGTTAACTTTCCTTTATTAAACGAAACCTAATTCACCCAACTGGCGGCCCTTATTTTACGATCTATAATAAATAGTGTAGGTCAGTACCAAAGGGTTGTTTTTAAACAATTTTTCTAGAATTCCATCAGCAAATGTTAGCGGCATTTAGAAAAAAATTGCTTCCCCAGTTTTGAAATATTTTACCTTGCCACCAATTGTCAATTGCTCGCTGCAATGCCTACTAACGACATTTTAGGTTTTGTTGAGCACGCAGTCTCAGAAAATTGAATTCGAAGCGAAAACTCCGTGGGATTTGGTAACCGAATATGATGAATTGGTAGAAAAGAATCTCGTTGCAAAAATCAAAGCAAAATATCCCTGTCACAAGTACGTACCTACCGACACCTTCATTAAAAATTAACACTACATTATTTTTAAGTAAATGGGTTTGAAAACATTATTTTCTTTATTGCACTAGTAAAATTGTACCTTTTTAACGTAAAAATTCTGTGTTAGTGTCTTAGAACTTAATGGACATAACGGCGGAGTCTCTAAATTGGAATACACTTAGAAACTCCATGAATTTTTTTTCCGAAGTATGTTCGAACACTTCGATTGGTATTTGAAACTGCGCTCTTTTTTGTGCCGGAAAATTCTATACAGCTTGTCCGAAATTTGAGATATGACTTTTTAAAAATGCGAACCTATTTTTTAAAATAAGTTACACATCTGTACAAATTTAAAATTTGTAGTCCTATTTAAAAAACAAATATAATCTAATCAAGAAATCCAATTAAAATCAATTCAATTTTTATGCAGTTTCAAAGTGGAACGGCCAAAGATAATGATTTTTAAATTATATAAAAGCACGGAACAAGGATTATTATTATTATTGTTTAGGCTTTCTTTGTTTTTAGTTTTTCTTTTTATTAAGAGAGGTAAAGTATAGGAAAAGTACGAATAAAGCTTCTTATTACTATTTAATGTATTTATTTATTATTATTATTATGGATTGAAGGTTTAAGGTTTAACTAATTAGCTTTGGAGAACATCAAAATGAAGTTATCATGTTATATAGGTTAAATGTTTTTCAAATTTGGCATGTGTAGCTTGATTTACTTTTCGCACATAGTTTCAAAAAGAGAACAATTTAAAATACTAATCGACGTGTCCGACCATATTTCCGAAAAAAAAATGTTTGACTTACTGAATTTATTCTAAGTTTTTCGGAACTTGTGAAGAAAAAAATGCCTTTGACAGATTTCTAACTGCGAGGAAGATTCCTGTAAATTTTTGCACTTCACCTAAAGGGTCGTCTGTAAGCGATAGATTTTTTTTTATGAAATCTCAACTTTGAGTATAACGTCTACATTTTCATACAATATCGAAAATAGAGGGCGCTCTTGGCCTAACACCGTACTTTTTTTACTGGGTGGATAAGTTTCTAATATAAAATATGCCGTTTAGGTTCATAGGGGAAGAACATTCCAGTAAAATAAAAGGCAAACCGACACTATCAGACGATCCTACGTGGATTATAGATCCGATCGATGGTACTACCAACTTTACGAGAAAAATTCCTTTGGTCGCGATATCAGTCGGCCTGACCATCAAGAAGCAACAGCTCCTCGGCATCGTGTGCAATCCCTTTTCTAACGAGGTCTATACGGCTATCAAAGGAGAAGGGGCATATTTGAATGGTGCTAAAATAATGACCAGTGGAGTGGAAGGTTAAAGGGTCAGCGTTGTTGGTTATTTCCGATTACAAATTATTGTTTCAGACATTCGTAGATCCGTATTTTGTTACGAACTGTCGCTGGCGTCGACTAATAAGTACTTGCACGATTTGTACATGACCAGGGTGAAACATTTGATCTGTGAAGTTATGGGGTAAACATATACAGAGACCATTCAGAGATAAGTGACGAATCGGATATATGGTCACCCGATTCGCCACGAAGTTTAAAGAAAGAAATGTTATTTTGAAAAATTATATTTCCTAATTTTGGGATACGGAGCTTTTAAAAAAAAAAATTATACCATTCTTTTGTTGGTATAAATTGAGCTTTATTATTTGTTTTCAAATGTTTTTACAGTAACTTTTTTTCTTTAAACAACATGGAACATTTTTTTGTTTATTGCTCAGCTTTTTCTGACCTCATAAGAAATATAACCATACAGCTACTAGACATATATAGGCCCTGCGTATACTGATAGTACAGGAACTCATGAAGCAACTATGTAAAAAAAAAAGAAAACATGCGCATGCTCGAGATTTGGATGCGGAATTTTTGCGGCAGTATTTTGTCAAAATATGCCTAGATCTCGTTAAATGTTCTGGGAAAACGCGTTAGGAGTGCGAAGACCACTGTTTAGAAAGAAAATGGTACAAAGTGCAGGTTAGTGGGTGAAATATAGATGCATCCGCATACGAAAAGATCAATGCTGCCTGCGGTGCATCAATTTTTACTGTATTAGGGCCTCTATATTATCTAATAGCTATATGGATTTAACACAAAAACATTGTAGTCATTGCGAAAGTAGTTCGTTGTTGTCAGACAACCAAAATAGCACTCATCAAACAATCATTTACTAACTTAATATTTAAAATAGGATTCGTGCACTCGGAGCCCCCGTGCTGAGTCTTTGCTATGTAGCCTCTGGAAAACTCGATGCATATCAGTGCGACGGACTGTATCCTTGGGATGCCGCCGCTGGTACTTTGATAGTCAGGGAAGCCGGGGGTTATGTTACGGATTCCTCTGGTAAACGAAGTCCAGTAATGCAATGAGTATCTTACAGTCTAAAGAGATTTTTTGTCTAGGAAAAGAATTTGACTTGATGGAGCCCAATTTTTTAGCCGCCTCTACCAAAAAGCTGAGCGACAAATTTATGGAAATCGAAAGAAGAGCCGACGAAGAAATCAGAACTATTCCCGCTACTGAAAAAGTGCACTAAAATGGAATATAAATCGAAACAAACGTTTTTTTCGTGATTTATTTTTATTTTTGTTAAAGAGAGGAATCATTTTGTATTTTTTATTATTTCTTACAAAGATTACAAAACTTCTCAAAAGTAGAATTCTCAAACTATAATTTTATAAACATTAATTAAAATTTGTGTTTTCGTCAAGTAAGAATAAACATCTCAATCATCACAATTTTATATATAAAAATATTTTAATGTTTAAAACCTACATATACTTATGCCTTTAATTTTGTATATGCTATTTGTTTTTCTTGGCTTACACCCACCGTTTTTTCTTTTCTTTGTCTGTTCTTCCCGTATCTTCTTCTACAAGGTCCTTTCAGAACATTGGTAGCCATTATGGAAACATGGAATTTGGATAAACAAATTGCTGTCCACTTTGACATCTGTCTTGTTTGTCTCACTCTTAGCATGCTAGAACCATTTCGAACGTTTCTCTTAGAACCAGGGGTTTGGGATCGATCAAACGTGTTCTCTATATTCTGGTCATGGTATTTTGATCAGGGAATCAAATTCGTGACTAACGTGGCGTCTATCAAACTTTATTATTTTATATAAAGATATAAATATATATATATATATATATATATATATATATATATATATATATATATATATATATATATATATATATATATATATATATATATATATATATATATATATATATATATATATATATATATATATATATATAAGTAAGTTCCTTTAAACATTCTTGGCACGGCTGCGATCGTTGACCTTATGGGGCGGATTAAAAATATTACGGGCCACTGTACTAATATTTATCAATCTGAAATTTATGCCCCGTCAAACTGTCAACGTTATCCGAAATCAAACACCTGCCGCAATATTCGATGTACATTACATCATCCCGTGTGTGGGTACATTAATTTTTAATTATTAATGCAATTGTCTCACCTCAACAATGATACGGAATGCAATTATTGTTCAACAGGAGCGGCGATTTATTACGGGGAAAAAACAGGCCTGATACAAGGCGAGTCCAAAGTTTTTTGAAATATATAGCTGCTGCTGTAAATGTTCCGTGGTGTTACCGAATTGTTGTCTTTAGTTGAGATCCATCGACCATGAAACATGAAAAAAGAAATGGCCCCGATTTTCATCCATTTGCAGAAATCATTTTACACGTCCTTTTGTGAAGAGCGATTGCAAACCAACCAAAAGTTAATTTTTAATTGAATTTATTAAAAAAAATAAAATTCCATTCCATAATCATTTTCTAATAACTGACGTCGGAAAGGATAATGTTTCAGGCAGAAGAGTAAAAAATATTAGTCAAGGAGGAAGCTTTTAATAGTGCATTATGCAACCAGCTCGATAAACGCTACTTTAGTTGGGAGTTTGATAACTCGTTTAGCTGAACAAGTGTTTAAACGTGTTGCATGATATACTTTTTACACGACCACTAGTTTTTGGGTACATCACTAAATGAGGTGCGACGTGATCCTTACAACTGTCAAACGACAAAATACTATTGGTAACATCTATCGAACTCATCTGAAACCAGGCAAACCCGTTGAACATTGATAAAGACACGGTGTTGTCGAAACAATTGTCATGTCATAATATATAATTTCGTGAAAATCTGAACTTTTAGTTCTTATTTATTTTGATAAATGGATTTTCATCAAATAAAAGCCACCTCAGTTCAACAGCAGATGAATGTACTCAAAAGCTAATGGTCGTAGAAAAGTTTAGTATGCCGCACGTTGATAAACTTCTACAGTTAGTCGATTATTGAAATGTTGTTTATCAAACTTGGTGCACTAATTGTCATTGAATATTGAAACAAATGTGAACATTAACCACTGTACCTAAAATTATGCAAGTTGTAGAATATGATGTACGAGTTTCTATCTAAAAAATTTATGTATGATTTGTTTTTTATGTTTTGTATTTTAATGCTTATGTATTTCTGCAAGAAGCTTCATTAAAGCTGCAAAAACAATAACAATTTTTTTTTGCGGAAAACAAATTTAATATAATGATAGCGGGGTACTATTGTTGTCCCAAGCTTAGCAGTGCAATGCTATACGGTGCACTAAAAAGCTAACCAATACTATAGCACAAGTTTCGTTACTAAATTGTTATATACATACCAAAGTTTTCCAACATTTATACTTACCGGTTTGCACATTAATGTGCGCAAACAAAATTAACAAAATGGTAAAATAAATTGGACATTATATCCATTTTAAATGACTTCATTTTTTGAATCACTGTATACAAAAAAATGTCTAATTCAAGGATTCAAAACGGTAGTGGAGGACAGTAAAAGTATTTAAATGTATCCGCGTTGTTACCGCGCGAAGAATAGAAAATTTCCCATAACTTATCGGACCACTGTGAAGAGAGAATAAAAAAACAATCAGAAAATCTATTGTACCATCGTTATTTAAACAATATGTGTGAGGAAAAAGTTGACGCTTACATGGATTACGTCTTGCCGCTTGTTTTAGAATCAGGCAAGGTGAGTAAATAAATTTACCTTCATTATACATAATACTATACCTATTTATCTCTGCATAAACGGTTTTGTAGTAAAAACCCCCATCCACTTGCCTCATTCTTTCCTCATTTCTATAAAGCTCGAGGCTAGCATATTTTAGGTTTTGCTCAGATTTCGCAATCCTTGGAATGTCCTTAATATGCTTCCTATTTTTCAGGAAAACAATCGAATAAACAAGTTCGCAAACAATTTCATAGCGTATCTCCTTACCATTCCCTGACTAATGCATTCTTAACGGCCACCAATTAGTTGGGAGCTGGTTTAAAAGTGACCTTGATATTGACTTACACACAAAATTTCTACAAGGATTTTATTTTTAACCCATGAAAGGAAGCAATACCCCACATTGTATTAAGAAAGGTATTTTAGAACGTAACAGTTACCGGACTTTTGGAAAAACGACTTTAATAAATGCCTAAATAATGTGGTATTCTTCTCATCTTATAGAACGGATATAAAACACTATGAAACGGAATTTTTGCATGATAATTTTCACAATATCTTTTACATTTGATATTTTCTTACAGAAATCGTGCTTTTGCGATTGCAGTATATTATTTTAATGATTTTTCAGAAGCACTTTTACTAAAAATATTTTTTGGTTAAATTTATAACAAGTTTTATTTGGCTATTTTTTGAAATGATATTGTGATAGAAAAATTTAAAATGGTGTAGATTCGATCAGATGGAATTGATTTCAAATTACAACTGTATCCAAGACTATATTAACAATAAAATAGATCAAATTCGATTTATTATTCCGTGCCCTTATTGCAGGCCCTCTTGGAAATCAAAGAAGATATCAACGTGGAAAGCAAAAAGGTGGGAGTTTGGGATGTAGTCACCATTTACGATAGAAAAATTGAAAACGTGCTTATCAGAAACTTGAAGAACAAGTACCCGACACACAAGTAAGGTCCTTAATATTGAAGGATACAGAGTGACTGGTTCAAAAGCGTATATATTGAAGGACATGGTAATAGAGGTCAGTTGCAGTTTTTTTAGCCAAACAGGCTTTTTGCGAATGTAAAGAATAACATTCTAATTTATGTGTTTTATTAGAAATCTGCCATATAGTCGTACTAATTTCAAGATTAAAGCAGATAAAACCACGGTACATTCACATAAGGCAAATTACATGTCCTCCAATATATATGTTTATAAACCAGTGACCCGACATATTAAATAGCTATAAGTAAATTTCTACTGCTACGGTTCATCGAATAAGTACAATTTAGAATTTCTTGATGCGAACGTTTGTTATCCCGAAGAATTTCAAAATGTAGACAAACAGAAATCCTAAATTTTAAAATTTATGATAAGAGTTGAGAAACCTTTCACTAAAACAAATAAAACCTGTGACCCACTCGGTAATTCATAATTTTGAAACGCTTAGATTTATTGGCGAAGAAGAATCGTCGAAGAAAAAAGAAATATCTAAACTAACGGACTGCCCGACGTGGATAATCGACCCCATCGATGGGACAGCGAACTTTTTCAAAAGAATGCCCATCAGCTGCATCTCGGTGGGTCTGACCATCAACAAGGAACAAGTGATGGGCATCGCGTACAACCCCTACATGGACGAGCTTTTCACAGCCATTAAGGGAAAGGGAGCTTACTTAAACGGACAAAGGATATTCACAAGCGGAGAAACGGGTACTTGTTCCTGATTAATTGAATTTCATGGCTCTAACAAAACAGGAGAGTTCTTGCTCCACACAGAGCCTCAATATAAATATAATGAACAATTGCGATATAAATTGACTGTGTTTTCTATTGTGAAAATTCCGGTACACATTCATAGAAACCTTTTTATATCTTAAATTTTCTTTAATTTAAAATATCTCAACCCTTTAAAAAATACTTTATACAAATTAGTCACAAATGTATTTATACTAATAATAAAGCTTTACGAACTCTGAGAATAAAAATATAAAAGGTTTTTCTAGACGCTAGTTGTATATTTTATTTATCAATGTATAACTTTCTTTTCACAACAGCTCGGAAATTTTCAATTGCCACTACTTCCGTAACAGAAAAATAAACTTTGTTCAAAAATGTATTATATAATATTACTATACTATATATATTTAAAGAAGTAAACAACGAGGTATTGCTTACATAAATGAATTGAATTACTTGCAATAGGATAATTGAAAAAAATATTTTTTATTTTCGGAGTATTCAATATAGTGTAATGAAATGTAAAACTGTTGCCAACTCACTCACAAAAAAGCCAATTTGTTGTCAAAAGCTAAATTACATATAATCAGAATTACACAAATATAATTACAGTTTTATTTTTTAGATATCAAAAGATGTGTCTTCAATTACGAAATTTCTCTGGCCAGGACTAGTGATAAACTTTACAAAATGTACATGTACCGACTGAAACATTTGGTAAAGGAAGTAATGGGGTAGGTATAATATCCCATCTAGATAATAGTTTAGAAACTCGAACTCGAAGTTTTAAATCCTTTGGAGCGCTATCTACCTCAGAAAATTGTAGCTCGAATTTTGAAAAACTTTATCTCTTTAGACCTGAAACCTACCATGATGACAAAAAAGATAATACTAATAAAGGACTTTTTCCGCTTTTAATTATCAACTTAGTGGAGGAATGCACTAATCAAACATGCAATGAAGAAATTTCGATTTCGTTTCAAGCAAGATACACTGTTTACTTTTTTTTTTACAGCACGAGATCCTACGGCTGTTCTGTGCTAGGACAATGCTATTTGGCTTGTGGAAGGATTGATGCTTATCAATGTGACGGTTTGTATCCGTGGGATGCTGCTGCGGGAACTCTAATTGTACGAGAGGCGGGAGGATATGTTATAGACTCTTCAGGTATAAACATTTTCCTAATTTCTCATAGCATGCTCAAAATATCATTTAAATTACATGCATTACTGACATGTCAGTTTCGTTTCCCATGAATCCGAGCCACTTCGGATATTTCCGGGATTTTACCGCACGAATTGGGCAGCAATCGGATGTTGTCGGAAATATTTCCCACGCTTTGAATTTTGACGTTTGTCAATTCTGACGGTGATGTCAGTGAATGTATTCGTGTTGTTTTGCGAAAATGTAACCTAAAACTAACGATCGTGGAAAAAGTATAGTATGCAACACGTTCGGTAAACATTTAACTCTCTCGTTTATTGAAAACTCGCTCCTCTCGTGTCAAATAAACTCGTGAGTCAAATGACGTTTACCGCACTTGTTGCATAATATACTATTTTTTCGATCCTCGTTGTTACGCGTTGTTTATGTCAGCATAAGACAAAGTTGTTAAATTTTAGGCAAAGAATTCGATTTGATGGACCCCAACTATTTGGCGACTGCAAGCAGAGAGTTGCAGGACAAATTCATGGAATTGGAAAGAAAAGCCGACGACGAGATGCTCAAAGCGGCGAAATCAAATCTCGAATTTAATCCATAACTGGAACGTTTGTTGCAGACCAGATTATGGATTGACGGTTTTCAAAACAAAACCATTTAAACCACTTATGCGCACTCATACATGTTAATAGTGTTTTACTTACATAAAATGACGATCTCCTATTGAAAATTTGCCTTGCAAAATATTGTTTAAACAAAATTTATTTTATACTACGTGTTGCATTAATAATAGCTGAAAAAATACATTGGGTTTGACTACGCCTATGCTATATGATACGCTTCGATATAAATTACACAAAGATGTAAAAAACATATCTCAAAATACCAAGGCCACACGACGCCATAGACTCGTCGGAATAAATAATAAAATTACAGTCATTAGAAGAGTTTGGGTTAGTTGTATTTTTTTCTTGATATACACGCGCAATGAGCGATCAAGAAATTATAGAGTTAATGGACTCGGTGTTACCGTTAGTTTTAGAATCCGGAAAAGTAAGATCGAGCGTTCTAAGCTAGTCTCGGCCTCTAATTTACAATTTTAGATCCTACTGGAAACGCAAGACGAAAGTATCGAAATGGACAGTAAAAAAGCCATCTGGGAAGTGGTGACCGTATACGACCAGAAAATCGAGGATGTTCTCATGAAAGGCATCAAAGAGCTGTACCCCACGCACAAGTAAGTCAAGACCTATTCGACCAACTGAAGCAAACAAAGTGCTTCGTCTCAACAGGATCATCAGCGAGGAAGAGTGTTCCCAGAAAGACGAGATAGCTAAACTGACAGATGCGCCCACTTGGATAATAGATCCTATAGATGCGACTGCAAATTTTGCAAAAGGAATGCCCATAACTTGTATTTCTGTAGGACTGACTATCGGCAAAGAACAAATATTGGGGATAGCTTACAACCCTTTCATGAACGAACTATTTACCGCTACAAAGGGAAGAGGCGCTTACCTAAATGGCAAAAAGATCTGCACTAGTGGACTTACAGGTAAGTAGGATCATTGCAGCTATTCTTGGAATAGGGGAAAATTTTACTTCTTTTTACTCATTCTATTGCACAAACATTTCTCTGAAAACCAAGAACTCATATTCTTATTCTATATTGCTAAATTTCTCAACATTTTCACCAACAAACGTCGGTAGCTTTATCCCACTCTCCATAATATATTGTGACTTTGATAGTCAACTGACTTTTTTTATTTATTTCTTCTACGGCTAATGTTACTGCAATTTGTGATATTTGCGGAACTTCGACTTTTAAAAAATAGTTTTGAAAAGTTTTAAACAAACATAAAAACCTATTCTTGCGGTAAAAATAATAATTCAATTCTACTATTTACAAAACTTCCGGATTCCTCCCATATTCATGAATGGTAGACCTGAGTCGCGGTTAAAATTGTTTGGTTGCTTATAGATTCCTATAGATTGTCGGATATTTCTTAAAAGAATTGATTACACGCAAGAATTTTAGTTTTATTCAATAAAATTTGATGTCCGATTTCATGATTGTGGTCGACAACTGCTGATGAGTTTATTTAACGCAGTCTTAAGACTCTTTTATATTCTTTCAGCCTAGCTGATGTTTTCGTCCGGTCTTTCCAATTTATTCTTTGCAGCATACGCATGGAATGCTGTAAACTCCTAGTATCTCAAATGGCATTTTACATTTTTCAAGAGGTTTTATTAGTCTAAACAACTTAATAAATTTTCTATTAGAAACCTACAAAGGATCCGTTTTAATTAAGCTTATCATTTCTAATCTCAATCTCCTTCAGATCATCTTTAAAATCGACAGTGATAATATACCAATACCGATATATAATATATCATAAAGGCATACAAATTTTTGGGTTATAATCGTGACTTTCTCCCTATTATTCTGGACCAATAGAATTGATTTCTTCCTGGAAGTAAAAGTTTCGCTGTTTTATCAACATTTTTCAAGGCTGCTTTTTAACATATAAGCGGACCACGCTCACTCTTGGCTATTTGCCCACAACATTTCAACAATACAACAATATTGTGATCAGGATGTACTTTGGCAGTAGGATATGAATCAGATTCAGTTATTGGTCCTTATATATTATATATTTCTTAATTTTACCCAAATCTAGGGCTAGCATTTATAATGGCTATTATATTAATGTTATTAAAATTTTTGATTACTTATTATAAATCGATTTCTCATAACAAATTAGTTTTGTTATATTAACTTAATAATAGGCTTAGTTCCAAAAAAAAAACTATTAAGCAAGTTAAATTAACCAAGTATATTCTTAGAGTTTTTAAATTGAATTGATTACGATCAAATTATAATAAAATATTTTGTTCGGATATTTTTGGCAGTCGTGAGAGCGCCAATACCGGATGCCTAGAAAGTTGTATACACATTAACTACCTGGTATCTCAAATATTTTCAACTAGATTATCGTTACTAACAAAGGTTAGGCTACTTTCCATGTGCTATTTCAGTCAATTAACCAACAAACGAATACAACAACGCTATTATGAAAATTTAGTTTTTTTTGTTCTAATTTCGTTAATAGGTTGAAACCTAAAACATTTTTCAAGTGCAAAAATAACATTTTAATTATTATGGAATTATATATTTATATTTCAGATATAAAAAGGTGTATTTTTAACTATGAGATTTCCCTGGCCAGGACAAGTACCCACCTGTACAACGTGTATATGTTTAGGCTTAAACATTTAATAACAGAGATCCTTGGGTGAGTCTCATAGTAATCACCAAAAGTACCATTGCAGCGTTGACATAAACATATCTCTGTTCATTTAGCATTCGCTCCTACGGCTGTCCTGTTCTGGGACTGTGTTACGTAGCATGTGGACGTGTTGACGCATATCAATGCGATGGACTCTACCCATGGGACGCAGCAGCTGGTACCTTAATTGTCAAAGAAGCCGGAGGTCATGTGGTAGATACTACAGGTTACAGGTGTTCGTATAAGTTCAAAGACGTGACAAAATAAACTGCATTTCCAGGCAAATCCGAATTCGATGTGATGGAACCAAACTTCCTGGCTACGGCTTCGAAAGCGCTTAGCGACAAGTTTATTGAAATCGAAAACCGAGCGGATAGGGAACGTTCAGTTGCCATTTCAAACAATAAGGAGTATTCGCCATTGTGATGGAAACAAACCTTACTTTATTTCGGTGACCATAGACGAAAATGTTTTAAAAAAAGAGACAGACAACAGCAATCTTCCAATGGGAATAGCGAATCATAAAAAATATAAATCGAAAACCCACTTCTCTCCCACTTTTTTGACCACTGATAGTTTATTTATAGTGTTTGTATTTTAAGTTCGCGGTAATCATGTGTATAGGTAACATAAAGAGTTACACTACTACATCGTTTTCGTATTTTTTTCAGCCTCCACTTTCGTTGACAGTGTTAGGAAATACTTGGTAAATTGCGACCGACGTTCATGACCTATTTTTTTTGTCTTTTTTCAAACACAGACGAGTATTAGATATCTGCGATTTATATATATACACAAAGAGATTTGTCTCAGCAAAAACAATCATTTTGTTGTTTGCTCTGTCAACTAACGGAGTGATGCAATATTATTAAACTTATTGTACTAACAATTTTTACGAAAAGATGCCTGTTATTGAATTTCAAAAAATTAAAAATATTTCCTTAAACTGTTGGCAAATAAACCGCAGCCCAAGAAAAAGCCAGGGGCAACACTCATTCTGCCTTGTAGCATTAGGCGCAATTGACACACTTCCAACAACCAAGCTGGTTGAAGTAAGTTTTTGATTAATTATTATTGGACACTTTTCCAATTTATTATTATTATTATTAGCACTAAAAATTCAATTAATTGTAATCATATCAATAACTGGTTAGTAAAATGTCTTCTATTCTTTTTCTACTTAACTGCATTCAATCCTTCTGATCTTTAGTTATACCGACACGTCTTCCATCGCTTCCCTAAGAGAGCCCTCTGGACCCAATGAATTAATCTCTTATACTTTTAATCATCTGTTCATTGTTCATGCACTGTTGATTAAGAGTTGACTTGGTGTTTTTTCCTCTTCTTCGTCTTATACAGCAGGTTCCCAAACAATGTTTTTAAGACAATACTATTACAAAAAATAACAGAAGAAAACAAAACCCACAACAACAATTTTCCCTAAAATATCATAATAATAATAAAATCGCCTGCAATTTCACACGTGGAGTTCGTACATAAACTTGCGTGCATAGAAATCGGCCCATTGTATTTTTTTTTCTAAAAACTATTCATCTGACCCAAAAAATAAACATGCTAATTGGAAGACAATTTAATCTGCTTTAGTATTAGTTTAAATTTGTCAAGAGTGATGATCATTTATATGTGTATTTAAGGAATGAAACGTGTTCATGCAGTAGTTATAGTGATAATAACAAACTTGTTATGGACTTAATTAATCGCCTTTGCAGGTGGAATTTTCACATTAATTTTTTAACCATTTGAAGAGCTTCTAATAGTGTTACCTTGATGCATATTACACCGAAAAAACCGTTAAGTTGTCGCTTGAATCGAAAATGGACTGCGTTGCTGCGAGCTGTTGCTCGACAACTGGATATGACACACTCAGCAGTTCGAACAGTATGCCAAAATATGGTATGGGGTTTGGTATGAGGAGACTAGATCCTTTGCCAGTCGCCCAGGAACAGGCAAAAGGCGAATTATAACCGCTCGTAATGACCGCGTACGCTTTTTACGGGATCGTCTGATTTGGTTATTGAACCAATGGGGGTTTGTTCTGTTCTCAGATGAGCCTTTTTGGTAGTGACCGACGAAAAAAAGTGTACCGAAGACCAGGAGAGCGATTGGCAGAATGCTGCGGGGTCCTTATGGAGATGGTTCCTGCATTATATGGAGTGCAATTTCAACGGACGCACGAACCGACCCTGTTTTCATCCGTAGGGGCGGCCGTGATCAAGGGACAGGAGATTTAACAGGTTAGGTACATCGAAGATATTTTATCAGATCGCATGGTACCATATATCGACTACATTGGAGAAGAATTCATTTTTATGAGTCATAGAGTGTCCAGCATACAGTCCCGACCTCAATCCAATTTATGGGATGAGAGAAAACGGAGAATTCGAGCTAGACTTCGTACCCCAACATTCCACAAGCAACAATAGCGAACTTGATTAGATCTAGGCCTAATTGAGTAAGGGCAAGAGGGGATCGTACCCATTGTGATTGTCAATAAGCCTATTTGTTTTTAACAATAAAAAAACTTAATTTGACTCGTACAGTTATTTTACTATGCTAAACCTAAAAAGGAGAAATACGTTTTAATCAATTTAACCTCGTATTAAAGCATATTAAATTGTCTTTCAAACGGCATATTTTGTTTGATCTGATCAGTAGTTTCTAAAAAAAAATAAAATTGAAGTTAAAAGTTTACAATGGGCCGATTTCTATGCCCTCAAGTTTATTATAAAAGTAGTGTAGAGTAGGTACAATTCGCTGGTAAGCAAATGAACTGGCCAGTTTCTAGATATGGAGACGACCGCAAATATTATTTAGAACACCGATGGTCCAACTGTAAGAAATTTGACAATTCTAACAATTTCGATACTGCCAGTTACATTGAGTTTCTTACCTCAACGGAATATGTTTTCCAGACAGCGAGGAAGCCATTCATAAATAATTTACATATAGAACGCACCTCGTAACAGGAGGATTAACTGCGTCTGCCGCTACTTCATTATGCGAACGTCAAGATAGCGACTTGTTATTTTTTTGTGAGAGCATTACGTTTGTGGAACTCTGGAACCGGACGAAAATGGAAGAACAAAGGATACAACGCTACTACGAATTCATTTTACCCTTGATATTGGAAGCAGGGAAGGTCGGGCGCTGAAAATTTCAACTTCGGCCGTATGGGTGGTGGTGTTAAAATTTCAGGTCTTGCTGAAAGCGAACGACGTCGACGTGGAAACCAAAAACGATGAAGTGTGGGACTTGGTTACGGTTTACGATAGGAAAATCGAAGAGGTTTTAATAAAGAAAATTAAACAAAATTTTCCGGAACACAAGTAAGTGATATAAGATATATTTTATGGTGTAATTCATAGCGGGCCATTCGATATACATATGAGACACGGCAAACATTGGAATTCTAAATGACAAGCTTCGCTTTCATTACAGATATGAATTCTAAGCGACAAAAGACGTAGACTTTTTTGTAAAACTCCTTGTTAAGATGGCACTATAATTACAAAAAGAACTTACCGAATATCGCGAATAGCGAAAACTAAATAAAGAAAATCAACGGGACAATATTTCAATATTGGACCAAATCAGAAACATCCTGAAGATAATGTTTTAGCATATATTTTATTAGCCAGAGGTTTTCCTAGCTGAAGCAAAAGTTGTCATCGTCTCTAGTTCCAGACCGTTACAATATCTAATAATAATCTAATTATTTCTGTCAGCTTTACAGCATTCAGTACTTTTAAATGATTCTTTTGCAACATGATGTACCATAGAGAGTAAAATAACTGATGTTTTGCCAGAATTATATGACAAGTCATCTTCGATAATACATGGCAATATTCCTAAAAAATACAAGAATTCTAGTGCTTATGTGCATTATGTGTAAAGTCGTTATTAAAACAAAATAAAATCAAAAATGGACACGGCTTTCTGAACAATAAATAAACATTTAGGATAAAATTTCATGAAACTATTGGCACGGATCGATTGTCTGGTTAGTTGGTGGAAGTTTATTAATAATTACTAAATTATTAAAGATACATTGGAGAGGAAGAATCGGACAGCTCCGGCGAGATGAGAAAATTGTCGGATGATCCGACATGGTTTATAGATCCGATCGACGGGACGGCCAATTTTGTCAGAGGATTGCCCATTTCTTGCATCTCGGTGGGACTGACTGTTAATAAAGATATGGTTATGGGTATCGTTTACAATCCGTTCATGGACGAACTGTATACGGCCTTTAAAGGGCAGGGGGCGTACATGAACGGTCACAGAATTCGAACCAGTGGCTGTAAAGGTATTCTGCCGTCATATCGAAAAAAAAATGCCTAGTATCCCATGTTTATATAATAATAAAATATGTCCGGTTTGTCCAAAATTAGGTTTAGCACTCACCACGCATGCATATCATCGAGTATTTAGATTTGTGTCTACTTGTGAACTCTAGGATCATTGAAATTCATTTTTGTAACTGGAAAACTTTAAAATATGATATGTTTTTAATTATTATTGCCTACCTTTGTTACATTAGATAGAATGCGGCATAGTAGACATTATAGTGTTAATTTTATTCACGAATTTTTATGTTGTTAGATATCCGAAGATCGGTTTTTAATTACGAGATAACCATAGCCAGAAGAAATGAATACTACTTTCAGATGTATATGTACCGAACGAAACATCTAATACGGGAAATAACCGGGTAGGTGTTAGTTTTGTAGTTCTTTTGGGTTCATTGCCAGGTCGCTTCGAATTTCAGAATAAGATCGATGGGTTGTGGAGTCTTAGGGCTTTGTTACGTTGCGAACGGAAGAACAGACGCCTACCAAGCCGATGGACTTTTCCCTTGGGATGCAGCGGCTGGGGTTCTAATAGTCAGAGAAGCCGGCGGGCACGTGGTTGACACTTTCGGTAAAGAACTGTTAATTCTAATTCCGATTCTGAGTTATCCAATAGTCCTAGTCTATTACAAAATCGACCAGACTACGATTTCTTATATTCGGTGATGATGCTTTAATATGTCTGACATTTCCAAGCCGCATTTTACGATTTATTTATCACTTGTCTATATCAAAATACAAAAAAAGTATAAGCGAATATTAATGAACAAAAAATGTCATGTAATCGAATCATATGATCAACTGATATCAGAGAACGGGGATAATATTGTAAGACCCAAATGGTACGCCATTAATAAATTTGTTTATTTTGACTGACTTGTCATTTTTTAATGTCATTTCCACGTTCTTTTCAAAAAAACTGACTCTTTAAACCAAAATAGTTTGTATTTCATTGTTTAAAGTCTGTTGCTTAAAGTTTGTACTATCCTAAACTAGCAAAATATATTCTACTTATCTATTATTTTTTATCTCTAGGAAAGGAGTTTGATTTAATGGATCCGAATTTTTTGGCCACGGCTACTAAAGAACTTTCAGACCAATATATGGAAGTGGAGAGGAGAGCCGACAATGAGCTACTCAACAATTCTAAACAAAATAAACCATTTACCATTTAAGTGCGTAAAAATGATAGTGTATTAAAATAATAAATTAATATATCACCAGACAAATTGTTGCTTTATATCGAACCCACCTCGTAGTTACAATAAATGTATAAACATTTCCCAAATAAATCAAAGGCAAAGCTAGTTTATATGAGAGCAGACACAAAAGATTCCTCATTTTATCTTATTTGCGTTCCTAAATACACGTTTGGGTTGCTAATGGGAAGAACATGACGCAACACGAAGCTCAAATTTATTACGAATTCATTTTGCCGCTGGTAATAGATGCAGGAAAAGTGAGTATACGAATCAGGAATTTTTCATCGATGTGGTGCGCTGGATAATTTAAGATTCTGAAAGACGCTCAGCATATCGAAGTCGAAATCAAAAACGAAGTTGTCTGGGATTGGGTTACAATTTACGACAGGAAAATTGAAGAGGTGTTGATAAAAAGGATTAAAGAGCGCTACCCCAACCATCGGTAAGACAGTGATTGGCCAGGGTACCGTTTATTTTCTAGGTGGTTTTACTAGAAGCAAAAATAATATTTTTAGTTAATTTTATATTATTAAATATTTATTAAAACCATACGACAAAGCATAAACCAATTATATCTTGTAGCTAAAAACATTAGAACGTTTCAGTAAAAATCACTAATATTCTTGGTGAAAGTGATGGACATTTTCTCAAAAGCAATTAAACATAACTCGAATTTGTAAAGAGTATATATATATATATATATATATATATATATATATATATATATATATATATATATATATATAACGAAAACTGAACAGCATGACCAGTAAACGGTAAAAAGGATGTCGAATCGTTTACATCATGTATAATAAAATTCAAAAATCCCTCGAAGCCAACTTCAGCACCATTTTGTCGAAAATTTTAATATTGACGCTCTATATCTCATTCTATCTTGTATCTAGATACATAGGAGAGGAAGAAAGTTTCGGAGAGACTAGGGAGCTAACTGATCATCCTACGTGGATAATTGATCCGATAGATGGAACTGTTAATTTTGTGCGTAATTTTCCCATGTCAGGTATTTCCGTGGCACTTGCGATACAAAAGGAAATTGTGGTTGGTGTGGTTTACAATCCTCATATGGGTGAACTGTACACCGCTGTGAAAGGTAAGGGGGCATACCTGAACGGAAACAGGATACGCACGAGCTGTTGCAAAGGTAGTCTAAGTTACCAATAGGTAAATATGGAGAATCAAGAACTTCCTGGATTTTAGAAATGCGAAAATCGGTGCTTAACTATGAGCTAAGTTTAGCTAGAAGAAACGAGCACTTTTTCAAAATGTACATGTATCGTACCAAACATTTAATCAAAGCCATCACAGGGTAAGCCATACATTAAATAAAATACGAGTTCATGGTACTTGTAAGCTAACTTTTATATACTCATTTCACCAAAATACGACATTTTTGAAGAAATGAGAATCAGTTTCTAGTTCCATTATGTTGGAATAAGCATAATAATCATTTTAATACTAGTATAACCTACCAACCACTAATTTTTTAAATTTAACGTTTAAGCCAGAATATAAAAAAAAAAAATAAAACTTTTAATTCTGATCTAGCGAAAGTCAGATTTTGTTCAGACTAAAATTACTAGCCAAGAATAAGCAAAAAATAATTTATTTTATATTGACCTTATAGAATACGCGCTTTGGGATGTGCCGTGCTGGGACTTTGTTACGTGGCAAATGGAAGAACAGACGCTTATCAGGCAGACGGCCTCTATCCATGGGATGTGGCGGCTGGTATATTAATTGTCAGGGAAGCTGGAGGATACGTAATAGACACGTCAGGTATAATAACGATGGGTATGTGAACCGCTCGAGGCAGTTACATTTTAGGGAAGGAATTCGACGTGATGGAACCGAATTTTTTGGCTACAGCCACGCGAGAGCTGTCAGATCAATTGATGGTCGTCGAAAAGAGGGCCGACGAAGAACTACTTAACGATACAAAACTCTCGGAATCGCTGCGCACATAAACATGTGAATTATAAATAAAAATTGAAAACCAAAATATGAAATTGGTGCACGAGCAGCGTCTCGATCAATAAATTTTTAATTGACCAGTATCGCGATGCAAAAATTGTTTTAATATGCACGTCAAGAAGCCAAAGTAAAATTACCTTATTTATTTCGGTGAATCGTATTTTTTTTATCAAACCGCCAAGCGTTTCAAGGTTGCCAGTGGGATAATTAGCAAAACAAAATATTGAAAATAAATCTCAGTAGAACCTCAACTGTCCCTACCGATGTATGATGATTCAAAGTCGTTGCATTGGAAGAAGAAATTTTCCCATCAATTTGATGAATATTTTGAATTGCTGCTAAATAATTTTTCAATTTATTGCAGTGTTGGATATATAAATGACCTTATCTGAACCGCTACCACCAACTTTGTCTAAACTAGTCCAAACCAAACTAACCAAAATTATTCATTTAATAATCATATTAAAAGTGTTAAATAAGTACGTCCTAACCCAAACTAACTAACCATAAATACAAAATTGTTGGAACTTCATATATTGTATAATAATTTAAATTCTTTTAAAAATAGTTTACGAGAATTGCTCTTTCAGCCTTGTGTCTGCACTTTGAATGAATTTTTTGTAATTAAATAGTTCGACATAAAAAATATAAACTGTTGTTATAAATAACAGATTGTATATTTAAATGTTATCCTGAATATTTGTTTTTTTGGGTGGGTGCAAAGTTATTCCTAGAGATAAAAGGCACATCTTAAATATTTTAAAAATGTTGTACAAATTATCCACTCGTAATTTATCTGAACTGTTTTGGATTATATTTCAATAACAAATATCATCTGAATTTTATAGCTGCAACCCATAAAAATAGAGGTTCATGTATAACCTGTACTCAAGACTTTACCAAGGCCGAGTTAAGGCCACCTGAATAACCACTGCAATTCCTAAATTCCTAGATTTAGATCATACGTATTCCAGGGTAGTGTTTCCATTTATTTGGACCTGAATAAGTCTTTAAAAAAAATTGTGATCGAAATAGCATTTTCTAATTTACGGTAAAAAATACCCACATAGAGCCACCTGCACTGTCCATTCATAAAAATGGACCACTGAGTCAGTGTTCATTTTAATTATCTTTATGATTCGCTCCTGGAAAATCCCGTTCAGACATTTATAAAAATCTCGTAAAAACCGAGAGAACTTCCAACCGTCCGCGTAAAATTGGAAAAAACAGCAATTTACATAACCTACATTTGCATGTAGCTACGTTATTTTTATTGATGTTATGAAAAATCGCGACCGGTCATAAGCACAGTTTACATCCACCACGAAAAGCGATTTGCGGTTGACATTAAAACTATTTACACTTTGTTATTTGCAGGTAATAGAATTGCCGCGCGAAAATCCATGAATTTAGAGGAGATCATACTCAAAATCAACCAAGTTACTATCGCCATTTTTGAAATATTTTTACAAAATTATGCGGTCTATGTAGATGTAAATCCACAATGCATATATGCAGAGGGCTTTATCTCAAAATCAACAAACGTAGACGTTAAATAGATGTAATTTTTACCGGTATCCCTATAGATAATAAAATTTCATTGCTACCTGGTTTTAAACTAATTCCGCAGCAACAAAGTAAACTACATCACAACAAGCTTAATTCAATACAATATAAACATAACATTTCTCTAGTAAATACTTATTTTGTAGATTTCAGTGTTTTGTGATGGAAAATGACATAGTAACAGCACGCTATCCTGATAATGCGTTTATTTCTCTCTACTTGCTACGAATAAAGACCGTATCTGGGCTCTTGATTTTGATAAGATTTCTGTTTTGATTATTTCTAGCTAGTTTTGGTTAGTCCTTTTGTTGAAATATTGGTTCGTTGAGGTAGCGAATGATAAAATTAAAGATTTTTTAAAGATATTTCTATTCGCTACCTGAATATTTGAACAAAAAAATAACCAAAACTGGCAACGGTAGATTTTGACAATTTGCAAGACTAGTGCAAAATTAAATTACGTGATCGGTGTTGTGTGGGTAAAATGACTACCAATAAGACGTAGAGGATTTTATTTTTTTCCAAAGAACTTTGTCATGTCGCCTGCAAAAATTGATGACTGGTGTGATGCTTAACAAAAAAAAATACAGCAAACCCAGTTTTCCCCAGTTGGTACCTTGCTTTTTAAAGAATATGACAAAAAGTTTTTTGTTATTTTTTTGAATAACCATGATTGTACAATAATTTATTATCGGCTCGACCTTAAAAATATAACAAGCGTAGTTAGAAATAGGTGCTAGGCATTGTCTACATTTCTTTTATAAAGAACGGTAAACTGAACAGAACCGTAATAAATAAAAATTGCATTTTATTTGTATTGTACAAAATCTTAGCAACACACCTATTCCCAATTTTTTTATTTGGAAGTATGAGTTATTTATATTGCGTGTGTACCATGCGTTCAATTTATCTTGATAACATTTTAATTAGCTGTAACTTTTTTGTTTTAAGAGATATCAAGGTAAACAAAAAAACAAAATGTAGGGTTAGTAGCCAAGTTTCTTTCCAAGTGACGTATAAAACAAAACACTATCAATTTTCTGGCAAATAAGACTACATCATATTGGAATACGCTGTATATTACATATGTGTTTAATAGAATATCTTATCAGACCACCATTTTCCTGAACACATTTCTCATACACTCTAATTGTCTTGGATTTACAACGTTTCTGGATTATCTCTTAATTGCCACTGAAATCCTTTCCGAAGCTCCACGTCATTATTACAAGGAGTTCTGTGCGTGTATATATTGTTCTATTTGGTGCTCTAAGAGTTGCAAATAATGATCTCACACCATATAATAATTGATTGATTTCTCTAGGATTTTTTAAAGACCAATATTGCGCATTTTGTCTATTACAACCCTTTCTTGTAGTCAACGAACTTTCATCAATTCATAAAATGTTTTTCAAAAAATTATTATTAAGCTAATAAAATTGTAATTTAATAAGTGGATTTAAATGCATGTTTATTTGAGAATATTTTCTTTCAATTCAATTACTGCTGTGGATTATTGTTGCCGAAAGTCATCCAGAAAGAAATACAACAACTATAAAAAAAACACTGTTCGTATACTGATAAGGTGCTTAATTACGAAGTGCACTGAAACAGTTAGAAAGGACGATAAGATCTTCCTTATGAATAAGTTCCCAAGTTCCACTATGGCAAATAAGATAAATATAAAAAAAAAGAATAATAAACTTCTGGGCATTTCCGCCGTAGAGAAAAGCCCCAGTTCAGAGTTTGGCAGTCCAGACTTGCGCATGGATGGTAGAAAAGTCCAAACTGCTTATTATTACCAGCAAAAAAGTTATTAAATTTAAATGCAGCAGGGTAAAGGTTGTTTCCGGTAATCACATATATCATCGTGTTGAAATTGCGATTCATTGAAGTTTTCTTGCCTGCGACACTGGTTTGCACAAAAAAAACAGCGAGAGACACCGTTGACTAAAAGATTTGGCCTCGGATTAGGTGAAACACACAAACGATGTTCTCAAAACCCAAAGCAATTGGGACAGAAGCGGGTTATAAGGTGTGACGCAAGGTTCCCCGATATAGGCGGTATTTTTACGCGGATTTCCTTGGAACTCGCGCTATTCGTTTGATAAAAGTACACGCGGTGAGGGAATTAGAAATAATTATTCGTCGACGATACGACAGTTGCAATATCTGCTGAAAAAAAGTAACTTCCGCGCATATCAGTTGAAATTACCGCCGCAGAATGCACTATTCCGAAGTCAAAAGTTATTACGATTTCATTTTGCCGTTAGTGTTAGAATCGGGGAAGGTAAGCAATTTTTTCATCAATTTTTACATTTATAAAAAAATGCTACATTTCCACATTTCTGTTTCCAGTTCCAAAAATTAACAAAAATAAAATTGCACTATAAGTACACTAAAATTCTTAACCTAAAATATAACAAAATAATTAAATAAATTGTATATTTAATTAATTAACAAAAACAACGGGTGAATTAGTATTAGTACAATTATTACTTAATTTCACTGTAGATCAAAAAGTAAACACTCTCTAGAATTCATTCCGACAAAATCTCTTTTATGCTGCTTTTTTGTATCTAACAATGTGTTGAGACTGTGAACCGAAACAATAAATTGATATTAACATGATAGAAAAAATCTTACGAGTGAACATGTCTAATAACCAACAATCGCGATATTTATTGTGTTTGTTTAAGACCCTTTCCGAGACGAAGGAGATCAAAAGGGAGCAAAAAAACGGCACCGACTGGGACTTAATCTCCGACTATGACAAGAAAATTGAAGATATCCTTATTGCTCAGATCAGAAAAAAATTTCCTACTCACAGGTAACATTGCATTAGTTGTATATGCTCAATGGTTTGCTAAATAATTATTATTATCAAATTTCTGGTTTTTGTCCAAATTGTCAGACCTCTGTATATCAATTCCTATGGAACTTATCTTCTTAACTCCTCAAATAAATCATTCGATATAACCAAGGTACGTAAATGGCAAGAATTCATTGTTTGACAAATTCTCAATTTTCACTTGTTTACATCCATTTGGAGAGTAATTTCCCAATCACGCTGTCTAATTACAATCGGCAAGATAATATCTGCTAATTTTATGGAAAAATTCTAAACGCTAAATGGACATTTGAGTTTTTATCTCGTTTTAGAAATCGTAATTACTGAAAAATTCCGGTCAGGCGACTTTCGGTCGAGTAGAGTATACCGAGTGGTTCAAATTTGTAGCACGAAGATTTTGCTGATAAAACCGTTTACATTATTTTGTTTCACAGATCTTTTTCTACCTTAATACACCTAGTAACTTGCAAATTTGCTTGGAGGACAAGATTGATGACTGGATTTGAATCATAACTACAGTTACTCTTTAAAATAATTTGGTTTTGTTTCAATCAACTTTGAAGTAAAATAAGATAAAAAAACAAAATTTTGTAGATACTGGATTTAAAGGTTAATGTCTTATTAATTATATTTTGGCAGTTTTTAATAATTTTTTCCTGTAATGATGTACGACAAAATAGCCTTGCCGTTTCAAAATTTTGAAATATCAAGGAAAATGTCTTAAGACAACATTAGATGTTTCCACTAATTCTAGTGTTTTTTCATCAATTTTAGTTTTGTAGAACGTTATTTAAATTGATAAATGATACAGAGTGTCTCGTTTTCGAAGGGTCTTTATGGGAAACTCCGTTGTTGTTGATCATACAAACATGATGTTTACATGGTACTTTTTTGAGACTGGAAAAATAATAATGAGATTAATTGACTTTGTAAAAAGAATTATTGAAAGTTTTTAATATAAATAAAAAGTGGCATATTTATAAATTGAATTGAAAACCCTCAGAATCAAAATCTTATGTTATATCCGCTATAATGATTCAACACCAAATACTTCTATTAGAAAATGACATTTTCTTACAATATATAAATATAATTTATACTAAATTTACACGGATATAAATTATGCAAAAAATAGGTCCATTTAAGGGTCCTGAAAAACAAAACATTTAATTTAAATTCTAAATGCGCTATTTATTTCTGTTCAAAAATTGAGATGAAAAAGTATTTAGAAAATCAAATAATCTTTTATATTAAGGAAGATATTTTTAAATTTTTCCCTCGAATCTCGGTACTATTCCAAATCTGATATATACCATTTTTCAAGATTCATAAAAATAGGGAAGCACTATTTACAAAACTTCTGAAGTTCTGTAAATAGTATTACAGTAGCCTGTGGAGGATTCTGTGAAAAATGAAATAGGGAAGCAATATGCAAAACCGCATTACTGTATCTTCAATAACAACTTTTCAGTGTTTCTAGTTAAATATTTTCCCTTAATCATCACTATAAAAAACAGTGCTATAAAAAAAGTGAAACAAAAACTTTTCAGCATCATAGCCGAAGAAGAATCCAGCGCGAAAGACAAGGTATCGGATCTTACCAACGAACCTACTTGGTTCATAGATCCGATAGATGGAACAGAAAATTTCATAAAAAAGCTCCGGGTCACGTGCATTTCCGTCGCCATGACCATCAATAAAGACTTGGTGTTCGGCATTGCTTACAACCCTTTCATGGACGAATTATTCACCGCTATCAAGGGTCAAGGGGCCTACCTAAACGGAGAACAAATACGGGTATCTGGGGAAAAAGGTGAGTTTTTTTTATTATTTTTTATATTATTTTATTTATATTATATTTTATTTATTTATTTTATTTATTAGACGTTAACTTTAAACGCCCACTTAACCTTCACATATTTCAGACTTAAAGCAATCATTTTTCGACTACGAAATATCTATGGGACGAGTAAACTCCAAACTGTATGACTTGTACATGTACAGATTGAAACACCTCATGCCAAAAGTATTGACGTAAGTCTTTTGGGGGTACTGGGTGAATCGTTTATTATGAGAGAACATATCAAAAAATCTTAAAGCAAAAAGTTGTTCAGATTTCCTTATACTGTTGAAATATTATGTTATATATACAGCACGTTAGAATTTTAATGAACAACTAACAACTTTCGTATTTTAAATAGAATAATTTGCCCGTTACGGCATTTTTTAATTCCTCTCAAAATTCTAGACATGTCATAAATATCCTTTCTGCCATATTTTGATTTTTATGCCAAAACTTACGTTTGCGTGTCTAAGTTTTATAGATAACTTTGTTAAATATGTGGGGTTGATTTCCTTATACAAAGGGGACCTAGTAGTCTGTGTTGATATTTTCGAAATAAATAAATGTAGGGTGATCAAAAACTAACGTTAAAAATGTTAGTCATTTTCAAAATTTTTCAAATAGAAACACCCCATTTAAAAAACTGGCGATTTTGTATAAGGTGGCTTATTTGAAATTGCAGATTTCTAAATATTAGTAATTAAACGCTTTTCTAAAGGAACATGGCAAAAAAAAACAATCAAATATTACAGAAACGTCACTACTTTAGTTTCCTGTGAATTTAAATGCAATTTATTGACAGTTTTATGCCACCTTAGTCTTTTCTTTTTATTGTTATTTTCATTTTAATAAAAAATGTTTGCCTAAAAAAATAAATAATGGAGAAAATGGCAATACTAAATAAAACAAATTGCAAAGTTTATTATTTGCAATATTCAGATAAAAATATGTAAAAAAAGATTTCTAAGTCAAAATCTTTTTGTTAGAATTTGTCTTATTCTTAGAAATTAAATATATTGCAATGACTTGATCCGGGTATTATAAGATTTACGAAAAAATTTTCAAACGTCTGTAAATAGGTGTTATTTTTGTAGAACTTTTTGAAATAGGAGATTTTGTATAGGCTGCCCTATATACATAACAATATAATAGTTTAGAAGTCTAATGAAAATCAAACAGTTTTCTTGATATTTTTTCCACCTGTACGTACAGTTTAATAAAGCTTCTTATAATGCTGTTTTATTGTAGCATTAGGGCGTACGGTTCAGCAATATTAGGACTTTGCTACGTAGCTTGCGGAAGATTTGATGCCTACCAATGCGATGGTTTGTACCCGTGGGACGCGGCTGCAGGTACCCTTATCGTAAGGGAAGCTGGAGGTTACGTCAGGAACTCATCAGGTGAGACCATTTTCATTCCTAAATCAGCCGGTACTAGCGAGAGCGGTATTTTCAGGGAAAGAATTCGACTTGATGGAGCCCAACTTTATCGCTACGTCCACGAAACAACTTTCCGATCAGTACATGGAGATCGAGAGGATAGCGGACGCGGAAAGAGAACGCGCGGTGCAAAATGGAAACGAATTTGTTCCTTGATTTAGAGCTAGCGGTAGTTCTATTTAATTTACCACGTATAAACCAAGCTCAGTATCCATATTTCATTAGGAAATACTTGCAATTGTGCGGGTAATTATCGGTTAATGTAAAACATTTAATTTAAACAATCAGTTGCGCGTCGAAGATAATAAAAATGAGAACGGCCATAAATCCAAAGTTTTTTTCTTGTATGATTAATGTATCAGTGTAGTACTTTAACACCAACAAAGAAAGTGTATATAAATATTTTGACATATCTTAATGGATTTTATTTTTATTTCGGGAATGCAAAAAAAATTAGTTTCTATATCAAAAATTGCCAAGAATTGTTTCATACCTAAATTAATTTGTGTCGTTTTAGAGAATTACGAAATTTTCAAAAATGATAGTAACGAAGGTATTACTTTTTTTCTACACAACTAAATTGCTACGTTAAAAATAAGTACGTATTGTAGATTGAACTGTGTACACTCTACAAAAAAAATTTATGATATAACACATAATAATTTTTTAGAAAATGATAACGCAAAATTTCAGTTAATGAGTGATTAATTAAACTTAAACAATACATAATCCGATGATTTACACCTTAACAGCACGCCTGATTATTCCGAAAATTCATCCTCCAAGCGAATACGGTCTTAAAATTCAAACTAAATTATCGAAATCACATCAAAAAAATTTTCCTTTGATTTCCAAAACTTTTCCATTACTGCTACCAGTAAATACCAACGGCAAAATTGCAACTTTCTAATTGCTATTAAAAAAAATTGCAAAATTTCCTTTTTGGGACTCAAGCGAATTATAGCACCGTTTCTTAAGAAATTTTGCATTTTTTTATCCTTCAGTGAAATAGCAAGATGACACAAGCATAGCCAACGCAGGATAATTACAATCTTAACAGCTGTGACGCGAGTATAGAATAAACATATTTCTGGTGCATTTCAAGCACTCACCAATGCAGCACCCTTTACCTTAAATTTTGAGCCGTTAAGTGCACCCTGGAATAGCAAATTTTACCCATCTACTCACCCCCCTATGCTGTGGACTTGGCATTGGTCCTGGATGGGTGGGATAATGAGGTCCGCCTCCAGGTCCGCTAGGCATTTCCGAATGACCTTGCGGTGGACCTAAATGTCCTCCATGTGGTGCATTTGGCGGATGCGACTGGGGAGGTCCACCGCTATGTGTCGGAGGATGAACCGTGTGACCTTGAGAAGTCGGCACCGAAGAATGCATGGGATGATGACCAGGCGAAGAGTGGCTCGGAGGTGGAGGCGCTAAAATTGACAACATTTTCGACCACCTCTTGACCCTGCTCCCGATTACTGACCTGCCAAATGATGTGCTTGCATAGGTCCAGGATGTCCTTGATGATGGATCTGACTTTGAGGAGGATGACCCAAATGTTGCTGACCACCGTGACTCTGAGTGTGGGACGGCATACCTTGCGGCGGACCGTGTGGCGGCAATGCGGAATGAGATTGAGGCATAAGGGATACATGGGGATGTGCTATAGGATTAGGCATCGAAGTTGGGGGCATATGTGGATGGCCAGGAGCGTTCGATAACGACGTGGGCGGCAAATGGGTCGGTGGATGAGGCATGGGTCCCATGTTAGGGTGAGGGGGTCCGTTCAAATGACCACCCATCGGTGGCGGTTGATAAGGACTATGAGGAGAATGGGCCGGTGCTGGGCTTTGATTTGGAGGACCCATAGGACTGGGAGCTTGCGGTGGCGGCATGGGACTGTTCTGCGGTGAAGGGCTGGTCATTCTGCTTTTAGAAAATACAGCAAGAATGTAACATTTTTTTTGTAAATCTAAGATCAGCGTGTTGCCGGACTACAAATATCAATTTTTTTATAGGGACCAGCGCCTTCGCCATTTAAAAAAATAAACAAAGAAAGGAAATTGTTTTGAATTCACTATTAAGCCAACTCGAAATACAAAATTTCAGTTTTATCTAAGAATCGCAAATGTTATACAAAAAAATCTACACATCTTCATCTAAAACAACTGGATATTTAAAATGTAGTATACGTACACACATAAGTACCTGCTGCATATGTATCAGCAACAACAAGGAACATTACTAATAAACTAAAATTTGAAATCAATAAAAGCGTTCTGCACACAAGCGCTCGCGATATTTTCGAGAGTATTAAAACAAAATCATCCGCGCCCACCGGATTTTATCGATTTCCCTATCGCGACGCTAGACGCATTTCATTAACTTTAAATTTTTAATACGGCTTCGCAGACTCCGCAAGATCGGCCTCGTGAAAACATATATCTCTGGGCTTATTTATAAATTGTCTATTATTAGCATTCGATTCTCCTATAAGGTACTAATATATGAACAGTACATTTGGAAAGCTATTAATTACAGATATATCTGCAAAATTTAAATTGCCATATAATACTCTCCAGAAAAATTACCGCCATTTAGCACTGACATTTGGAAGTACCGATTGTCAGAAGAAGATCGCAGTGAGAGCCGGTCTTGTCACAAAATCAAAACAAATGTAGTTAACCTCAACCAATTTTTATCGCAGATAAACAGGTATAACATGAGAATTACTTACAATCTACTTAATTATTAATTAATTTGACGTTTTGGAGACTCGTTCCCATCAGTTTTCCCAAAAGTTTCGCGTTTTTCGTTTTATTTCCCGGGAAATCGCCACGATCCTAATTTACGCGAGTTCAAAAATCGTTGTAGATAATCGCGTTTTCCGCGGAAAAGCGCAAAACAGAGCCGCTCGCCATTTTCTAAAACTGGAACCGCAATCAGTTGTTTTGTTTTGGTTTCGCTGTCTCTCTTCTTCTCACGCGAAAACCCGTTTCTGGAAGCGCCAGTGAAACAGAACACCGCCAACTGCGTTCGATTATCCGCGGTTCAAGGTCTTTTATTATTTTCGAGGACGTCTTTTGCGATCGGTCCTTTTCTATCTCGTAGAGCTATATGTGTACCGATCTTTGGACGTACGTCGATTTCTGCTCAACGAATATTCCAAATCAAAATATAGAGCAAAATAACGCCAAGTTCCTATTGAAAATATCTCTCCTGTTCTTTTATCTTTTTGATTTTCATATTCTTTTCTACAAAATTCAATTTTTTGTGTGGTATCTTTTTCATCAAAATAATTATGTTTATTTTTTTGTTTATTTATTCAAAATAAATTTTAAAGTTTATTAAATCGGTGTAGTATTGCGAATAGATATAAATAAAATAGATAACATTTGCACATATAATGTACTTGATTGTAAGAAAAATCGATATTAATATCTTCATAAAAATTGTTGGCACCAGCCAGCCAAATAAATTAATGTACATTAACTAAAGGCCCCTCAGGACGTTGCAAAACTAGCTTAATAGGGAGAAGCGTCATCATTTTATTTATTATGCTTGTTTTCTTGTTCTTCATGTTCAGGCGCAGGCGCGGGTAGTCCATAGAATAGTAAATTCTCAATACTTCATAACCTTTCTGTTTTGGTTTGTAATTGGTGTTTTATCTATCCGTATATGATATTGTCGGTATTTTGAAGATGGAAGAGGCTGTTTTCGTATTTATTGTGGATTTTTTAAAACAGTTTAATTATCCATTAATTCACAGTATGAACTATGATGACATTGCCAATATTCTGCATGTTTCGAATAGGAATTTCTTGGTTTGTTGGACTCTTAAACTTTTAGATGAAGTTTATTTTGATATTTTGGACGAAGGCGAAAATAACAACGTTATTTTGGGAAATTTGGTATGTCAGCATGGATTTTGTTCTGAAAAAGAGAAACTAGGTTTCTTAACGGGTGAACTGCCTGTTGAAACGCAGGTAGGAAGTAATTAATTTTTGCGAATTGTGGTTCAGTAAATTGTCTTTTCTAGATCTCTATTATTTCTCGAATGTTCAGATTTATAGCGCGATGGAGAACACTAATTCCGGACGAAAAACCGGATAAGATTACTTTGGATGATTTGTATAATTTGGAAAATTTGAATTTAAATCTGTTTCCCTCATATGGGGAGATCAAGACATTTTCTGCAGAGGAGAGAAGGGATAAAATAAAAGAATTTCAATATGAATTGCAGCTTATTAAAGTTCAGCAGGATACCATAGATGAATCGAGCAGGCAGCATGAATTTAACACAATAAATCTACATGATTCATTACAAGATTTAGGGCAGTGTCTTCGCCACATTGATAAAAATCTTCAATCGTTAATTAAGAAACCAACCAACGGCTCAGATTGTGAAGTAAATTATGAAATAGATCCTAATTCTGGAGAACTATTTCGTAATTGTTGTGATCACATTAAACTAATTTCACAGGTAGGTATTTTTGTTCCACTAAAAATTCAATATGAGCCAAATTTCAAAAAGTTTAAATTGCATTTGTTCTCAATATTTTAATTCTATGAAGTAAGGACAATCATATTTTAGTATGTTCGGGATGTTAAGACGATTTGTGACTTTTCTGGAGATCAGAATCAGTTAAAGGAAATTGATGATTGTGTTCAAATGATACAGGGTATCACAACGCAAATTTGCAGGCTCAATATGTCCACAGATATTAGTAATATTAATTATTATTAAATATACAAACAACTATAAGTAAATAATTTTTTGTTATATTTGATAATTACTTATTTCCTGTAAAATAATTTGGGTAAGTAAAAAGCTTTCATCACACATTTTTTCCATTATATCAAAATGATCAATATTCTCCAATATATACAATACACTGTTAATCTGTTCTTCTTTTAGCTTTAAGTGAAATGATCGTGATTGGTTGACAAAAGCAGGACTGTCATGTTCTCCAACCACAATATACAGTTTCACATTCTCAAAGTTGCCTTTTTGGTACAATGGGCTAAACTTAATTTTAGCTGTTTCTGCGCTGAGTTTTAATGAATTGTTTGCTGAAATTTTCGTTATCGGTTCAAAGTCATAGAGACCACCGATTAAAAACAAAGCTTTAATGATATTTTGATCTTCTTTTTGCAAAGAAGCCCTGAACTCGGGAAAGAAAGTTGCCAGTGCGTGGGCCCCCACAGAGTGTCCTGCTATGAATACTTTCGTTGATTTGTGGTTTCTTGCATATTCAATGCACTTTCTAAGTGCTTTCTGCAAATTTTCTAAGATTTCCGTTACAGTTTTCTTTGGTGCTAATTCATATCCTATCAAAATAGATTTTATTTTATTTTTGTAAAAAATTTCGGCGATGCTTGAGTACAGGGAATGTGTTATAGCCTCCTCCTGGTAGTAGCCACCATGGATGAAAATAAATATGGGGGCATCTAAATAGATAAGAAAACATAAATTATATTTTAATACTTATATATGTATGTAGATATGATACTGACCATTTGGTAAATCCGTTCCAAATATATCATACTGCTCTCTTTCTTCTAAGCCATACTGATTTCCTAGTGCACATGGTATGCTCTTTCTTGTCTTTTCACTTGCTGAAAATATTTGTCTTTGAATCTCTTTAGCAATCACCTATTGTTTACATCGTCTATTATTGGGTACTTTTATTTGATATTCATAAAACCAGAGAGTTTATAATTTATGATAATTAAAATTTTAATTTGCAGTTAATAATTATGTACCTATAGGTCGGCTTTAAAGTTAAGTTAAAGGAACATTACAGGAATTTATCTTATGAGCATGCGCACAGAGCTTACTTCAAGTAATGTAAAGTATGATAAATTTATTTTGTTGGGTATATTTTATTTAAAGGTGTTGGTGACGTTTTGACCTGAACCTAATGTGTTGACGGCAAATACATCTTACCACAATTTAAAAGGTCGAGGTGTTTAGTGATTATTACGTCGCTGCTCAATCGTTTACTCCATTTGCTTGGGGAGTACAACTTTTCCAAATCGTTCATGTTTTCCACTCGATAATGGACAACGCTTGTGTGGTGCTTAATCGATCGTCCGTGCCGGACAGTATATTTGCTTGTGAAAGTTTTATCGGGTTTAGAAATAATAAGTTACAGAGGCGGACTTTGGTGGCACAGTTGTTATATAGCCAACCACAACGTTTGTTACCTACTTAGGAGTATCGGTCGGTACCTACGGTATCCGTAGCTAAATATTAACTTAATAAACCCGAAATCTAATTCAAAATAAAGTCGCATCCAGCACTAGCCGTGCATGTATTAATCAATAATTGGATAATAACGCTTTGTAAGGAAACTAGAAATAGTATCAGCATCCTCTAGCGGCGAAATCAATAATTAAAATGCTAATTTTTCAAAGAAATTTCCAGAGGCTACTGTAATACTTTTTATAAAACTTCTGGATTTCTCCTGCGTCGGTTTTTGTTGAATCAAACTAGATAAGGTTTCGCCAATCATCCTGTTGCCTTCTTCCGAGTTTGACTGAAACTGTTTCAGTCAAAAAATATTCTTCACTATAATTTGTAAAGTTATTTTCATGTTGGATTATTTTATAAATGCATATTATAATAAAAGTAGATAATATTTTGTGTACTTACGTGCGTCACTAGTATTCGTAGTGTACCTTTTTTTGCAATGTAACATATTACAAATTAAAAATTTTAATAGCAAAGAAAATTATGTATTTCCGTTTGCCTAACATTTGAACCGCAGTTTTACATTATTTTATTAGGTCATGAAAAATGTCCGTGTCCTGCTTATTAAAAAATGATTATGAAATCTCAAGAAATGATTAACAAAACCTGTTGTTGCTACATTATCGTCATTATTTATCTTAATTTCTTGCTATTTTCGTATTATTTTAAGCGATAAGTTATATTTGTTTCCTTTTGCAACAAAACCTAAGAGATATTGGAAGACTGCAATATATATGTAAGCATCCTTAAAGAATGTTTCTAACAGGTACGCCTTTTTGAGGCATTCTGTTAATCTTTATTTAATCGTGGCTGCAATTCTGCGCAACAGTTTCGACGATCAACTTAACCAAGTCGAAATCTTCATCAATCATTCGTTCGATGGCGTTAAAATGATCGACTCCATCAAGTTGGTGATATTCGCAGCGAATTCCTGATTCGATCAACTTCTCGTGGAATTTCTTCCCTTGCTCGAGGAACGCTGGGCTTTCGTTTTCCGCCGTTAAGACGTGAAAAATTGCTTTGCTGGAACTGAAAACGTTATGCTCAGGACTGATAGTCTTAGCGGTCTCTTCGTCCAGTCCAAGCTGTTGATTGATGATAGTTTTGGTGATGGGCGTGACATCATATAAACCACACGATAGGAAGACCCCCTTGAGCAATTGTTGATCGTCTTTGGACAATAACGGAAACAGTTTGGTGTAAATTGATAGGGCTAGCTGCGCTCCAACGGAGTGGCCTAGTAAATAAATCCCTCTGGAAAAGACGAAATAAAAACTGTACTGCGACATCCGTTGGAACTAGCTTTGGCCTACTCCTTACTTGGAATTTTTCTTTCTCGCATAGTCGATGCATCTTTTAAATGCAACACATATCTTGTTCATTATCTCCGGCAATGTTACATTAGGACACAATTCGTATCCTAGAGTTATAACTTTAATTTTATGCTTGTGGAGGACCTTTGCGATAAAAATTTGATTGCTGTGGGTTATTTCTTTTATTTGCCAGTAGCCACCGTGAATGTATACGAGAATTGGAGCATCTGAAAGGTTAAGTTGGTTGCGACTATCTGACTGATCTATCTTTGTTAGGACGGGGAGACTTATCAATAGGAAATACCTTGATTTTAATGAAATTCCCATATAATCGTTTGGTCGAAGGTCACGGAAGGATGAACTGTCAGTCCTTTCGTCTTTGATCAATATTCACTGCTGGTTTGCTGTGTTTTCGATTACATTTGGTAGAGTATTAATTCATTTTTTTTTAATTGCTTTTAAAATGCTTAATTATTTGCATTTTTCATATCACTTTGTACAGAATAAATACCAATTTTCAATTTTAAAAATTCGCGTACTATCTTGCATATTGGTGAGATGATACCGAAATTAATAGAAATTAATTATATAATATATAATAATATAATAATAATATAATTAATTATTATAGTGGGGAATAAGTAAATTGGTCTAATATGTTATTGGTTTCTTAAATAATAAAAAAATCCTGCTTCACAATTTTAAGCTAAGCACCTAGGTACGTATTGTTGGTTATAATATAAGTAAATAATATAAGTAAAAACAAATATTTTAATATTTGAGTTTCCTTAAAATGTGATTTTAAGATGTGATTTTTCCTCTTTTTATTTGTAATAAATCCTAAAAATCCTAATGCTCCAATGGTTTGGATATAGATAACATACTATTAACCTTTTTTCAACACAGCGCCAAATAACTTAAATTTAATAAAAAACCCTATTTTACCTTCTGGCAGATCTATTCCCACAATGTCATACTGTTCTCTTTGCCCATATCCGTAAGGTACATTGAATTCGCATTTGACCAGTGTCTTTAGGCTTTCGCTATCTAAAGCAAATCAGAAACGCTAAAAGTTGCGGGTCAATTAAAAAAAATACTTACTTTCGTTGAAAAATTGAATATGTCTCTCCAAAATTTCGTTAAATGGATATCTTTTGGTCCAGCAGTGCGGAAAATAAAGCCTGTCGAATTCTGTCAAGGCTTGTTCAGAGATTTCAACCTTGGCTGCCTCTTCCATGGTGAAGTGACTAACGTCGATTTATGCGTTTCAATATCTTTGCACCTTTACATTAATTAATATGTTGGTTTTATTTACATTGGAATAAGGAGACCTTGTCGTATACCGCAGTTGGGGTCCGTTGATATTAATATCACACAGGTCAGGACTGTTTCGGTTTTGTTCCACATTGGGAGGAAAAGAAAACTCTATTATACTCGGTCCTGATATATTTGAAATATTCCTGATTTTAAAGGCAGATAATTTTAAGAGAAAATGTGATTAGTCGAGGGGAAAAAGTTATATATTCTTTAAGCTATAGTGTATAATATGTTAGTTCGTAAAATATCTTATATTTGTAACATAATATACGCGTTATTTATAAACCTCTTATATTATACAAACGATTCGAAATTCTTGTATGTACAAAGATAAAACTTTTTAGCCTATATATAATTTTATTGGGCGTAGCCCTTAGGAAAACAATTAAAAAGATGTCACATTTTGAAATTAAAGCTACTCCCTTATTATCAACAAGTCCTAAACTACTTTGAGAACAGATTTTTTTGGTTCAGTAGCATAGATATTTACAATTCTTATAATTAGAACTTATATTAAACTAAGTCACAACCTTAGGTTTTTGGTAAAAAAAAGTTGTAGGTACACAGTATTTAAAAAATCAATTCGCATTGTTCCACTTTTAATTTCAAAAGAAAAGGACGTACTTTGCAATTTTCATTCAAACAAAGAGACTTCTTCCAGATCGCACGTTTACATTCTTTTTATATATACACTCGTTAGGTACTACTGAACCATCATGAAAAACTTTTGGTAGTACAGATGCTTAAAGTCACACCAATAATACGTTATTGCGTCTCTATACCGAGTCATACAAAAAAGTGATTACACTTTTGGTTTAAGCAAAGACGGCGTAAATCGATACTTTTTGCTAACGATATTATAGAACCTGATAGAAAATAGAGCTAACATTAACGGCCAACGGCCGTTAACAAATGAGAAAAGTACAGGTACGGTAAAAAAATTACACATGTTGAGCCATCAAACATTCGGTTCTCCAACCGTTTACAACTTTATTGAGTAGACCCACCTTTTTGTATCGGTCGGTATACATTAGACTTTTTTTAAAAAAAATCAGATTTGTCCAAACGACTTAATTGAAAGAATAGCAGTCATATTCTTTCATCTACTTTAATATTTTAGGTAAGTTATATTAAGTGGTACGGCGATTATATTTGCAGACTTTTAAGAAGTATAAGTGTTTCAATTATTATGTTAAATACTGGGAATATTATCATTTAAGACTAGGTTGCAGTTTCGCTTTCATCGGAGGAATCGGAGAGCTGGTCGCGCTTCTCGACACCCGTGGCTGTTCTGGCACCTAAACATATTTAAATTTGTAGATTAATTGGATGTTATTGAAATGAAATCGCATAATTTAATTAGTGAATAAATGAGTCGAGGCACAAGCTTGAAAAATATTTGGTAAAAAATAATACCATTGCGCCGAGTTGTCAAATCTTTCCATATTGTGGTTCAAGGTCCAAAAATATCAAAACATGTATATATCCATTTTATTCAGTGTAAATTACTAAAGAAGATGCCTTTTACCTAAGCTATAAAAAAGCCCCAAAGTCACTATTTTCAAAAATTTCAAATAGAAATAGAAGAGTTCCAGCAATTTAAAACAAAAAATTCAATCATTTCTGTCTGCAAAAATAGAAAATTTTAAAAACTTTAATCCATATTAGAACGTACCGCGAGTTTGGCATCGGCTGACTTCCAGACTTGAGGCGACTGAGTTGTGGAGACCGTACAGTCAGAATGCGCATTTCTGCTCAGCGCATGGATTGGTATACGGTAGATGCGTAGTGGTTTGACTTCCGGAGAAGCTAAAGTTATTATTTGTTTATTTATTCACACAGGGTAGCTCAACATAATTGAAATGATTCAAATAGCAAGGAATTAATACAGCTTCATAAACATTTAAATAATTCTTTAAATTGAATAAAGATAGATAAATAACTTAAACTGTTTTTTTTTTCAAAGAAACTTGCACAGGCTACAGTAATACTTTTTACAAATCTTCTGGGTTCCTCCTGCGTCGGTTTTTGCTGAGTCGAACTTACTGACGTTTCGCCAATCATCCTGTTGGCTTCTTCAGAGCTGGACTGAAACTGGCTCGCATTTTACTCTGTACCTGCTTATATATTGTTTGAGGGAGGGGGAGCTAAATATTTGGTAACAGGTAGAGACCTGAGTCGTGGTTAGAGACTCTTGCGTGTTTATGTCCGCCTCCAAACAATATATAATATATAATACAAAGTAAAATACGTTTCAGTTTCAGTCAAGCTCTGAAGAACCCAACAGTATGATTGGCGAAACGTGAGCAAGTTCGACTCAGCAAAATTCGACGCATGGTGAATGAAGAAGGTTTGTAAAAAGTAATTTAAACTGGTCATTTGTCTCATCATACTGTAAAAGATGTCTTACGCATATTATTGGTTACAAATATTGAAAAATCCTTTTTCATATTTTGTACATAATGAACTACATAATTTTCTTCAAAATGGTAGTAATGGGTCACTTTACAACACAGCAATAATTTGTTAATAAATCAAACTTGGTGACAGTTCGTCAATCGTCCTGTTGCCTTCTTCCAGAGGTTAACTGAGACTTTCAGTTGATGAATCGTCCAAACTGAAAGTTCATCAACAACCGACCAAGGAGTAAATAGCATTACACAAGTCTTTTGCAATCTCGTTTTAAAATTGTGACTCTTTCCATTGTCAAAACTTTAGATTTTTTAGGCAAAATAAATTACTATTTACGAAATAGTATACGCGCCTTGTCAGAAAATGGATATTACATGACTCGTATGATATTTAAAGCCTCGCTTCGTTCGGTTTCTAACTTGTCAAGTAAGATTTTGCTTTTCTGAACTTGGTACGTAATATATTACAGGTTATAAGTATCCCTAACTCGTGGAACACACTATTTTCAATTGTGTATATATATAGCATATATGCAAAATGTTATATTATTATCTTGATTGCTTTAAACTACTAAAAAATGGTCTAAAATCTTTTTATAGCCGCCATCTTATACACCACCGCCAACCGCTACTATACCAACCAATCCAAACATCAAGTTACCAGTAACTAAAACGGTCTATTACAATAACTTTATTGGCAATATATAATGGGAATATTATGTGGTCCAATAACATTCCTTAAATTTGTTTTATTTTTCTTTAAAGTTTGTAAAACCAATTTTAAGAGTAACCAGCGATTGTAAATATTTATTTCTTATTTATATGAATGTACTCAATGCACTGTAAAATTTGTTATGGTTGCGCTACATACTGTTTACCGTTTGGACTGGATGGCGGAGAAATTTTCTGCAACTCCTGCTGCCTGTTGTCCACGTAAAGCCTGTCTGTTCTGTTTGAGAAAAATTCTGGAGCAGTCGTAGCGAAAAATATATCATTTTTCGACGCGACCAGTTGCAGCTTGGGCATCGTCATAGTGTGAATCAGGTTCCCATTGACTATTAATCGGATCTCCATGGTGTTTGGTGTGAAAGCAATTACGTACGGGAATGCGCACACTAGGAATTATTTACGCAGTTGTTCAAGAGATTATAAATATATGTAGTCACTTACCAATGTCTGTAGGTACGGAATTCCAATGGAAGTCAAAACTCGAATTTTGAGCGTTCGCGTTGTTACTTTCGCTTAGTTTTTGAAAGTGGCACGTATCTGTTATCAAAAAAAACCTAATTAATTAGCTAAATTTACTCCACAATAAAAATATCCTTACGTCTACGTCAAAGTACACATTTCGGCTGACAGGAATTGCATTGAAATCGATATACTCACGATTATAGCAGAGCATCAACTGAATTTCCTGATCTTCGTACAAGTCCAACGCGGTAACCAGATGAGCTTTGTTGCCTTCTACCGTGTGCAGGTGTTGCGCCTGGCCCGTCCTTCCGTTCACGACATCCCAATGGTTCTTATAGCCCACGCACACTAAAATATCCCCCTGCGAAGGTGACATAGGGCTCCAGCCCGTGTCAAGAATTGTCACTAAATTGGGAGTCTCGTTCAAATTTAATTCCTGCAAGTAACATCAATTATTTTTTCGATTTTTACCTCCGTCAAAGAATAGTGGAACAATGCGCAACTGGAACGAACAAAAATTGGTTTTTTAAATTCTCAAAACGGCCTTTTGACTATGTTGATCTAGCACAAGTTTATATGGTAAACCTAACAGCCGATGGAAAAAATTTTGTATGCAAAAATTTCGCGAACTAAATTATATGATTAATTACTATAGTCTCTTGTTTAGGTTGTATTTAAGTCTGATGAGAACATGGACTATATACCATGCTTGACGTTATTGATGATTATTTGTTATTGCGTTTTATTGCTCTCCTTATATCGAAAGTCTAGTATGTCTAGATATTGCCATGATTGCAAAAAAAAAACAATATTGGAAAACTTTCCGCCAATACAAAGTTAAATTGGGATTTGTGGAAAATTGAAAATAAAATCCAGGAAAAAGTTTTTAAATCTCGAGACCGACTACGTTTGAAATACTCATTAAACTGCCGCAATAACTAAAAATCTCTATAGCAAATTGTCAATTTTAATTTTTAACTTTTCACACGTTAACCAAAAGTTGATGTCATCTATCCTACCCAGAAAAATGTAAATCCGTCCACGGTATCCGTGTCACTAGCGGGACACCAGGCGGTCCAAGCCGCGGAATGTTTCCACTGAAACATTAGCAGTTTTTTACCAATCGCAACGCACATCCTTAATCTGGCACCTCCTGGAAATTTTCGGGCGATTTAGGAATTCCCCAGCATTTTTAGTAACGCATTACCTGATCTAGACAAACCGTACAAATGTACTCCTCTCGTACGTTCCATTCTGTGCTCTTTGACTTCCAGTCGAGTCTTCGGATCAGTAATGGCTTCAATCTGAGATAATCTGAAGACGTATATTTTGCATTCTTTGCTAGAACTGCCGGCTCGTAGAAGAAGAATGCCGTGCGGTTCTACTACGTTTAGTTGGCGAATTTGAAGGCTCTTGTCGAAAATGGGTCTGTGAGAATTCCCGTCTGGAATTCAAATTTGCTATTTTTTGGTTTGGCTTTGAGTTTAATGTCAATATTTAATTGATCAAGAAAGATCGAATAAAGCAAGTTTAAAAACTGGTGGATTAAATAAATTAAACAATGGCTTGACTGCTACTACCTCAAAATTGTGAATTGTTAACAATTAGTCTCCTCATGGGAGATAATAGTGGGCTTAGCCACCACAAACGCTACAAACTGTATGGTAGGACAATGTAGTTCAACCCTCCGTGATAGTTAAAATCATCGAGGTCAATATTCCTTATTTATTGACATGCATTCCAGTCATCTGTTCTCTGTAAAGGTGAAGATTTGTTGCTTACCCGCGTTTTCAGTGTCTAACAACAGTTATTGTCAGGTCTTCTTTGGATAGAACGTCATTGAAAACAACATTGTCTGGCACGTACCTTTAGCCTCGAAATTGCCCAATCTTAAACAATTTTAAGGAGAGTTCTGCATCGCCAACTTTTACGGCTTATTTGAGACAGATAAAACGCAAAGGGCAATAAAAGTATGCAGTGCCGTCTTTTGCCAGACGCTTTATCGCAATAATGGCCGCAATTTGGTAGTTCTGTAACAATGTGTTATAACGGCGCACCGGAAATACAGAAAAACGAAAAATTCGCTGTTTCGAAAAGTACGGATGATACGACCCCTTAAAATTTGAATAACAATGAAGCTGTGATTCTGTCCAAGGTAATCGCTTCGCATTTGTTGGCGAGGAGTAGTAAGTAATTAACTATATTGGATTTAAAGACATTAATATGGAGTTCGTTGATTACAATAAATAAATTGCCAGATTTTACTCAGTTTGATGTGGCTGTAAGTTTTGTGTGATGTGCCTTCATCTAAATGAAATTGGTATCCGCATAGGACGAACGTGCTATAAAAAGTTCTAAAAAGCTAACTAGACTACGGACCACTTTGTAAAGTTTTTGAATAAAGCGTCTTTCAAATTGGCACTCGTCCTAACTTCAAAGATACGTCAAGCTTTATGAAATATCAGGCTATATGATAGACGAAAACCGTGGCTAGGATACTGTTTAATAATCTATCTCCAAAAAAGTGAATTTTCTGATTCATAATTTTTACACATAACGAACGCTACAAAACCTCCCGCATTTCTCGGTTGGAGAATTTTTCTGAAAGAAATTTTCCGGTACTCAAACCAACCAAAAAATGTCCTATGTCTGATTGTACCCAACATTTATTATTTATTATTATTAACTTGCGTACTTTCAGCCCTGTATATTATGCGAAAATTTTGGCCACAAAAATTTTAGCTCTCGCTGCGCTTCAAATAGTCACGTGAAAGAAGCCGCCAATTAAATTATACTGTTTCAGTTATAGCCAATTTCACTTACTGATCCCATAACCGCTAATACCCTATACTTTTTTGATACATGTTGGAGAAAAAAGTTTGTGGTTCCAAGTATCGGCGCGTCTTTTGATTCAAGAGTTCCTTAATAGAAACAGTTTTCCTTGGATGCTTAGAAATGCAGACCATTCTCTAATCGCAGAAAATTCGAAATTCATAACTTCAGAACCGCTATCGCCAAATTTCTAAATTTGAAACGTACAGACGTAAAACTTTTTTTTCGACGTTGGTCATTTCTGCACCAATAGTTAGGGAGATACAAAATGTTTATTCGAACAACGATATTTTCAAAAAGTTCTATTTTCTCTATTTTTGCAAAATCAAATATATTAATGTCAAAAACATTTCCAGACAATTTAAAAATAGCTCGAATAGTTCTCGTTTTTAAGTCGGGTTAATAAACTGACGTAACATATTATCGCCACACTAGGACCACAGTTATTCCTATTACTTGTAAATGGCATAGAACAAAGTATTAAACTGTCAAATATTTTGGTGTATGCTGATGACATTTAAATATACAGAAAAAAAAGTGAATGAAAATGATTGTAGGTTGATGCATTATGTTAATAGCATATTAGAGTGTCAAAAGATATTATGTTAGATTTTAATGTCAAAAAGTGTTATTCTGTGTCTTTTACTTATGTAAAGAAACCACATTTATTTTAATATAAATTGAATAAAGTTCCTATTAAATCAGCCCAATAAATATTGGCCTATAAAAATCTTGGATTCTTATTTATTATAGTTAGTCTTTTTTTTATACTAAATATATTGAGATGATTGAAGAGTTGAAAAGAAGTTCCTTTACTGCGGTCAACAACTTAGAACTTTATAAAATGTTAACACTGCACAACAAGAGTTACAACTGTATTTTTTTAAAACCATAAATAACCTAAACTTTGACAGTGCAACATTGAGTTCGGTATATTTAAGTGTCTTAAATAAAACACGTTTAAGAGACTACAGGCTGCAAAATTGTTACAAAATTTATTCCAGAATGTTACCAATGTTATAGATTTATTTTAACTAACGGATCTCCTGTGTCAGCTATTTTTTAAGTTAGTTGATTAAGTTATTTGCAACTTGTGATTGGGTGATCAGCCAGTAAGTTGAACTAATAAATAAAAAAATGTACTAAATATATTATCAACATGTATAATCGAAATCAACAGTAACATTTGGTGCTGCCTTAATGTTAAGTTTTGTGTTCTGTGTTACTTCTCCCAATGAAAGGGTTATTTTCCTTTAAACTTATGACATTCTTATATCTTAATCGGAATTTTAAAAGATTCCGCCGAAATTTGCATTTCATTCATTTTTCAATATGGGAATCGGAACTTTGAGTGACCCACACTTACCGATATTTACAATCATTCGCGGATTTGTGATCGATTATCAATTTAGAATTATCTGCTTTGATTTGTGATGGCACTAACCAAAACACGCAAAATTGGAAACATCAATTTTAACTTAATTGGAATAACTTTTTTTTTAAAAGAGAAACAAGACTGTACCTTCGACGACAAAAGTGCCTTCCTCGGTCGCGATGGCCAAACGATTTTCTCCCCACGAATCGGCAGCTACTATGGGGAATGAGGGGAAGACTGGGTAGAAGCAGTTTGCCTCCCACGGTGACCTTTTGAAGACGGTCCCCGCTGCCCCGGTACTCGCTAAACTAAAAAATAATCCAACCATGCTCTGAGTTAACCAACTTAAACCGATGATTTAATAGTTTTTTAATATCACTAATACAATAAAATGACAAAGATTAAAAAATGATCCGATCTCATCAATATTGAAGGTGGTGATTTTTTTTTGTTAATTTAAAAAAAAAGCTCAATAAAAACATATGTTTTAATATCGAAATGCACATACACATTTCCTTAAAATATCTAGATAGGCATTACAGATTCTATTATACATATATATAGATATGTATATATATATATATATATATATATATATATATATATATATATATATATATATATATATATATATATATATATATATATAATATACGACGTGACTGCCAGAGCTTGTGAGTGCGTTGCTGAGGTGCAGTTAAGAATGTGAAATGAACATGTATCCGGAAAGCTATTTAAACTGAGCTACAAGCGTTTGAATTTTCAATGACCATTTATGAAGGAACCACTTATTGTAATAGTTACTTCAGTATTACGTGTTAATATTATTAAAAAGTCTATTTTGGCAGTGATTCTTATGTATTGGGACAGTAAACGTCAATTAAATTAATTTGGCGTGTTTATTTTCATTAAAATACTCTTCTCCGTACAATGTTCACTTTTTCGAATGAAGACTTCGCCGACATTCACTTTGTTTATGGATTGTGTAATTGAAACGTATATTTTCGCCTTGTAGAACAGTTTTTAGCAATGTCCATCGATGCTTGAGAGAACCGGGAAAGTTTCCTATAGCTACTTCTGAACGTCCCGTTCAACAGCAACTAGCTCAAGAAAAAGCCATCTTTAATAAGATTGATACTGAACCTTCTACCAGTGTCCGAAGACTTAACGTAGGCCAAATGACAGTATTGAAAACTTTACACAATTTTAGTTTGTACCCGTACAAGCTTTAGAACCTGGCGAATACGCTTCAAGACTTGAATTTAGTCGTTGGATATTGAGAAATCGAAGGATTTGTCAGATAATATTATTTAGTGATGAAGCCTCATTCACCCGAAACGGTATCAGTAACACCAGGAATTCACATTGTTGGGCACTTTCGCTGAATATTTGGTGCCATTCGTTATTTACGTTTCATTAAAAATGATCATCCAATATTACTGGATGATGTTTCTCTTAACCTAAGACAACGAATGGGGATTCAGCGGATGGCGCACTTCCTCATTTTGCTCGATAAGTAACAGAATTTCCTAATCAAACTTATACAAACCTATGGATTGAAGGAGTTTCAGCAGTTCCTTGGCTAGTAAAGGTCACCTGACCTTTATCCCGTAGGTTACTTTTTATGGGGAATACGGAAAGCTTTAGTTTATTCAGAAAGTATTGAAACCAGTACAGAACAACTGGTGAGCTAGAATTATGGATGCCGCACAAAACTATTTGGTGCTGATCCTGAGACTGTTGGCAGTGCTACCACTTCATTTCTAACTATGTATGAACAACTAATTCAATAGAATAAAATATAAATGAATAAAAAATAATAAAATAAAAAATCAAGGGGTCTCTTCAAATGGTATTTAAAATTTCTGGGTATATATTCATTTGACATTTTTATCTTGAAATTACCCAGCAACGCTCTCCCAAGCTATAGCAGTCAGTCAGATCGTGGGGCACCCTGTTTATAGAATATGAAGGTTTTTTCTTAAAATGACAAACAATGACAAAACCCCCCGTAGAGAGTGTCCGTATTTCTAATTCTTACGGAAAAAGTATGCCTGCCCGGATATAAAACGACTAATTCTTTTGATGCGTTTTTTGAAAATGGTGACAAATCTAGTCGATTTTCATCCCCACAGATAAGTTTAGAGTTAAAGTTGCGTATACCTAATCAGAGTGAACACTTATAGTCATATCCAGAAAATGAGGCTAATTTTTTTGCATACAGACAAAATGATTAAATGTAGACGGAAAAAAATGGAAAACTAAAAATTATTTGCCACAATTTTATTCGGATTATAGTCCTTATGAGTATCATATCAGTAGCTGAAATTTCTGAAAGCGCTCGTGAACTTTATTTTCTAGTCACTCAAGAGAATTCGTGCAATATTCTCCAAAAACCATTAACAAAAGAAAATTCCAGGAAAGCAATCTTCCGAATCGTCAAATATGAGACATATGGAACAGAAAGCTTCGCTCAGAAGTAATTCTTCAAAGTGGAGAAAGAGGAAAGAGAGAACCTTGAAGTTATTTACAAGTTTTCTAGATTTAACCTTAGAAAATTTCGTGTGGAATTTCAAACGACTGTTCAATTTATCAAATTACTTACAGGTTTAAATTATCAACATCTGTTAAGTTTAAGAGAAAGAACAATCAAAATAAAAAAATGCACAAAACTTTTAATATTCGGATTATGTTGAACCTGTTTTACATCTTGGTGGGTGCTATATTAATTTTATTACACGAAAACTAATACAAATTTCTCGGTCTCCATAATTTGGTATATGATATGCCAATTTGGTTAGTGAAACGTGTATCTAGAATCTTGTATTCGTTTAGTGGTTGTAGGCTGAGTATTGTATTGCGTTGTATCTCGCAGTACCAATTTCAGTTTCTTACTGGTATTTTGGAGCTAGAAAGAAATAAAAACCCTAACCAACAAACATCAATATGCAATTGTTATAACTTTGATACTGACGTGTACTGCAGACGAGTAAACCGCCATTACAGAGATAATATACCTACCTCGTAGGTGCGTCACCCCTAACTATAGCTTCCAGTTTTAACGCTTGTCCTATTCTGACGAATTCAATTTGCCTCGAGTCCTCTTTTAACCGCGAATGTCTAGGCGTATCCGCCAGAACATCCGAGAACGCCCTACGATTGAGCATTGTCTAAAAAAGAGCAATTTCGTTTATGCGCAATATGCATCGAATGCGATCATAAATCGCGATGTAAAACATGTGATGTTTAGAGGTTTAAATGGACATCCAACAAAATAAATGTATTCAGGGACGTAGCAAGTTAGAACCGGGCTATGAAAATGAAACGGGAAACACACCGAAATAATAGGTTCATGTTCATGTGCTCGATGTAGGTGTAGCATCAATCTTTTGCGCTAGGCGTTTAATGATAAGGCTTATCATAGACACAAATTCGTGAATCTTGTTGGTTAAGAATTGCCAATAGAAAATAGATCTTGTTTAGTGTAGAACCAGTTACTTTGTAAAAGCCGAGAAACTGGCAAGCGAAGTTCAGCCTAGTCCCCTTAAAGCAGTAAATACAAAATTAACAACGAAATCAAAATAATATATTTAGTTATTTTATATACATTCAGAAATAAGCCCCTATCTATATTACATTAAAAACAGAAACCTTTATTGACTTTGACTATAAAAGACAAAGTTTTAGTTAGTTTTATAAACAATCCGTTTTCAAAGAAAAAAAACGAAAGCAATCGAACTCGACTGAATTTTTGTATTTTGAAAAACGGCTATAGGAAAATTTGAGAAAAATATTCGTCATTTAAACTAAGTATATTGCTGTATTCATATAAGACAGGAACACTGGACCATCTATGTTTGTTCCTACTGTGATTCGATCAGGATTTTGCGCCACAATATTAAACACGTCTCAGTAAAAATAATAAATGATTTTTTTGACAGCCAAACTTCAACTGTTTTTGCTCGAAAGCTAAAAGCACAACAGAACTGTTTTCAATATGCAATATTCCGCAAAGGTAGGCTACGTATGGACTCAGGTCGAAATATTCATAGTTTTATTCAAACAGTTGTTTGTTTTTTGGTTGGTATTGAACAGTCCTTTCAAGAAAAGTGGGGTTTGTAATATTCCAGCAAACGTGAACTACACAATTCGCATGGGTCGGAACTCATTAAATAAGTAATAGTGAACATTACTCAGTGTTCCTGATGTTTTCTTGTAAGCGCTTAAATAAAAGCCTTTTAGTGAGACTGGACAATAAGTCCATCTACACGAATTAAACAAATCGTATTTTGATAAAACTTTCTTATTGCTACGTGATTTGAAGATAAATAAATTTCGCTTCCATATCATTTTTACTTTTATATTATTTTGCATATGTTGATTCATGCCTGAACTGTAGTACTGTATGTTGGGATAAATCATCCCGCTCTGACAAATCTCGGTGTTTTTCTTACTCTTAACTATTTCGTGAAATGAGAATATTGAATCTCTCAAGTTTGATGATGTTATATAGCTTAAATAATTTTTTTGACGGTGACAATAGTTTATTATAATAACTTTTGTTTTTTTCGCTATGCAGCTATGTCTTTGACTTAATTTTGACAGTATCCGACAATTCTATACCGAAGTCTAAATGGAAGTAAATCGAATTTGATGAAAGGCTCCATGCGCAGACATGCAATCAGCCAACACCATGTTGCTGCATCCCTGAATTTATTTCTCGTATTACAGGAACAATAAATATCGCCGGAAATTGCTCCAGATAAATCAAGTGCATTGCTTACCATCCTCGCGTCGGTCATGTGCTCGGAATACAGATCTTTGATTAGCATATCGAGGGTCCTTTGTCGTTTTCTCGCGAACGTCGGCGTTTCGAAGGTCGCTTTTTCGCCGTTGATAAGTTTGACCAACAGAAATTCGCGGAATAGATAAGGGTCGGTGAATATGGGCGGACAAGGCAAGCTGGGACCGAATAAAGGTACCGCCTCGTCCGAAAATACCGACAAACGATAATAGCCTTGAGTCGTCGTGCTTATCACAGCGAAGACGTCTGGATGATTTATTAAGAATATTTTCAATTTTGAGTTGAGTTTTTTGTATCCTTTTAATCAATATTTTAGTAGTACCTATTGGATACATAATTTCAGGTAGTATAGTATCGAGCTCAACCAATCAAATAAAATTGGTTTCCTGCGTTCCATGTAATCTATAAAGACAAACCAAATCACTCCGTTTGTTATGGTTTTTCACTTACGGCTAATGATTTACTTCGAAAAATGGTATTTTTTCAAACAACTTTGATAATGACTGCTTTATTCACGAGTTTGATTTAGAATCAAGAAGTTTTAGGTACATCCTTGCATAATAGCACAAATACATTCACAGATGTGACCATCAGAACCAATGAATGTCAAAATAAAAACATAGTAATTTTGTTCCTAAACTAAACTGTCCAGAGTAACTCGCGACAGTGGGTGTTTTAAAGTATGGAATAGAAAAAATCTATTTTCAGAGCTTTTCAGTTTTTGTCTATAGCCGACGCGCATTGTATACTATCGACAAAATAGCTTACATATACTTTTTCTATACTGCCTGCTCTAAATATAAAGTATAGTATGGCCCCGCTAAAACTTGTCATATAATATATTGTTATAAATCTGGAAGAAAATTCGGTTTAATATTTAAAATTGATTCCCGTTTCCAAGGTTTAATAGTCAGTCAGGGAAAAACAAAGGAAATTGGTCAGAAATCATGTGACAGCAAAATTTTTTTGTCTGTCCGTCAGTGACACACTTTTACCAAAATACGCCATTTTTAGAAAATTAAGTATGTAAATTATTTACACTATATTTCAGAAAAGTACTGAATATTATTGATGAAATACTAAATTTAATTACATTCTACGATACTCTGTATTTCACTTTTGGAGTGAGGTAACGATATTTTCCCTTCTAGCAATGACTAAACTGAAAATACTGAATACATGCCAGCATTAAATTCAAATAAATAATATTTAGGAGTTTATTTTATATAAAAGCGCTGAATTGTAGAGCCCATTCTTCTTCTTCATGTCGCTTCTCCATACTTTGGACCCCGCATTATGTGACCCAGATAGATGATTTTTCTTCTTTCAACACATCTAACTCTTTGTTTATCCTGACCAGCACTTCTGCGTTGGTCGTGTGCTCGATCCACGATATTCTGTGCATTCTTCTATAGGTCCACATCTCAAATGCCTCTATTTTTCTTTCGTACACTCGGTTAAGGGTGCAAGTTTCTACGCCATAGTACAGCACGATACATAGCACCTCAGCATGCGTACTCTAAGATCTAGAATCAGGTCACGGCTACAGAGCATCTTTTTCATTTTGAAAAATGCTGCACGTGCTTTCTCTATGCGGATCTTGATGTCGGAACAGTAACCGACGGTACAGGTGATATTTGTACCCAGATAATAATATATTTTGCAATTGTTCTCTGTCTATATAAAGGGCAGGGCAGGGCGTTGTTAATTGTTATGATCATATACTTGGACGTTGTGTTGAGCGTCAAACCAAGGTGTCGACTGACAGTGACGACCTTATTTAGCAGTTCTTGTAGATTCATCCATTTTTTTGAGCAAGAAGTACACTGTCGTCCGCATAGCGCAAGTTATTAATTATCTTGCCATTTACTTTGACACGGCGAGAGGACAGAGCCTTGCATAATGCCCAGTTTGACTTCTATAGGGTCAGTCATCGTTTCTTGCACTCGTATGTTGCCTTCTGATTAAAGTAAAGGTCGACAATGATCCTGATGTCTCGCGAGCTCAGGTTTTTCTGATTTAGTACTTCTACTAACTGGTTATGACTCACATTATCAAACGCCTTGTTGTTATCTATGAAGCAGGCGTAAACTCCCTGATTGACATCGAGACAGCTTTGTATGAGGATATTGTACCCAAATAATGCGTCCCGAGTACTGTATTCGTTTCTAAAATCGAACTGCGTATCCGAGATGTTATCTTGGAGTTTCTGAAATACTCTGCGGTGTATAATTTTCAAGAATACTTTTAGTGTGTGACTCATTAAGCTTATTGTACGGTATTCATCACATCTTTTTGCATTTCCTTTTTGGGTGTTGTAACAAAGGTCGATTCTAGCCATTCCGTTGGTATAATCCTCGTTATGTATATTCTGTTGAATAGTGCTCTTATAGAGCCAAATGTTGCTCTTCAATCAACTTCTACACTTCCACAGGTACTTTGTCCGGACCCAGCGCTTTTCCACTTTTTGTTGTCTCATTTATCGTTTTATCTCTTCAGAATCGTAGGCTCCGTTTGTTCTTCAGTAATAGCTTGTATCTCTGTTCTGTGATCATCGAACAAGTTTATGTACCTTTCTCATTGTAGCGATATCTACTACAATGTTTCCGTTATTATGTATAAGGAGGTATGACTTTTTTCTCCTGTACCAGTAAATTCCCTAATTCCATTACGTGATATTAATGCTCGGTGTATTTTGGTGAAAATTACAATAATTGGAAAATTTTCTGGGAAAATGAATAATAACCTGCTCAACAAAATTTGATAATACCATTCAGGGTTTGTTAGTATTTATGCGTAACTGGGAAACAAGGATCTATTACGCTCTTTTATTTAATCCATGGATTGATAAAATAAGTGTTTTTTTTTTCAATTTCGCTGTGTAATTTGAAAGGCGGCCAAATTTGAATATCTCGTGCGCCGACAGAAATTTTTGATATCTAGGTCAATGCACCCGCTTCAAGTGGCATTAAATTCATGTTATGCGGGTAAGAGCACCGTCGAAAATGGCTTTATGAGATTTTATTGTTATTCTAGACGCGGATATTCGGTTAAGGTTTCGGTCACTGACTAATGTTTCGTTTCACATTCTCTTATAACAACAAGCTGGTATTTTGGTAACTCGGTGAAGCCTAAAATTATTTGATCACTTTTATCCCATCCATACTGAAACTCTATTAACTCATGATTCATATTTTTAAGGACTCAAATTAAGTCTTGGTTTATGGTAATCATAAACTTATCTGGGTAATTCTTATTTCGTGCACAAAGTAATATATCTCTTTTAACAGTTATCTATCTGAGTCCCTCGAAGGCTGATTTGATAGGGTACTAAATTTAGTCTACTCTACGTACAAATTATTTATATTCTTTGTATCTTTATCTATATGTCACATTTCATACCTTGAGATACATATCAAAATATTACCTGCACTCAATTCTCAGTGTAAATAAGAGTAAAAGTAAATAAAGTTTTATGAGTCGTTACGGACCAGTACCGGCAAATATGAAACCACCGTTTTGGGTTTTTAATATTTTATTCCTGGAGTACACGCCAAGTACCAGTGAAGCAGCATAGTTTAAGTTTATTATTCTTCTAAAGGACGAAAACATCGCCATCGCAGTAAGCTTATGCGCATGCGTAGATTGACACCGATGGAAAAATATTATTTGTCCATTATTTTTGGGTTGCAAATGTGTAAGAAAATTTGTTTGTGGAGACACAACAAATTAAAGTCTTTGCGAATTAATTAGGATTCATTTGGCATTATCAACAACACTCTACCATTACTTTAATAGAAATTTCTTGCAATGTAATCTAAGGAATGCAGTCCAATCTAGAATGCCTTGGAAGTTAGCGTAGTAAAGAAAATCATGACTAAATATTAAAATGCATATGTCATTGGATACGTAGTGAATTCTCATGTGGTTAGTGGTTTTGTTCAAAATAAGAACCTTTTGCGGTGTTAAAAGAAAACGCAGTTGCACTGGTAAGTCTTTCTTATGTAATTTGGATTTACTAATGTTTCAATTTGTTGATGAGTAATGAGTATTGCATCGGTGATAATAGTTTTGTTTTTCTCATCTGGACGTATTACACGTAGTATTATACTAGTAATCCAACGAATGAGTTTGTGAGCTTTAAATTTATGTGCGATGTCCTATTGTAGTTAAGAAGAACGTCTAATCAGCTTTTGTTTCATATCAATCTTGTTAATAGCAATAGTAGGTCAAATTTTTTTTGGGGTTTGAATTTACGAGATTAGCCATGTTTGTGTTAAAAATTAATCGGGAACTTTTTGCAGTGTTAAGTATCACCCTGTATGTCGTAGTTCTAGTTCATAATGGTCTGTATACCCCTTTTCCAACCAAATTGGGAATAATCATCCCTTCTATTAACCAATCTTGCGTGTTGCTCTCAAGTTTCAACTCATTATTTGGGTTTATTTTTCTCAGTAATCTAAAAGATCGAATCACCTCTATGTACTTGCACCAGGGAAACTAGGTAATGCAGCGCTTTCATTGAGCAATTTCGGATTATCCAAGGCTTACCACTGTTCCAATTACCTCGGTATTATGTCGTAAGACCGCAAACCAAGATTTAACACGCCTCGAAGTTGCCGTCCGAGATGAAATTCCAACCGCGATGGTAACGCTTATAATTTAAGACAAACCAGCTCACGGTCTCAGGGGGTAACGGTTTAGTTAAAAGCAATTCCTTGTTGGCCGCGTCCTATCACACAGAGCGGTTAGTGTTTATTAAATTATCGAGCGAGTAGGAAACAACTGAGAGTTTTTTTAGTGGCTATAAATATTTTTCCTTAATGTGTAATATATTTTTCTAGTCCCTACTCTTTAAGAAGACTTTAAGTGGAGTCACATTCGTTGTTGATATCCTTCTATAACGATTTCCGTTATTTAGGATGAAAACGATATAGCGTGATTTAGTTAAACTTTTGGCTTGGTAACAAGGATCACCCTGACTGACCTAGATGTGAACTTTAACACTCTGAAATGTAGCAGCGCTACTCCGCTCTGTTCATATAATAAAATCTCAGTTTTTCTTAGAACGGAGATTGCATGCACTGACAAAAACATACAAAATAAATTGGTTTTTGTTGTTTTTCTAATTTAACGGGTGCTAAAGTTTAGTAAAGTAAACAAAATAAACAGCTAGTTCAATGCAATACAAAATGCAGCACAAAGAATCGCGAATAAGGCACTAAAATAAACAGTGGGTGTAGATTGTTTTTTTTAAAGAACGTATTTTAAAGAATGTATCTAAAAAATTGTTTTCCAAGCTTAGAGCTTTCGCTGCTGAAAAATAAATTGGATTTTGTAATTAAAACAACATTTCGAGACATCGGGCACTAATTTTATTCTAAAATTAAATGCCCTTGCTAACTTAAGGTTCGTTCCAACAGTTTCTCACAGTCAGGATTATGCGCAATATGGGTGCCACTGACGGATAAAAATTATAATTTTTTGATTTTTTATTTGGTATTGGTCTGTATCGAGTATTTCGAAGAATGAAATACTAAAAATAATATTCCATGGATTCGAGTGTACTTTTCAGTTTCTTTTCATGATTTGAAGAGAGTAACAATTTTAAGTATGTAAATTCTCTAAAGTGGCTCTAACTTCGGACATTTTGTTTTACTTTAAGAACAGGAAATGAAGAGCATCTTAATTTTGTTTAAGGTTGTCTGTGATGCTTAATTGCAAGTTATATTCAAATTTGCAGCTCTGAAATGGTAACACTCAGGCTGCGTCTCGACTTTCGAAACTGCTAAATTGGTTTGTTTTTCTTTTTTTCTCTCTCTCTTGCTATTTTGTTGAGAAATTTGCCTCCCTTTCTGTGCGCAATAAGGTTCGTCCTACATGTGAATTAAAAATAAACCTGCCCCTGCAATAAGGACGGTACTTCTAAATATAGAATATATAAATGCCGTCACGTGGGACTAAGTGAAGTGCCTAACTAAGTGTTTTGTAAGAAAAGGATACGAGTAAATTGCGACTTTATGCATGTGGGATTGAACTGGGCGTGTGAGATCTCGTTAAGGTCTGGATCGTCGCCATCAATGAAAACTATGTTGACTATATCGTTGCCTATGTGACGCTTCCGTTCTACCTGTTGCCGGTTGTCCCGCGAGTACGGCAACAGCGTGGACACATGGAACATAATTTCGTGTCCTTCGTAGATTGTATACACGGAGTATTTACCCGTCATGTCACCTAAAAGATGTGCATAGAGAACGGAAAAAGATATGGGTGAAAAATATTCGCTTACCTTTGATATCTAATCCTCCTCTATATTTATCCCAGCCTTTTAACCGAATTTTATCTCCTAATAGCGAAAGGAATTGGTCGAATCTACTGCTACCGTTTTCTATAAAAACAATTTTTACTTCGATGCGGAAAAAAAAGCTAAAATTGTCTTTGACTTTGGGTTTTACTCCTCCGAAAATTGTTTTCGGTATTTGTTTTCGTGTGGGCGGAATAGGTGTATATCCTTTGTTGTTTTTGTTTTTTTCGAGCAAACATATTAAAATTTTCACACACAAGATTACCAAAATGTCAACAGATAAAGGGACGCTGGATGCATTTATTGTTTTGGTAAAAAAACGTTATTTATTTATTTATTTTCGAATTTGTGGGGGTTTGTACTGGTTTGTTTATTGTAAATATAAGATTTCATATTTTTATTTCTTGATTTTATCAAAATGGTTTTGGAAACTTGTCAAACAAATGATTAATTCTATGCAGGAAGCAATTTGAATATGCAACCTACAAGAAGTTAAATTAAATGGGATTCAATACAATTTCTCCGTTAAAAACCGAAAATCAAACACACTAACAACAGACGAAGATACCAATTCTGAAAAAAAAAAGTGATTTAAGCAAATACTTTGAGAAAAGACTAAGGATTGCTATTTTGTTAATAAACAATGTTCGGTTTATGCGATTACTATAGTTTTTCATAATTTTTGGCGGCAGCACAAAAATATAGCTTATTTTCTTCATGGTATTCAGCCGGTTGACCTTGACTTTGGATCGATATCGTTTGAGACGTTTTATTACATTTTGAATTTCTAATCGAACACGATTGTAAATCAAATTATTATCAGTCAAGCCACACCCTTTCGCACGTGAATAAAAAGATTCTTCACAATATAAACTATTAATAACTCTAGCAAACTTTTCGGTTTCATCTAAAATCCAATTAAATACACCTCTAATAAAAGAATCTATCTTCCATCGCTGCAATTACCACTGGCGAACGTTTATCCGGGTTCTATATACGTGGTGGACCAACCAAAATGAGAGGAGGGTATTATAACAATAACAATAAACCGATGGATATGAATTAAACGCAACTTTATGGATTTTAAATAGTGTTCTGCTATTACCAAACGGACTGGAGAACGGTAAATTAGAGAAACGTGAATTATTTCTGTTTCATTTAATTTCATCAATATGTGGAATACAAAATATGTGGATAGTCGTATCGGACAAGGTTACGAAACTCGAAGATGTGTTTAAAATGTAGCCCTTTAGCTGTTAATCACATCTAGCAATATTCTCTTCCTATTCGGCCCACCCTGTAACTTTGTACCGGAAAATTCTGCAAAGCCATTCGAAATTCAATTCTAAAATTGGCGTTTCCCAAACGTATTGGATATTCGCTCGACTAGCGGTGTAATGTAATAATGTTTTGAACTTGCGTTACAAAAACACAGGGATGTTTAATACTTACCGTTGCTCAGAATTTCATCGTCACTGGTCTGACCTTGCCTCATGTATATAACACCAAATTTAAAATTAACAGAACCCTCTTGTTCCTCTAATAGGAGTAAGTCTTTTTGTATATCCGGAGAAAAAATCTCCTTTGGTCCTTTTTCGATTTTGTCCATGTTCGGGAAATTGGACAGAATCTGTTTAACCGTCAACACTTTCTGCTGCGGTAGCGGTAACGAAATTTTCTGCGCGCCCTGGAAAAAGGTCAACAAATTTTAAGATCCTAAAACTTTGAATAACATTTTCCGGCAACTGGTCTAATACGAGGGGGTACCCATAAAAAACCGGAATTGAATTGCCGCGCGCAGAGCTTGTATAGTACACCTTTCTGCCGCTAAGTTGTGGATAGTACAACTTATTGCGAGTTCAACGCCACCTTCGTTTTAAATTTAACTTGTTTTGTTCACTTGCAGTGCCATTTTTTGTTAACGCTGTTTTTTGTTATTTAATTTTTTTCGATGGCAAGTTTAAAAGAACAACGTGCAGCTGTGAAATTTTGTTTCCTGCTCGGTAAAAGTGCTGCTGAGACTGTTTCAATGTTAAAAACAGCTTATAAAGACGATGCGATGGGAAAAACTCAAGTGTACCAGTGGTTTGTTCGCTTCAAAAATGGCGACGAGTCAATTGATGACCGACCTCGTTCTGGACGTCCATCAACTGCTCGAATCGACGAAAATATTGAAAAGATTCGAGAGTTTGTGCTCACAGACCGTCGACAGACAATTGAACAATTATCAAAGATTAGTGGGTTGTCTTGGAGCACGGTTCAGCGAATTTTAACCGAAGATTTGGGAATGAAAAGAGTTGCTGCCAAGTTTGTTCCTCGTGTTCTGACTGACATGCAAAAAGAACATCGAGTTGAAACATGTCGTGCTTTGAATCAACCGCTTGAAACGGATCCAGATTTTCTTTCAAGGATCATTACTGGTGACGAGTCATGGTGCTATAATTACGATCCAGAAACGAAGCAACAGTCCAGTCAATGGAAGACGTCACTGTCTCCCCGTCCAAAAAAGTGTCGTCAGGTGAGACCTTTAATCAAGCTTTTTATCTGGAAGTTTTAAGAAGATTGCGCTACAGTATTCGACAAAAAAGACCCGATTTGTGGCGGACAGGGGACTGGTTTTTTCACCACGATAATGCACCTGCACACACAGCCATTTCTGTTAAGCAGTTTTTGGTTAAAAATGACATGTTTCCTCTGCCCCATGGACCTTACTCGCCTGATCTCGCTCCGTGTGACTTCTTCTTATTTCCACATGTGAAAAGGGACATGAAAGGACGGCGATTTGACAACATTGAAGAGGTCAAGAAAAAAACGAGGGATGAGCCGTCGGCTATAGCCAAAGATGAATATAAAAAATGTTTCGAACAGTGGAAGCACCGCTGGGACAAATGTATTAGTTGTAATAGATAGTATTTTGAAGGGGATAAGGTCGTTCTGTGATTTTCGAAACAATATATAGTTTATAAAAAATGATTCCGGTTTTTTTTGGATACCCCCTCGTATTTTCTACTGCCTTGAACATCGCGAGGCCATAACCATATACAGATGAAGTATTTCAGAGAAAATCACAAATTGAAATCGATGCATTAAGGCCATAAACATATTTTGTTTCCAGTAGCAACGGCATAGGCAATTAGCAATTAACTTTCTATATATCAGGATTTGTTTCAATGAATTAATGAAATAATGAATTAATATTTTATGGTTTTAATATTAACCTACCGTTTTCTTAAACAATATCGCTCTGTATAGCGGCACACACGTACTATTATCTTCGTTTACCACTATACTGAGAAAAAATGGATTCCTATCGTTATCCAGTCCAACGTAGTTTTGGTGCACTGCAACATATGGTGAATTGAGTGTGTGTTGAATTTGTAGGTTAACATCTTCAATAGCAACAAAAACTTTGTTTTAAATATAAAATCAAATTTTGTTTTACGGCAAAGGTTTCTTTATATACAAAAATAGGTTTTATGTTTGGATTCATATATGCAGTATGTCCGAGTTAAAGATGGAATAGCATTAGGAACATGGAAATAAGAGATCCACAGTCCGTTAAATTGTAATTGCCGCAAAGGTAAAGGAAACTCTATTTATCCATAAATGTTGCCAAGAGATTTAAAGGAAAATAATAAAAGTGACTGTCTTATATGTTTAACATTTATATTCAGTAATTATAAGATTTGACAGTATAATAAGGGGTTTTTGTTTGTGATCGCCTTTTGTTAATTCTAATATTCGTGCATTCGGTGCTAAAGTCTGTTCATAGATATAAGAAAGTGACTAACTGATACGAATTAAGGAAAGACCCGGGCAAGCAGTAAGAATGAAATAATGCCGAACAGGTCCGTACTTTGCTTAGAATTTAATTATTTGGGGTTTTGTTAGGAAAGATACTAAACAATGTTTATTTATTTATGTATGTATTTATGTTTAAATCTAAAATAAAATTAGAAATTATATTTATTACCTACTTAAATTACTTAAAATTATTCACCTGTTCTAATTATTATTTGTTCTATATTATTTTCAATATGAATATACTATTGTTCAGCTTTTTCTATATGTTTAACAGAATTTGCCTAACTTTGTGGAAAGATGTTAAAAACTTCGGTTTCTATAATTTTGAGGACATTGGAGTTAACACGGGAAAAACATTGTTACGACGAATGGCAGATTTCAGTTGCTGCCAAACATGTTCAATGGGATTAAATATACAGTGGTAAGGTGGAAGGAAGCCTTAAAACTGTATGCCCTAGATTTTTTGCATAATTATCACAGACGTATTTCTTTTGTAGGTTCAAGCTTTGTAGAACCTCAATTAATTGCTTTTTGGTATAATCTTCGTGAAAATAAATGTCGTTATAATACATAAGGGGTTTTAGTCAACTGTGTACTGTGATAACTTGCATTGTCCATTACAATGACGCTATTAGGAGGAATGTTTGGAACTAGTTTGTTTTTAAACCAACTTTCAAATATATCAGCGGTGGTGTCTTGATGGTTATGCAGAGAAGAATCTTTAATATTTTTCGCAGACAGAGAAAGTTCATTTGGAATCCAACCATCTTTAGAGCCAGCATGCACAACAGTTATTCTTTTACCTCTTTTTGATGGCGCGTTTGTTTTACACCTATCAGTTGGGTCAACCCAACCCAACCCTTTTCCGGGGTATCATAAATGTCGAACCAGGTTTCATCCAAGTAAATAATTGGCCTTTGTTGTTCTCTGTAAATCCTAATTTTTTCTAGATATTCCAGTCGCCATTTCCGAATTCTAAAAGATTACATTAAAACTTGCATTTTGTCAATTTTTTTAAATCTAAAACCCATGTGTTGAATACACTTCCATAAGGTAGTTCTGACACATTTAACACCGGTTTCATCTTTTTCAATCCTCCTAATTAAGATATCTAATGTAGGCACGCTTTGTTCCTCGTATAACTGGTAAATTTTATCACTTTCATCTATACACGAGAAAATGTCAGCATCGCTTCTTTTTTTCCTGGCTGAAATGGGATTATTCACAATTTTCCATACAGTTGATGTTGGAATTTTTGTCAATGTGGCGGTTTCTTTTATAGATGCTTGCACGCTGGCACCACGTTCAGTGAGAGTCAAATAAACATTGTTTATAACTTCCTCAGTCGCAATAGAATAGTGTTTTCTACATTTGGGCTGGAGCATCTCCTGAGATACACTAGACTGGCACATATTTTGCATAATTCGCACACGATTCAACACACGCTGAATTACACACGAAATAAGAATGATTACTAATCAACTTAAACTAAGTAGTATATCAAATCAAAGAATATTAAACACAGGTATGTATAAAATTATTTTCTATTACGGACCACAATTTTACCTCAATTTAAATTCCGAAACTTTAGGTAATAATCTTGTTGCATTGTATGTTAATGACCACCCTTGGATAATCCCATTCAAAAGCAATTGGTCACTTTCTTATATCTATGCACAGACCATACCCGTCTCGAAAGTGACTCAATCTCTTTCTGCTGCTTAACTCTGCCGATATTTGATATCTATTTATCATCTGTTTCAAAATAAATAATATAAATAAAGATAAAATTCAATTTTCTCCTCCACGCGCTCCGCCGTTACTACTTTTCTAATACGTTTCATCCGATCTTCATGTTACCGCAACCTTAACTTAGACTATACCGCTTTTCGATTGAGTTCTGCCAAAAGTTAGTTAATTTTCCACTCCCGTGCAATATTGAAGTTTAGATCTTCTCAAGTGGTAAAAATATGAGGACTTGGAGAGGATACTTACGCTTGCCTAGAAAGTATTTAAAGTACCATCTCGTTTGGTATTCGGGATTTTCGAGCACCGGCGTGCTCGGGGACCCAAACATCTGAAAGTCGGAAACACAGCGTAAGCGTAAACGGTGAAATCGAGAAATAAATTAAATAGCGGTATTTTTGTGTAGGGGGCCAAAAAACAGCCCCTCCTCGCACGCGTAGCATAATATTTATTGTATTATTACAACTGAGATTTTCATTTACTTGATATTAACGGACATGCTCATTACAGTTCAGACCGTAGCTTATAAGCCTATGGGTCATTTTCGGGCAGGTCGTTTAAATAAATACGCCAAGAATTCTTGTTTAGTTTAACCAAGTTTGGTTCTGGTTCTGATAAGAAAAGAACAAGTAGGTGTATTTAAATAATCATATTTAAATATTAAGCAGATATATTCAAGGAACAGAGAATCGTAGACATAAGAGTTAATAATATTGAATTTAGTGAAACTACAGACGTTTCTCCCTAAGCAACCATAACTAAATCGTTGATATGTCACCATGACACTAGCTATGTACTTCCTAGGTAACTTCTGAAACACCAAGGTAATTAATCACGCTGATATTCTTGTCAGTGGAAAATATTATTCACCACTAGTTTCATGATAGCTTAGATACAAAAAATAAAAAAATAAAATTACTGCTTGGGCTTCGGACCGTTAAATTCATTATTCAGTACATCTACATCAATCCAAGGTAGGTGGAATAAATCAGTTCGACAATACTTATTGCACAAATTTTCAGTTTTGGTTAATTTTGTTATTCGGTGGTGAATATGTTTTTTATTCACAAGTTGTAGACTGTGATTAATTAAAATTGAAAACAATCCCTTAAAATATGCATGTCTCAACCGATCTAGAGCTTTTTATTTGGAAAAAAGCATTCCCGCATATGAAAAACACTTTATACGTGTAGGTGACATTTGAATAGACACAAAATGCACAAAGAAGTTTCGAACGCATTTTTCAGCTTACACGAGAAAGCTTTTATGTACTTTTTTATTTTTTTTGAAGTTTATATCAAACTAGTACCTAGTTACAGAAATAAACAGATGTACTTTCTAATACCAATGCACATTTCAGCGAACTATGCCTTTTCAACCATGTTCTCTGAATTTCTATAATTTAAAAACCCCGTTACCTTTTGATGTACCGAATGCGTACGGGAGTGAGAATATTTCGTCAGTTAAACATGAATTAAATTTAATACGATCATTTTCGTCTCGGTAATTTTCGAACATTTCTCTCTCGATATAGAGGCGTACATCATAATAAATCCGATATGACACAGAGCGACGAAAATTAAGCCTTTCCAAAGTGTAAATTGCATCGGAATATTTTCCTAATTATCCGATTTGAGTGATTTTAGTTAAAAAAAAAAACTATATTAAGGCCTACAAATTTAGAGTCAATAAATTTTGAAGTTAAATTCTCGAAAAGTACACTCAATATTTTGTCAATTCTTTTTTACTGCACGATGTTTTAAATTGTGAGAATGTCACCAATAGAAAGGAAAACTTTTTTTTATTTTTTTTATTGGCTTCTCGGGATTGATTAATTGAATTTTGTTTCATTTCATTTATCCTCAACGTCAATTATTATTATTGTTTTGTTCCTGTTTGTTATTTAAACTTATTCTTAGGTTCCTTTTCGTTAAATTAATTGTAATTTGAGATGAAACTTCTGTTGCGTTTTTACGTGATAATTAATAAAATATTAATGTAACATGTAAAAATTCTCAAAAAAAAAAAGAAACGACGTGACATGATAAAAAGTCACCCTTACAGTGTGTTATTTTTGATTAAAAATTATTTCATGATTTACAAAACAAATAAAATTAGATTTGAATAAAAAAAGGTTTATCAATTGGAGCAAAATATTGCGGCAATCGGTCGTATTGCTAGTGTACGTTATTAAACGGTAAATCGGATTGATCGTATCGGGGATTTCCTTATCCGCATTTTCACTCGAGGTTTCCCTCATAAATCATATTTCTGAAACGGAGTGAGCTCGCATAGCTGATAAATTTTCGCACCTAAACCAGATGCTATGTTATTGTTTCGACTATACGATAATTAATTTGATGCACCGTTTGTGTTTAATTGTCCATTTGACCCTAATACGACTGTTTGTAAGGCACGATTCGGCATGGGACAACCTACTAACAAGATCATGTCTATTTGGTTTAGTCCGTGTACAAGCGAGTTTTAGATAACAGAATATTTAAATGCGAGAGAGTTATGAATCATTATTGAACTGAAAAACTGAGTGGTTTTAGACGTATGATGAATGTCAATGGTTCCGACAATGGACATGTTGTTGACCCACCTGTGCATTACTGTTTAAAATTAGATTTGCAGTTACTTTCCGGTCGTACTTTTTCAAAGTGTGTTCTTGGAAATAGGCTAGTGATTTTAATTTTTTTGCTGAGAAAGGTATTAGCAAAATTGCGTTTTTAAAAAAACCGCCAAAACTCAACATTCGTAGCTGCAAAAGGTGAATGAAGTTAGACAGACAACAATATCCCGACATGTGCACTAGGAAAAACGCGGCCTCATTAGGTTACAGGAAGAAAATAAACTGTAACCTCATGCAAGAAAACGCTGTAGAGCCCCCTATTATTTCTCCGACTCCAACGACGATAGTTCATCTGACTATTCGGAACATGACGACTAAAATTTACAAGTGAAGTTATATTGAAATTCCTAGATTTTTTTAAAAAATATTAATATTTATAACAATTTATCTATTTTCATATTCTTACTTCTATAAGCGTTTTTATTTACTTGATATTAGAATAATTAATATCTTAATTATCTGTCCATCTTTATAACTATAACCATGTATAATTATTATTACATTTATTATTCAAACAACCTATAGTGAAACCTTTCTTACTGTTTACTTTTTTTTTACTTGTTTCAATTGCTTGCCAATTAGTGTGACCCTAATTCAGGAAGGATCCGAGGTCTTAAAAACTGGAATCCTTGCAATTTATCCAAATTTTAGGATTTTACCTTTAAGTTCTCCACCATGTTGTCACTGCGAATTTATATTTTATTACGTTCTAGGATTATAAAAATAAAGTTTCTTGAAAAACTTCAATCAGATTTTATTTAAATGTGGCATGGCCGCCAAGCACCATATTAATTTTTCAAAGAAACTTGCACAGGCTTCTGTAAAACTTCTGGATTCCTCCTGCGTCAGTTTTTGCTGAGTCGAAATTGGTGACGTTTCGCCAATCATCCTGTTGGCTTCATCAGAGCTTGACTGAAACTGGCTCGTATTTTACTCTGTACCTGCTTATATATTGTTTGAGGGGGGCGGAGTTAAATGAGGAGTTAAACACCGTCTCGGATGACTGATTCCCAAATTGGTGACAGGTAGAGACCTGAGTCGCGGTTAAGATTGTTAGGTTGTTTATAGATTTCTATAGACTCTCTAAGATTTTTAGTTTTATCGAATAAAGTTTTATGTCCGCTTTCATGGGCGTGTTCGGCAACAGCTGATGAGTTTATTTGTCTTAGTCGTAAAGTTCTTTCGTGTTCTTTGAGCCTAGTTGATATTTTTCGTCCGGTCTCTCCAATGTATTCTTTGTCGCATATGCATGGAATGCTTTTGGTCTCATTGCTATTGGAAGGTTGTGGCGAAGTGTATTTTTTGATGGAATGCTTAATATCTTTAATGTGGAAATTATTAGAGAGAAGAGCAGAGGTAAGGTGTTTTAATTCTGTTTTCAGTGACTCGGGCTCTACGGTTCTGTAAACAAGAGAGTTGATGATTTTTGGGCCGGATGGTGATGTGATCATGCATTAAGGTATCGGTCTGTGTGCGTAGGTTTTCTGTAAACATAATGACCCAACGTTAGGTCTGAGTTTCTATTGATAAGAATATCTAATATCTAAGAATAGAAGGTTATTATTAGTTTCCAACTCAATGGTAAAACGTGTGTTAGGGTGTATCGAGTTTAAATGTCTAAGAAAATCTACTAGGATTTCTTGACTATGAGGCCAAATAACAAAAGTATAATAGACGTAGCGTTTCCATATTTTTGGTTTTAGATGAAAATTGTCGAAAGCTTTTCAAAGCCTTCCATAAATATCTTCGCTATGACTGGTGACAGTGCTGCTGCTCTTCTCTCTAATAATTTCCACATTAAAGATATTCAGCGTTCCATAAAAAAATACACTTCATCACAACCTTCCAATAGCAATGAGACCGACAGCAATCTTACACTTGCCATTGTGGTCCTTCCTAACATTCAAAACATCACTGACCACATACCAAAAGTACTCAAGAAGCATAACGTCAAAACCAGATTTACTATTTGCAAAAAATCTCTCAACTCTTCGGTCCGTCAAAGACAAAATTCCATTTGAGATGCCAGGAGTTTACAATATTCCATGCATATGTGGCAAAGAATACATTGGAGAGACCGGACAAAAAATATCAACTAGGCTCAAAGAACACGAAAGAGCCTTACTACTAAGACTCATCAGCTGTTGCCGAACACACTCCGAAACCGGACATAAAATTCACCAATTTGGGAATCAGTCCTCCGAGACGGTGTTTATGCCCCTCATTTAAGCTTCGCTCCCCTCGAACAATATATAAGCAGGTACAGAGTAAAGTACGAGCCAGTTTCAGTCAAGCTCTGAAGAAGCTAACAGGACGATTGTATGAACGTCAGGAATTTCGACAAAAACCGATGCAGGAGGAATCCAGAAGTTTTGTAAAAAGTAAGCATCATATTTATTTAAAAAAAATAAAATTAGAACTCAAAGAAATTTCATTTTCATTTAATAAAATTAGTATGACTGTTTGCAAAAATTCCATACTGAGATAATTAGCTCGATGTTAGGCTGAGTTATTAGTCTGACACCAATAGGTAAGTTTTGGTTCATCGCATTTGTTGTATCACAATAATTGGGTCATAGGATTAAATTAATTTAAGAGAGGCGTTTAAATAAAAAAATGAATGAATGTTGCCCGACTTACCTCGTCTTTTTCGCCTGGCGAATCGCCATTTTCGATTCTGAACCGTCTACAATGCTCCTGGCCGTCCACTTCGGGTTGCTGCAACTGCAATGGAATATAAATATATTCATATAAATCGTTCGCAACAACATTGTAAGCTCATATCTAAAGGGTAACATAAGATTTCTTGAGTATTTAAACAGAAAATATTAAGCTACTGACGTGAGAAACGATCTCAAGGAAACAACAAAAATGACGCACCTATATTCCCAGTGGTTTTAGAGGAATATCTGACAAGGATAAATGGTTTATTTTATTGATTCTTATGGCACACAAAAGCCATTAGGTACAGCGCACCGCAGAGCAGGTGATTTAAGGAACTAAAACAAATGGTCAAGCAAAGAGATTAAAATTTTTTTATTCAAACTTAATGCGAATTGTTCCCCGAAAAGTGCTACAGAACACCACAATAATAATATTAATGAGGTAAATTAAATGATACAATCAACTACATTGTTGCAGCTTACTATTGATAAATGGAAATTATTGGGGCTTGAATGAAATTTATTTAGCATCATCAAAAGTTAAATAAATTCATATGTTTTTTTTTTTTCGTTATAATTTAAGTTGTAAATATTTTTGCTATTTAAAAACTTACCATGTCTTGAGTTTCTACACCGGTAATTGATATTATGCTATCTAGTCAATATGTCGCGCATAAAAAAGCAGCCTGGCATGCGTAAATAATCCAGGAAAAATGCGATTGCGTTATCAGTTCCATTCCGTTTAGCATGGCGGAGACGAAGTTGTTCCCCTTTCAACCGCAATAATTTAATCTATTACTGCGACTTAATTAATTAGATAGTTTTAATCGGTTTCCTGGAAACGGTGTATTTTTTAGCGACCGGGGCTGGCACTGTTAGTATCGTATTGTGGTGGGGGGTGTCCAGATGTTGTTTAGCTCTCAGTCTTTTTAACAGTTGAAGATAACCTAATGATTCTTGAGGGTGGACTGGTACAGAACTCTCAAGGCGATTTGCTATATATGTAGACTGAAGAAGTGTTGATGTTTTATGCATTTTTAGAAGTAATGAATCAAATATTCGAAATATATATTTTTTTAATTTCTATTCTTATTTTCATTATTTGCGACATTATCTGATTTCTTTAGTTTCTTATAATTTGCGTTCTTGAAACTACAAATAAATCTAAAAAAATAATTTTACATTAAAAGTTTTTTGTTTTATAATCTTAGTTCTTAAACTTAATTCCCTAACATAAAATTCGTTTTGGCCCCCATGCGAAAGTAAACATTTAAAAATCGACTTTTAGGTGGCCTCAAATTTCTAATAAGTTTGAAATAAGGCGACAATTCTAATTTTCAATTGTATATGTATAATTTGGAAACAAATTGAGCTGTTCTGTCATTTCAAATTGTTAATTTGTATCATAGAGACTGTTACATTTTTTTATCTAGTTTTACCAATGATTCGCCCCTTATTAGTTTCGACGTCGCAATTGGTAAGTACTTTTAAAATGACCAGTGACCTCTAGGAGGTCTGACAAGCCCTTATTGTTAATGTATGGTTGACAATATTGGTTTCCATCGTACTGTGATGTGTAAAAATTTCAACATAGAAGATTTGTTGTGTTCTCCAAGATACCGTAACAATAAATTCGTCGATTAAAAGAGCATTTGCTTTTATGAAGCTGCAGCTTCGCATACATATACTTCGATGTTATATATTTCCAGTCCTCACCTAGATGACTGTGACCTCCACCTTCAAAAAGCGTGCTGGAACTCAGAATACAAGAATAAACCTTATGAGGATTATCAAGAATGAAAGTTCCGATACATACAATACATCCTGAGGGGACAGTGTTATTGTTTCCATGGAACAGAGGGTAAATATTTGTGAGAAGACAGAAGTCTTGGTTTAATGATCTGCCACGATAGCTCGGAAGCAAACAAAGACCAAAAATATCCAGAGATATTGTAGTCAGTTGGAGTTTTTGTTTTATCCTCTTCATAATGTAAAACAGAAGTTTAGCATGGTTGATAATTCCTTTAATACTTGTCAACTCTCCGGTTCAATGTCTAAACGACGTAAATAATTCCCACCTAGAGACAAAGGAAATTTAAAATTTAATGTATACACTGCGTTAGCATATCTTCATTTTCATCATGTCTGTAAACACGAATGTTACTCCATTTTGAATCAGTTCGAACGACGCTGTTAAATAAATACATGTGACCCGTCTTTAAGCCGACCTGAAAATCTATACTTCCAATGGTGGTTTCGACTTGCGATTAATCAAAGTCAAAGACCGAATGTTTCTGAAGTGTTTGTGCGTGCGTGCGTAAATTTACGCCGTAGTAAATATTTATTTAACAGACTGAAAATTATTAGAACAGAATTACATTTTGCCAGTGGATGTGGATCGTCTACATTATCATTGAAAGCTGCAAAATTTCTTAGAATGTCTAACAGCATGGTTTGTAGTGCATGGTTTGTGATAGACAGAGCAAACTATTTTTAAACGACCTGCGATAAATTCTTGGCCAAGGCGTATCCAAAATAATACGTATTGTTAAATTTTTATTTGTCTCCCTCCTTCCCACCTCACTTGAAGCGGAAAACAGTGTGGAACAGAATAGAACTGTTTGTGTCAGATGTTTTTATTAACTTGGATATAATTTTTAACTTCCAAGAAAAATGACAGTTTTAAAATTTCAATTAAGAATATTTAATAAATTTCCATGCCAAAAGGAATAAATTTGAGAACATTATAAAGAAAAACAATTTGGAACAGGAAATCCTTTAAGCCAAAGGAAGCAATCATTTCTTTATTTAAGTTTCAAATCTTAAAAACTCGGTTTCTAAAAAATAATCTTTAGGGACAATTTTATAGCATAGCAAATAGAACTGTTATCTTATTTGTTGAGAAATATAAGTGTAAATTTCCACTAGCTTCCCATTCAAAAATATGTTTGATAACTAAAAAATAATTAATTGTGTTGCATTTTTCAATACTTGCAATTTTGCTATGCCATTATTGCGACTCTGGTCGCATTAATGCTTTGTGTAAATTAAGGGATTATCAGACACATTTTTAAATATGGGGTGAATTTATTATTCGAGGCAACCGAACTTTCAAATTTGAATTAGAATTTTCCGCAGAACTTAAAAATGTTGCGTTTCCTTTGCATTTAAAGATCGCTGTGTGAAAAGTTTAATGTTAATATGATTTACTCTCGCGAACAGTATTTCCTGATTTTGAACACAAAAATATATAAGCACTTAAGATTTTTTATTTTTTGCCATGTTTTCGGAATTCCGTCTGTTTAGTCACATGTACCCACCCTATCTTGTCGTGTAGTGTATGAACACAGTTAGACATTTCCGTAGATCGGTGGATAAAAACGGGACACTTGGCATTCCAGCGCTTTTTCATCGTTATCCACTCCAAATGAAATCGACATTCTTCTCACACTGTCGTTCTTTCCATCGGAACTTTATCCTATTCGATAGGTTTGTTTGAGCTTAGAATTTGGCGAACGACTTGAACGCAATAACCATTATGTATTATGTGAAGTCGTTGTCATTTGCTGTTACTGTGTCTGCCTTTACGTATTCAAATTGTCTCTGAAGCTTTTAGCTTCGCCGTGAAACCGCATACATAGGATGTAATTTGAAAATAACGTTATAGTCTGATCGCTAGCAGGTAGGAGGGATAAAACCTTACAAACTCTAAGTTCTTGACTACATATGCTTTTAAGCAGTTAAGTGAGCAAATAGTCAATGTATAGTTGCTTGGAATTCCTCTAGAATTCCTCCGAATTATTTGGAATTCCTGCGCAGATAAATAATTTTAACATGTCTGAAGATCCCCCAAATTACAAACACCACGTTCCCTTTTAAACAAGAAAATACTGGAGTTTAGCAAAAAGTAAAAAATATATAAAAATAGTGGAAATAATCAGAAATCATGAAAGAAAACAAAAAGAGAAATTCGTCTATTACCAAAAATTTAGCAAGCAAGTGAAGATGACCGTGAAGATTGTCTTTGACTCGTTTGTTACGACCGCTTCAGTAATTCAAAACTGAAAGGTTCAATTTATTCATTGTAAAAAGTGCAGACATCTGCTGTAATTCGAATTTGTTTCTCGCTTTCCTAGGAGTTTTTGTATTATTTTTAAATTATATTTTATTTTCCACTGCGTTTTGTACATAACAAATCATTAAAAGTATTACCTAAATAAAGTTCTGCCAAATTAGTGAAAAACATAGTAGCAACATGCCCCAGCAAAGTAACAACTTACGGTTCGATTATTGCAACCTGACTAGAATAAGTGTTTGTGCTCTTATATAAAAATTAAGATGTCTTTAAACTTAATAATATGTCATTATAGGCTATCATTGAAATATACTTATTCTTCACATGCCTTGTTCATTACAAACGTTGGCTATCATCACGGCAACCCTAATTTTATTCCTGGCTCTCGTCAACTATCTATTTTTCTTTGGACTATTAGCAGCAAAAATGGAATTTATGTCTTATTAGGTGGGCCAAAGCATTCAATCTTGCTGTTCTTAATGGTGAATGTTGGAAATGTGTTTAGCCTATGATATGATATGCCCCCATTAGTGTTTCTATCACTGTTCATGCTTCCACTACATATAACAGTATGGAAACTATATAGCGCTTTTTTAGTCTTATCTTTAGTGGAAATGATATTCTATGTCTATGCGTATGAATAGATTTTTCAGGTTGCTGAATACTGTCCTGATTTTATTTTTATAATAACCAATCCAGCATTCTATTGATTTCTCACTTTTATTTTACGAATTTTGTAATTGCATTACGACCGTCCTAAGCAGTTTCAGTTAAACAAAAAAAGGTCATGGTAATGCAAGCAAAGAGTGTCTCGATCTTCCTCGACCGAAATATATATATATATATATATATATATATATATATATATATATATATATATATATATATATATATATATATATATATATATATATATATATATATATCGGATGTTCAATTACTTTAGTTGACCCTTGCGATTTAATAACATCGTCCTGTGCAAACCCGGATATCCATTTTTAGCCGGCACGGCGAATAAGACCCGCAGTTCGAATTTTATTTAGTTAGGGACGATAGTGGCGCAACGGAATACATTCCCGTGGAAAATTGAACATAGCGATATTATTAGCTAGGTATATATATAACAAAATTTCCATTGAAATATTCGTCATAAGCTTACCTCGCTTATTTTCCTATTTCTTTGCAGTCTATTGAAGCGTTGTTGCTTCGTCAGTTTGATTACATTCCACTACTGAGATTCAACCGTTAGCTAGAAGATTTTTATATGTACAGTGAAGTCCGGACATAGTAAACTCGAAAGTTGCATTAAAATTGTTTCGCTGTATAAGTATATTTGTACACACCTGATGTTTACCCGATGAATGGAGGTTAATAATATATAATATTATGTACGTTGGTTTTGTAAAAAAATGCCATGATATGCTAGCATTTTCTAGATAGCTATATGAATTACGTAATGTTGTCAAAATTAAATATCGTTCTGTACAAAATAAGTAACAATTGAACAAGAACAAGTGAACAACATCTAAAAAAATGAACTAAAACACCTACACCTACTCTTGGATGAACAAATCAGATATTTTGGATTGTACGAGTCTGTTAGAAAAGTTAATATTACTTATATAGCTTTCAAGGTTACAAAAAGAATTGAAAACTTTCTCAGGAATGTCGCGTGACTCCAAAAATGTGCGAATCTCTATTTTTTTTTCCGTCATGTCTTTTACTGAAGGAACATGGATCATGGCCACTTCCTCAATAGCCTCCTCGTTCAGCCCATAACGTAAATCAGTCATTACTTTAATGTTACATTTCATGTTATAGATACCTGTTGACGGCAACTGGATAATTTCGTATTTTGTCAAAGATTCGGTTGGAATAACTTGATCGTCTATTGAAAAGTTCAATTCATCATCAGGGTTAAAATCATCTTCTGCTTCAAAGAATCCTGAATGTTTATAACAGTTTGAAATAGTGTTTTTGCTAACTTCCTGCCAAGCACGGTCAATAAAATTTACAGCATTCAATAAGCTCACTGAAAACTCTTGTCTATCATCAATTGCTTCTATCATCTTTATCAGTAAAATATTCCTATAGTGACACTTAAGGGAATGGATTATGCCTTGATTCATGGGCTGCAGTTTTGAACTGTATCCCACTGAAGCAGTTCTTCGGTAAACAAGTCAGATGCCATCCATGTTTTGCTGTTTGACCTGTACTTGACTGGTAGGGTCTTGTTTTTAAAACATCTTGGGTTTACTGATTTTCCGATAACAAACAGTTTTCTCTTTTCTGTCCCAGACATATTTGCAGTAACCAGAACTGTTATTGGAATTTCAATGTCTTATCACGGGTTAGTTTGTAAAAAAGGTCGACCTCATCGGCGTTAAAAGTTTTGTCCAAAACCCATGTGAGCCAGTTATTAACAACATTCATATCAACTGATACAGACTCACCAACAATTTTTCCTCTAGAGATACAATTTCTCTTCTTAAAACGTTCAATGCAATTTCTGGAACACACAACCTCACTTCCTTCTATTCTACTTCCCATTTCACTTGCCTTTTGCTGAAGAACTGAACCACTCATGGGAACATTTTCTTTTGTTTTTTGGGTAAACCACTGTAAAAGTCCCTTATTGAAGCCTTCATGAGCTCGTTTTCTAAGCCTTTTACAACTTACATTCATTTGACCATAGGACGAGAGAATCGTATCTTTTTTTTTCGAGCTAACGGACACAGTTGCTTTGGGCAAATTCATTTCGCGACACACACACACACACATATATATATATATATATATATATATATATATATATATATATATATATATATATATATATATAATATATATATAACACAATTTCATTCTATAAAAAATTTTCATAGCCAATATAGCGGATTCGGTTTTGAAATTTGTTATATATATATATATATATATATATATATATATATATATATATATATATATATATATATATATATATATATATATATATATATATATATATATATATATATATATATATATATATATATATATATATATATATATATATATATAATATATATATAATACAATTTCATTCTATAAAAAATTTTCATAGCCAATATAGCGGATTCGGTTTTGAAATTTGTTGATAACTAACCCATTCAGTATTTCCGTTGTGTTTTAGATTTGAAATCTGAAGCCAAAACTATGGACAAGATACGTTGATGACGTATTTATTGTATGGCCTTTTGGCAAGGAGGAGCTTTTGAAATTCCTAGATCATCTGAATTCCATTCACCCAAGGATTCAGTTTACAATAGAACTTGAAGAGGATAACAGTCCGCCCTTTTTAGATGTGCACATCACAAGGACCGAAGACGGACATTTGGAACACACTGTCTATAAAAAACCAACACACACCGAGCAATTAATGTATTTGCCACTGCCTGTATCTGTGATGGGTGGTGATGAGATTTAGCGTTCAGATATCTATTAGTGTGTGTTGGTTTTCTATAGACAGTTTGTTCCAAATGTCCGTCTTCGATCCTTGTGATGTGCACATCTAAAAAGAGCAGACTGTTATCCTCTTCAAGTTCTATTGTAAATTGAATCCTTGGGTGAATGGAATTCAGATGATCTAGGAATTTCAAAAGCTCCTCCTTGCCAAAAGGCCATACAACAAATACGTCATCAACGTATCTTGTCCATAGTTTTGGCTTCAGATTTTAAATCTAAAACACAACGGAAATACTGAATGGGTTAGTTATCAACAAATTTCAAAACCGAATCCGCCATATTGGCTATAAAAATTGTTTGTATAATGAAATTGTTAAAAATATATACTTACAAAAATGTTAATATAAACGACAATATCATTATCCAAAAAGTACAAGAAAAATGCAACTTGTCTATATTATTATTACCTTTATTATGAAGAGGGAAAAAACTTTAACCTAAACATTTATAATGACGAATACAATAATAGGCTATGCATCACCTTTTTTTATAAAAAGAAAACAACAAACACCTTCGGTCATTAATCTAAATCAAGAAATATTTCGCAGTCCTATCATTCTAATAAAAAATCGTCTTCATTATCAAAAATATCAAGAATAAGTTTAAGAAATCTATTAATAATTTGTTGATCAATTTATGATCTTTATACGAAAAAGATCTTTGAAATAATGTCGAGTTATGTTGCGGCAAAAGTAGCAATTCTTTTTTTCTCGTATTAGTACTATTTAGGTCCACAAAAGATTCAAGCTTCTTAAACAAATAAGACGGTTGATTGGATTTTGCAAATAATATTAAGCATATCGGAATTATTTTTCCAGGTCTCATTAATAATTCAATTTTTTGATGAAAAATGATCTAAATAATAGACAAGGATTTACCAGCAGTATTCATAGCTTAAGTCAATGTCGGGAAAGTTGTTATCAAACATTACCTAGTTAATAAAGCGGAGCATGCACCGGAAGTTTGAAAGAATGCTTTTACTTTGATGGATACGGCCCGAGGTAAAATGCAAAATTTTTTGGTTAATGTGAAGGAACGTAGATTATCGTAAGCATGATCATAACGTTAATAAAGATATCAACTACTTACCTGTTCGACGGATCCATAATATCTTCTAGAGAACACACCCCTTCTGGATATTAGATCGCTTGCGGTGGAACTGAAACAAAATTGAAAACATTTACAAAAAATATAAAAAATTTCATAATTGAAAATTCCCATTAATCAATTTCTGATAACGGCAGCGGACTTTTAAAAATTACTGCGCCGGTCATGTTTTATCTCGTGGCCCAGAGTAAGCGAAAAATTTTCCAATGTCGAAGACAAACACCGGGAAAACTTTCAGTTCCCTGTATGTTTACCGTGGCAACAGCGTTAAATTAGTACCGTGAATGAA